TAGCAGCGTGAGTCAGTGTCGTCCAGGAGCGACACTGACTCACGCTGCTATCTGGTGTTCACGAGGTGTTTATCGCGCTGGAAGCGGAGCGTCTCTGTAAGTTTGTATCCCTCGTGATGTTTGTACCTGGAGAGCACTATATAAGTGGTGCTCTTCAGGCACAATCTTCCTCAGCCTACTCAAGCTCAACTGATGAGGGGTGAATTCCCCGAAACACTGTGTATTGAGCAGGGAGTGGTGCTTTCTTGCAGGTTTGCCGAGTCGAAGGTTCGATGGACTTCTCGTGTGCTCTGGATGGCAGTCGTGAGTCAGTCAAGTGTCAAGTAAAGTCGGCGGAATAGCGCGAGCTCCGGTGTGGGGAGCAAACCCTTTCTTACAAATCATCGCCGAAGTCGCAACCACTACTTCGTAGTGTACATGTACATGATGTATAACCCCCGGGGGTTATTATATTACTCTTGGTAGTAGATCTACCTACAGAAAAATTGTGCAGTTTGGTAAAAGAGTGCGTACCGTATGATGCATGATAATTGATATGATGTACAATACAGGTATTGCAACTCCCTGTAGATCATGTAGATCTCCTGTACAGACTCAGTTACATTTCCCATCTGGCCATTTCCATTAGACTAGATAACTAACTTGCTGCTCGCCTAAATAGATCTGTCCATATTATGCTTCTGTGGTCTTCGGTCTTTTTTTAGAACTGTGTTGAAAATTTGTCGAACAAAGTGTTTATTTCGCCCGTAAAGGAGATCGCGAAGTCTACATGTAAATACAACCATGCAATAGTACAATAGTACAATCATTCAACTAAAGTGCGAATAAAAGAGAAAGGGTGCGTCTCAGCTTCCTCGGACCAAGACCATTCGAATTTTTTTTATTGTATTGTATTATATTTAAGGATTTCCCAAAGGCTTTGGGCCTGTCGAGGGGATCTCCTGCAAGAAGAATGAAATGACAACTTTATGTAGAGGGAGCAGTTAATCGAGGATAGGCTAAGGAAATAGATCGAGGCATTCAAAATCTGGTAATTAAGGAGTTGGGATACCGTCAGTGTAATGAATATATCGGCGAAAATGCTGATAGAGAGAATGCTTGAATTCGGGGAGGCTGGTTATAGCGGTAAGAGAAGGCGGTAGGCAATTCCATAGCATTGCAGCTTTGTTGGAAAAGAGGGAAGAAAAACGCACACCGTGATAATTGATGTTAAGTTTGTTTGGTCTTCTTGGACTTGAAGACAATGAAAGGTGAAAATGTTGGAGGTGTTCTGGAGATATATGTATAAGTTTAAATAGAGTAACAAGAGCTGATACTTGTCTGCGAAAGTGCAGGGACTCTAAGTCACAAAGGGCATTTAACTGGGATTTCGTTTCGCATCTATCTACATTGACCTTTTTACGTAGCAAATACTTCCTAGCTACTCTGGCTTGTAAAATATTTAAACGCTCCAGCTTAGCTTTGGTGATGGCATAGGACCAGGCCGAGGTGGCGTGTTCCAGGGCGGGTCGGACAAAACCTTTATATAGAAGTAGAAAGGCTGTGGGGGCAAGATGCCGTCCCATGAAGCATAGCAGATTCACACGACGTTGCAAGGTTTTCAGGATGGTCTGAAGGTGGATGGTGTAGGACTGGTCGGGTGTTAAATACGAATCGTAAGCGCAGGCTGAAGACTAAAGGTTGTGAAAAGTTGATGTTAGACATTACCACCGTGAAGTCAATGTATTTCTGGCCAGTTTCCTTGGCTGAAGCAAAGTAATGCAAGGTGATAAAAAGGCTCAGACAGTACAGTCGAGTTGAGCGAGCTGCAACTCCCGGTGCCGAAAAGGCGGGCTCACGCCCCTACAATCCCCGGCTACATGGCTACTTCCCCTTGTCTAACCCCCACGGTGAAGTAATAGTAGCCGACTGGCCGAAATCTAAAATAAAAAGGCAAGGCTCTACCCTAGCCCTGGCACATGCATGTCGTTGGCACCGTGATGGGAAATAGCGAGTAGACAGATCCACGTGTACGTCATGTTCAGTTATGGTTGTAAGCACGCACCTGGCAATATGGCGGTAAATACACGCCGGACCGGACAGTGATTTTACACCAGGAAGAAAGGAGATAAACGGCTGTAAATACAGTCTCATGTCATACTGGTAAATGGCTGTAAATACAGTCTAATGTAAATAATAACAATTGTACTTCCAAATGTACAACTACGATGTACTTAGTACAGTCATGTCAAAAACCGGCCTTCGACACCGAACACAACTGCCTCAGCCACTCAGGACAGGATAGCCGCGGATAGCCGCGTGTACATCATGTTGATCTACATGTACGTATACGTACCTTCGTGAATTAAATGTTTTTTTTAGGAATGAACTCCTGGACTCGTGGGCTTGAAGTTGAGCCTCTTGTACGGGCAAAATAACACATTTGTGAAGCATCAACACAATTACCGGTACATAAAACGAATCATCGGATATAGTAATGATTATACAGTCAACTTCGCTTATAACGACACACGGCGGGGCATCAGAAAAGTGTCCTTACTCGCGAAGTGTCGTTATACCCAAAGTCTCATTATTATGTATTACAGTTGGATGGAACTTTGCTCGGGCATGGAAATTCTGTCGTTATTCGCGAATTGTCGTTATATCCGCAGTCGTTATAAGCGAAGTTGACTGTACTGACTCGGTAGCTCGGATCATTGCAGGTTCACTGGATGCGTGCCTCCGCCACCACTACTGAAGTAGTTCTGCACTGAGGGGACTCAGGCACGGCAGGAGCAATCATGCTCCTTGAGCCACGCAGGCACATGGCACCACAACGAACCAGGGCAAACCCAAGGCGGCAGCGCAGCAAGGAGATAATCTGCGCGTATGGCTCCTTGCTCTTCTCAGCCAGGAGAGAGGCGATCCGCGAGAAAATCGCATTGGCATGCTTGCCATAGCCACCAGAGGCAGAAAGCACAACGGGCACGAAGGAGCCATGCTCGACTTCGCGTACTCGCTCTTCGTACTTCCGGCGCTTTTCCTGGCGTCTGTAGCTAGCAGCGAGGGAAGTGGCATGATTCGAAGACGCAAAACGGTTGAACACCCGTACATCAATAAAGATGCGCTCGAATCGGCCACCCCACACACCACTAGCCGCAACGTCCAGCCGAGCCTGCTCCAGCCGTGCGATGGCGGAAGGCCTCTCCGGTGACGGGCTGGGGGTGGGGTTCCACCGTCACGTTATGAGCGACCTGCCTCAGAGCTCTGGCGGTGATGTCCCTCACCTCGTTATGTTGCAGCGTCGGAAAGCCACAAAATGGGCACGACAGGGCGTGACTCACATTCGGCGGCTTACTGCACACGCAGAGGCTTGGGAGCCGAGGAGGTGTCCAGCCATACCGGAGGCACAGGCCATCCCGGAAGTCTCCCTTGGTGAGGGTGAAACCATGGCGGCTGAGAGGGCGGCAGGTCAGCCAGCTGGATGCACCCTTTTCTGAGGCCAGGTCGAGAACAGGGGCCAGCTCCCTGTGATCCGAGCGAAGGGCGTCAACCATGGACTTGGCCGCGCTCCGCTTCTCGGCACGAACCGCCCTCCCCAGCGACATCCGTGCCATCCATCACGCTTGGAAGTTTCGCACGCAGGTAATCCTCTATACCTGTGCACAGCCTATAGATGCTGAAGACAAGCGAAATCTTCTGTTTTACTCCCTTTTTTCTGTTCTCTTTCTGTTGTACCCGATCTCCCTCTGATGTACCGCTGACTCTACGCTGAAGATCTAAATATTTTAATTCTCATTCTCATTATAATTTTCATATTCGCTTTCATGTTATTGGGTTCTATAATGCCCGTTTGAATTTGCGAATCAAAATAAATACAAACAAACAAACAACCGTCGCCTTGACCGTCCGGAGCTGAGTAAGAGAGTCCCCCCAACGTGAATGTAGCTAGCTATCAGGGAGTCAATACGACTCCCTTCATGCTAGCTATGTGTACCATGTAGTCTACCATGTAACTAATTACTTGTTATGTGTTACTTGTTATGTGTTACTTGTTATGTAGGTCTACCCGATGTACGCCCGGCCCGTAGCGCCGCAAGAGAAGCACGTGCACGCAAATCTGCAAATGCACTGCATGCATGGGGATATGCACACCCACAGATTTTCTGTTAATTGTTATAAAATATTAACTGGTTTGAGTTATAAATATACTCAGTTACCGGTTTAAAGGTATAGGAACGATGGCGGACACGATCTAAACGAAACATGAACAAACTACCTGCTTATTCAAGTTATTGTCACCGTCACGTAGATCTACTCCCAATGACGTGCTTGCACTACGTCCTTGTCTTGGAGTCCTGAAAAGCCAAGGTCAAGAGGTAAAGGGGTAAGTACTACGAGTAGTGGTATCTCCGTGTCCATCATGGTCCATGCCTGTGTCGGGCTAGTTTCAATAACCAATAGTGACAATACTGTATTGTTTGTGCTTTTGCTTTCCGGTTCAGTAGCCTTTGTTTTACTGGGTCTGTTGTTATGGAATATGGTTGTTGTTTTATGAATTATATCAAGAGCACTGACTCAGACTCTCTTGCCTTGGGTGGCCCCGATGGCACACGGTATCTATAGACTATAAGGACCGGATTGGAAAAAGCCGCGCGCGCTCGTACTGTGTTTCGACAGGTGAACTTGTGACCTCGTCAGTTTTGCACATCCGCACCGTCGCATATTGCTAATCATGTTGGCATGCGTCCTATTCTTGTCGTGTGAACTAATCCTTTCGCATCCTACAAATGAGATGTGTGGTGAGAGCCGGACGCGCACGTACTCGGACGACCTGCGCATAATGCCTTCAGCATAGCCCGAAGGCAAAAAAAAGGTTAGGTACTCATTCTGTGTAGTGCAGCCTGGCAACACCAACGCGTGAAAGCACGCAGAAGGATTTTTCGCGCGCCAAAATGAATAATAACAATAATAATGGTAAAGATGCTGGCGGTGAAAACCTAAGTGGAGTAGGCTAAGACTAGAACAGTTCATCTCCTTCCTCCTGCGTCCGCGAAGCTCTAGACTAGAGTCAGCCCTGATGACTAGTTTTTAGACGACTGAAATCCCTGGGGTAGTGTAGCAGATAGTAGTTTCTTGTAGTGAGGCTAGGTTTATTCCTCCCGAGTCCAGTTGCAAGTAGCGATCGCTTCACTACACCTTTCCTCTACCGTTTCGTTGTCGTTGGGCCGCTATTTCTAGTCAGTTGGTTGGCATGGACTCCTCTGGGAACTTCGTCATCTCTATATTTATCACCGCACTACTTGTCGGTAAGTGGTTTGGTTGGCTTGCTGGCGACAAGTTCCAGACTTGTTGGCAACCCGTTTTCCGTGTTCATGCCGGGCATGCCGCTATCCGGATGCCCATCGCCGGCTTATCACTTGGGGAGATGGTGTTCTGCACTATGGCGGGAAGCCGGAATTAGTTTCTTGCAAGCTTGGGCAGTGCGTGAATCATGGCGAATACTAGTACAATTCGGAATCATGAGTACTAACATGACTGTAGTATGATTTGTCGCGGCTGCTATGTACAATCGTCACTGGTCACCCTTACTCCTTACTAGTTTTAGGCCTTCCCGCTGGTAACGGTTGGTTTGTTGTCCTGCGAGGTTTTGCCGTGCCAAACTAACTCAGTTAGCGATGGCAACGCGGTGGCGAAGATTCGGTAACGACGCGACGGCTCTTACACGGGCGACGACGTTCAACCAGATTTCCGATCGCAAAGTCTTCCTGCACAGGCTACAGTTTCTGTGTATTTGTCGGTGTATTCGATGCGTAAACCATGCGTACAGCGCGTACAAACTGGACGATGCTGTTGTCGTCGCCGATTATTTGCAAGCTTTCGTACCGATAGTTCTTCCGCCGTGTTGCGTGGTGTCCACTCGGCGGAAAACGCCCCCCCCCCCATCACTTCCTTGGTTTCGTGATTTGAAAGACTGCCCGGAATATTTTAAATATTCCGGGCAGTCTTTCAAATTTTCATTCCACCTCCCAGTCCCAGCCCAAAAGGAACAACATCAGCAGAAGATCATCTTTCCTCACCTACCACGAACCACACTCCGATCAAAAAACAGCACAATTTGCTCATTCGATCTTGCGCATGTACATGTAGCTAGCGCTCTTCCTGCCTCTCCCCGCCCCACGCGCTATTATTGTTTAGTATTCTTGCCAGTTTGGTCTTGCAAATAATTCAGATACACGTGTAATCAATGACTCATTGCGAGGTACTGTGACGAGCACTTAACTCATTTCAACATACATGTATTGGTAGTACACCTGCATTGTACATTGTATTCAATCCACCAAATCGTGCTAAAGACTCAGCTAGCTATTCTAGTCAGACTAAGCCATGCGGCTATTGCGCTCTGTGCTCACAGAAGACTACAAAAATAATACAAAACAAAAGCACATGTGCTTCCCGGTATCTGCGAAAACTATCTTCTTTTGTTTAATTGATGCGGCCCTACTTCCAGTAATTAAATATTTCCTCCCACACATCTACAGTCCATTGCGAGCAGCACGTTGGAACTGCCCCGTGTCCACAGGTAGGGGTACGCAGATTATTCCCGGAATATTTTGGAAATACCATCGTTAAGAAACTTTTGGGAATTTTAGGGGAATTCCGAGGCTATTGATTTTTGCCAGATCCGTTAACGTTCAGAAGAATTTTGGGGGAATTCTGTCAATTTTGACCTGCCAGAGAACGAGCACACGATCCATGGACGCACGTACTCGTACATGTGCATCTGATGAACAGTACTCGTTTGGAAAACAGGACTTGACTAGGCTTGCATGCATCACGTGCCTGACCGTCCATTTTGCATACTAAAGCCCATGTGCAAGGCACGATTCGTGTTGGATGGATTTAGGGAATTCTGGAGAATTGTTTCGATATTTTTGGAGGATGCTTTCGAATTTCCGCGGGAAATGCCCAAAAGCATAATATCGGGTGTGCACAGGCGTAATCCGCGCACCCCTGCCCAAGGGGGAAGGGGGGCTGCCCTCTCGTAGCATGCATGAAAACATCAGAACGACGGTCGTGCAGTTGGGTGGTACAAAGGCTAGTGGTGGTGTTCTGAAGAGCCTGTGTAGAGACGCTAGGTGGAAAATGTAAGGAAAGCTACGAGTGCATAGAGGTTCTGCGAATGATTTCATGGGTTGATTCTGCGGATTTTCTAATGGGAGCTAAGCATACAGCGTGAGTCAGCAGATTTTCTAATAGACACTGTATGCAGCGTGAAGTACTAGTACAAGACTTAGTGCAGCGCTGTGTGGCGACTTCGCCAAGGCATCTCAACTGATGTAATCGTATCACCTCGTTAAAAATCCGTTATGTTAACTTTAAGGCTGTCATCTCTCCGTGCCCTTACACACTGCTGAGCTAAGCGATATGGTTATTTCCTTGTTCTAGAAATTGTTCCATAGAGTGTCTCTCCTTAGATTAGATATATTATTCCAATTTCATACTCACTGGTCTTTCATTGCTGTGATCAATTTTCTATGACAGCCACAAGAACACATTCGAGTCGTTTGGATGTTGCTCTGTGATGACTGCGTTCATATTATTCCTTGAACAACTTAACCCTTTAAGAGCCACAGGAAAGTTTTGTTTTTTCACGGCTGAGCGTAGCGAAAGAGTGCAAAAAACGTATTTTTCACTCACAAATATTTTCGTGCATTTGCTCTTGTTCTGCGCAACTCCGTTGAACCTGCCATCGTGGTCTTTGTTTTTCCTCGTGGTAGTTGAAGTTGCCCGCCCACCCACCCTGGTTTCATGGGAGTCGTCCGCTGTTCTTCTTGACAATCTATGCCTATGTGTGTGGCTTATGATTATGACATACCATTTCTTGCCATCTCTATTCTTGAGTCTGACTGGCAGCGGGGCAGGAATTAATGAAATAGAAAGGTTTTTTGGCCGAAAGGCGTGTTTTTCCTCTAGCCCGGTTGAGCGGTCGCGGCTAGGAATGTAGGGAGTCATTGTTTTTCAGGCGCTCCCCTGCTGCCCAGTCACCCATGCTCACCACTGGCCATGCTGTTTCACTTGATTTCACGGCCTTTTCTCCCGCTTGCTGGCGGTTCTTTGATGGATTTAGATGTTTTTCGGCTATTTATCTATTATTAGGCACTTCAGGCGATTTTTTCAAAACGAGAAATACGCGTATTTCTTTTTTGTATCTGATTCAGATAGGTTTAGGAAGACTCCACAGAAAATTTGAAGCAAAAAGAATAACTTAGCACAGAGATATAGCCACCCAAAGTCGGAGAATTGAATAACGGCATTTTCAGTATTTCGACGGCACCAGCAGCATATCAGAAATTGGCAGAACTTGCTTCAGTGTCTATAGTGGCAAAATACCAGGCTCGCTGGAAGCAGGTCAAAATAACCAGATGAATGCAGAAACAGCATGGTTTGGAAAAACTTCGGATTTTTCATCCGTCCGGCAGCTCCGACGAAGATATCGGGTATGGTCACCATGGCAACTCCATAGCAACAGCATAGCAACTCCATCGCAACAGCATGAAAACAGTGCAGAGAAGCCTTCGGAAAAGCATAAGATGAGACTTTGAGGTAAGATAAAGTAACTACAATAATTCAGTGCCAGAAAACATTGTTGCTACATGTACAGTACTGACTTGGTGATGAGTACGGAAGAACAATGAGCCGAAGACTGAGCAAACTAGAATTTACCGGGTATTTGACGGAAAGAAATGACAAACTATTACAATAGAACATCGTCTGCAAATTTTTGGGACTACTGAAACTTCAGCAACTCCAGCATGAGAGATTTTGTGCATAGAGTGTGTGCTGGATTCTTGGTATAATATCACCGTCAATGCTTTTCTTGGTCGCTGGAAGCCACCTGCTGATCAGCTGACGATTTGTTCCGAGCAGGCCGTTTTGATGTCAGCTCTCTTGGTCCAGTCGCCGAAGTATATACTGTCCTACTCGTCGCCTGCAGGAGAGGACGACTGCTCCGATGCGACTCCAATAACACCTGGCAATATTTCTTCTTGCGCAGCCATGCGCATGGGCTCCGACGAACAAGGATTATTGCCGGGAGGACGCCTGTCGCGGTTCGCTTCCAATAACACCTCGCATTATTTCTCCTTGCGCAGCAATGCGCAAAGTGTCGGACGAACGAGGACAACTGATCCCGAAAGGAAATACGACGCTGAAGACGATGAGCTACATGGCAAATGCGTGCAACCAAGTGAAATGCCCGAAAAATCCTTGCCGATTTTACTCGAACTGTACGTGAGTTCAAAAAATTGCCGCATCATGACGTATGTGGGCTCAAACGAAAGCTGAGGGCCTCAGCTACATGCTGCGCCACACGAGAAGGCCCTGCGCAGCTTCCGTGCAGCTACAGATCGATCTATGCATGCGCCTTTCCTTGGTGCCACGCATGTACGCGATTCAGCGTTAGCACTTTTTGACAGGTCATGTCACGTGACTGAAGTGCCTACTATTATGTGGCTGCGAGTGTGGTTTTTTGCTTCTACTCATTTCTGGAAAACCACCACGGTGGTGAGTGTGATTGCTCTGGTAGACCACTACCCCATGTACTGAACAGTCGCTTTGTGAGTGAAAATTTTCAAAATTCCGCATTTTTTCGTGTTCCTTGGATCATAGCTTCAGTTCTACTCGCTCAATCCTCACAATCTAGGGCTTCCTGGAACGGTCTCCGCGAGAGGAAGAGAATGAGGTCGATCATGATAGCAAGCACACCGTCTATCCAGCGCTAGATCGCAGCGACAGTACGAAAAATGCCCCAAATGCGTCCAATTGCGTCCCGCTCCAGATATTTCATTTTACTCGATCGTGGAGTTCCAATTTTTTCGCTGTGTACTCTTGACAATATCAACAGTGAAACCCGTGCAAATTCGAGTAAACCAGCGTGACGAAAAGTCTCAAAATTCTCAATACTTAAGAGAGCATGTCTGAGAATACCAAAGTATGTGTGCAAGTGGATCTCTCCGATTTCGCTCAAAATTTGCAGGTAGGTTCCCTTTGGGGTGTGGATCGATTGTGCAAAGCCCTTGAAAAAGTTTCTGAAGGGAACTTTGAAATTTGCATACCCCTCAAAAATGGCCGAAACATCACATCATTTATGGGTCTAGAAACGAGTCACGCCACAGCGTATACGAACAAGCTATGAACAAAACTCCATCAAGCCAACATTGCCTCACCTTAGAAGAGTTCCTGGAGCAGTACCGCTTAGCCACGCCAGCATCCCAGAAGACGAGGTCCATCACCCCCTGACGCCACAAATGATCGTCTAGAAAATAGCCAATTTACAAGCGCTGGCAAAGCAGCCAGCTACGTCCTCAATTGGCCAGAACTATACACCGGCAGATAGTAGAACACCTCTTCTAGCGCTGAGGACATGTCCCCCATCTTCCTTTTGGGGTTTTCTTGAAATAAACTTTTTTGAATTTTTCCACTCGACCATGCTGAATTACGGCCAAAGTCATACCTGCGCAGGAAAGCTCGCCCCTCCGCGACGTCTCCTCAGCAATTTCTACTCCAACACTACTCCCAAGGCCGCAGAACAAAGTGTAGTGTTGACTCTGACAAGGAAAAGCAGCGGTGATCACTTGTCACTCCAAACGACAAGCTTCTCCTTGCGCCACCAATAAATTTTTGTGCGACTGTTGCTGCAAAAGTGACTGAAGGCCTGAGCGCAGTTTTTGAATTTTATTGCAAGATGCACGGTCAGATCGCGTGCTCTGTGACGTAGGATGACGCTTCCCGCATCACGATACGCGGCCATCGATCGCGAATGTGCCTGGAACGCTACTCGGAACAGATCATGATGGCAGAGGTATTAAAGATGAGCTTCATTTCCTGCTTGAACTGCTGGGAACCCCCACAAACTGTCCTAGGAGTGTTGCAATGGCAGCAAGCTGTTGAAATATGCCCCGTACAGCATGGAGAGTTATTCGTCTTTCACACTTACCTCCTGCAATCCCGAACATAGTCCAACAGTAAAAGTGCCTTGTTTTCATGTCGATGCTCGACAAAAGCGGCTAGCTCGGTCCCTTTGTGTTGACTGGCACGCTAGCAGCACTGGCTGCACGCACTTGTCGCGTGAACTGCATGAGAGATTTCTTACGTCATAAAGAATGTGATTTCATCATCATTTCACTGGTCTTCGACCTACATGGCCAGGGAAAGTCCCGGGTCGTAGGCCTACAACACGGTCAGCGTGTTCTTGAGCGCAGTAACAACACAAGTGTGATCACTTCCAGACCAACGGGCGTTCAAGGCGAGTAACAAGCGCACTTGACAAAGGTGACTCTGAAATCTCGTGGGCCACGCGACTTGGCATTCTTGCGTCACAAGGCACGTGATTTCACTGTGCATCTTGCAATAAAATTCAAAAACTGCGCTCAGGCCTTCAGTCACTTTTGCATCAACAGTCGCACAAAAAATTATTGGTGGCGCAAGGAGAAGCTTGTCGTTTGGAGTGACAAGTGATCACCGCTGCTTTTCCTTGTCAGAGCCAACAATACACTTTGTTCTGCGGCCTTGGGAGTAGTGTTGGAGTAGAAATTGCTGAGGAGACGTCGCGGAGGGGCGAGCTTTCCTGCGCAGGTATGACTTTGGCCGTATTTCAGCATGGTCGAGTGGAAAATTTCAAAACAGTTTATTTCAAGAAAACCCCAAAAGGAAGATGGGGGACATGTCCTCAGGGCTAGAAGAGGTGTTCTACTATCTGCCGGTGTATAGTTCTGGCCAATTGAGGACGTAGCTGGCTGTTTTGCCAGCGCTTGTAAATTGGCTATTTTCAAGACGATCATTTGTGGCGTCAGGGGGTGATGGACCTCGTCTTCTGGGATCCTGGCGTGGCTTAGCGGTACTGCTCCAGGAACTCTTCTAAGGTGAGGCAATGTTGGCTTGATGGAGTTTTGTTCATAGCTTGTTCGTATACGTTGTGGCGTGACTCGTTTCTAGACCCATAAATAATGTGATATTTCGGCCATTTCTGAGGGGTATCCAAATTTCAAGGTTCCCTTCAGAAACTTTTTCAAGGGCTTTGCACAATCGATCCACACCCCAAAGGGAACCTACCTGCAAATTTTGAGCGAAATTGGAGAGATCCACTTGCACACATACTTTGGTATTCTCAGACATGCTCTCTTAAGTCGCATTGCGCGCTTTTGAAATTGCCGCGATTGCGGCTCAACTTACGAGTGATTTATCTCAGGAACCGTTGCTCGCAGAGCTTCGCGAATTGTTTCTCTTCGCCCTGGAAAGTTCGATCACTGGATTTGAGCGAGACAGGACTGAGTTACGATCTTTTGAAGTTTTGCATTTGAATGCATCGTTTACGACGCATTCAAGTATGGGGCGGCTCTCAAAGGGTTAACATCGCAAACATGTAGCTGCATGTCCTTCTGGTCGTGACTCCATTCCCTACTGAAAACATTGAAGCATGTCATGTGTCTGCAGTTGGTGTATGCCATAGCTCTGGTGCATGCTCACTTTCCCGTTAGGGCGCGTTCAGACCACCGTGAACCCCGTCAAAACGTGAATGCCGATAAACCGTGAAGTTTTCAGCTCTCACCGCGGCACTGACAAGGGATTTTCCCTTTTTTTCGCAGCGCGCATGCAGCCTGAGCACTTTTTTACTGCCGGTAAAAGTTTACTGCCGCAGCAGCCGCGGCAGTAAAACTTTCCCACCGGTAACGTGCCAGTAACGTCACGTGATCAAATCACCTTGGCGACTTTCCCAATCGGTCACTTTTTATCGGTAGTCTGAACGCGCCCTTACCCACGATTCCTTTACAGGTGCTGCAGTGCGGTGCCTGATGCTGTATTGAGTTGTCCAGCAATAATTATTGCATGTCTCCCTGTTTCTGCAGGTATAGCTGTGTACCCGATTGCTGGTGCAGCACTCCCAAAGGACCTCTCACCACTTGCCTGGTTGCAATACCACGACCAGCGCATCAGCGATGCCGTACGTTGCAATTCCCAGTCTTACCAAGACCAGTTTTTGTTATTCCTTTAGCAATGGATCTTGATGCTCATGTTTGCAGCTGCACATATGGCTATGCTAGTGTATTGTGTGGCGACTGTAGTTGTACCTGAGCGTGACCGCAGGACACTGGAGCACCTGTATCGGGTTGTGAATCTGACAGAAGCACTGTCTGTGTTCTCTTCATGCGGAAGTACACAAATTCTTCAAGGAATCGGAGCGCTGTTAGGGCTGGTTCACATATCGCCGGTATGCCCGGGTTCACGGGGCCGGAAGTGCCAATTGCATCCTCCCCCAGCAGAATGTGGTTATGCAAGCCACTGTGTATCAACATCATTATGGTAAACCACTGATAGCCAGGGCTGGGAAAACTGGACATGTTAAACTTGTGCGGCCTGCCCGGCCCCAATCCCTTTTGAGCAAAGTGGCATGTGGACCATGCATGCCGGTATCAGGACCCAATAACTCTTCAAGCCTAAACTTGTTTTAAAGGATAAATTTGGGGAAATGTTTTGTACTATGTGCACATCCCTCCAAAATAATAGGGGTAATGAAAGAGACAGCGACAAATTCAAAGAAAGTAGTAGTAGGTGCTGCAAGAGCTGTGCTGGTCAGGCGTAGTGCACTCCTCCGACCATTTCAGTCTCGGAATCAACATGGACTGTGCGGGCCAAGGGGGTACACTATGAATGATAGACTTATAAGAGCATCTGAAAATGCAACAAAATGGGAAAGAGAAGATGAAATAACAGAAACAAACATTTAATGGGAAAGGAGTAGCATTTTAAGATACCGTGTTTGAAATTTGGGGGGGGGGCTGTAGATTGATCAAGCTTCAGCTGACGTAGGTCCCATGACAGTCTTGCCAGAAGAGAGAAAGAGATAGAGAGAGTGTGTGTGTGTGTGTGTGTGTGTGTGTGTGAGAGAGAGAGAGAGAGAGAGAGAGAGAGAGAGAGAGAGCGCGGGGGGGGGGGGCAGTATTATCAACGATGCTAGTTGTTGTCAGTTGTCTAAAGCCATCCCAACAAATACTTGTGGGATGCTTTCCATGCCTGCTCTACAACTTGTGACACAAATGCAACTGAAGTACAGGCAAGATGGAAAATGCAGTTGCAAGTTCTCTTGACTTGAAGTTTCCATGCATGATTTAAGACGTAGCTGACTGCTCAACAAAAGGCGTGGAAGTACAGTCATGTAGTTTCATGATCCGCAGCAAGAGGTATCGCCGAGCTCCAATTGGTAGTCATGTCGTAGCATCTGGGCACAACTTGTACTATTCTATACTGTTGTACTATAGTGGTGCTCAAACTGTATGCAGGTTATCTTCTTTGGCATTGGGATCTAGCCCAAGCAGGACCACCACCGCCGATGCCTCCCTGCCCCAATTCTTTTGGCTTATGAACCAACGCATGTGGGTTTTTGATGTGTCGTTTACCAGGCACATAGGAGGATTCAACGAATGGTGGACCTTGATGGCAGGTCTGTGCCTGAGGATAATGATTCTAGAGGGCCTGATGGCGGGCCGAATGTAGGACCGATCGAATCGGCAACGGAAGCTGTGGCGGTCATAGATGTTCTTGGCTCCACGGCGGTGGATCCTGATAACAGCTCTACACCAGAGGATGACAGTAACAGCACCGCCAGTGTAATAGAGCTGACTAAATCCAGGACGGAAGCTGTGACAGATAGGCCGGGCTCCTTGGCTGCAATATGGCGTGGTCGTTTCCCTATCAAATCGGTAGGTGGCAGCCATAGTGTATGCATTGAAATTGTATGTTCAGACTGACAGCACACTGAGTGTTCATGCACGAAACGGGGCTGATCGCTAAAAGATTTGTAAAAATCTTGCAGCCCGGAAATATTATCTGCTCTTGCTATTCTGATTTGTGTCTCTATTTGAAGCAGCGGGGACATTTTACTGAGCAAATCATTGCTGTAGTGTTGTGGCACGAGTGGCAAGGAAAGTTTAGTTTGGGGACACAACATTGCTAGTGTAACTTGATTTCCAACCCTGGTGGGACATAGTCTGCATCTCTGTTTAAAGAGTAGCATGTGAATATAATAATAATGGTTGAAATTTTTAAGCACATCGGCTCATCAATGGCTATCATTAGGAGCAGCACAGCCAGTATAAGGGCATGAACGATAGTAAGTGCTTACACGTCAAGTTGGACAACCATCGTACATGTTATAACGTGTGCTTTGATGTTTGAGGCACACTACGAGCAGCATGGGTAATTCGATCTTCAAGTTTTGTCTTGAGGAAGGTTGGAAGTAAAAATTAATGAGCTCAGCATGGCAACGACACCTAGATAAGGACAAGCATCTATCACAGAAACATGCCGTAAACATGCGCGGAGGCGTAGCAGCAAGGCAATGTGCAACTTCACAATGAAGCTAAGGTGTAATCATAATGAAGAAACTAAGTTGTGCAATGTGAATGCAAGTGTGCAATCAACGTTTACATCGTTGTTTTGGACAACAACCTAGTGTAGTATATAACTGAACATATCGAACGGCTCCAAGCTTCTTGTGCCATGGTGTGGATGTACAGTTGGAGTGAAACAAACATAATGTCTCCTAGAAGTGGCTAGGTAGTGTTGCACACTGGATCGTGGGGACAGGCTTGTTACGGAATCACAGCCATTCCGTTCCCCGGGACGCAGGACACAAAGGACAAGACTTGCTTGTTACATTATTTATATTGACAAGACGGAAAAGCAAACTTCTCTGACAGAGACGAACAAGAAGACTGATAAAAGGACTCTCGACTACAAAACCGCATATGCTCATATCACACATGCATGCGACTAGACGAGACAGTTTGGGGAATGCCATCACACAGGAAAACAACACATCATTTTACAACAGGCTGCACAGCGGATCATGGGGACAGGTTACACAGTGGATCATGGGGTTGCTCTGTATTTTGAAGTCTACTCGAATAATAATGAATTACAGCACCTGTACAGAATTAGAGGAAAGAGATGAGCACGGGGAAAGTTGGGGGGGGGGGGGTATTTTTTATTTATTCAACATCTTACGGCTTCCGATGGCAGCCAAAACGGGAAGATGTGGGTGATAGCCAACCATGGTAAAAGGAGAAGATTATATACATGAAAAGGAAAAAGCTATATTGATTAGTTTATTATTATTATTATTATGGTGCACTCAGTCATCAGCAGGCCCTCAGATTCACTTTAAATTCTTTCAATGATGCAGAAGTCTTCACTGAGTCCGGAAGTTGTAGCCACGCACAGTAGCCCGAGAAGAATGGCGATCTTGTGAATTGCGTTGACTTGGCCTTGGGAATAATTGCGTGGTAAGAAATTGTATCCCCTCTGCATTTCTGTCTCTACATGCAGTTCTTTCAAAGAGGAGAGCTCGCGAAATACTACGAGGTGAGTCTATTTTTGTGATAATTATTATGGCAAGTTGGGTGGTCAGCTCCTACTTTATCCTGTCCCAAACACGGGTCTCCAGTTTGGGTGATCAGCTCCTACCTTATCTTGTCCCAAACACAGGTCTCCAGTTTGGGTGTGCTGCTCAAGAAGCTGTGGGCGATGCAAAAGTGACATCTGATTATGCACCTGTTAGTACTACGGGGCCAATCATTCATCCACTGTATCCCCGATGACACGCTTTCTATGCAGCACTGCTTGGTTGGCAATGATATCACTCTAGCCCGGTCACTGGCCTGAGGAAAGTCCATCTCCATCTTGCATGTTGCATTTGTCCAGTGTGTACGTGAAGATCTCTTTAAAAAAAAAACCTGTCCAGGATTTTCTTCATAGGCTGGTGGTTGCAGGGCAACTGAAGGGGTCACCAGTCACAGAAATGTATTGCGTGGACGGAGCTCTTTGCCATCGTCGCCATAGCGTCCACATACCTACCCTTTTCCTCAAACTGGTCACTCACGGTGTGCCTGTGTGCCTGCGTGTGCGTGTGGAGTGCAGGTATTTGCGGTTGTTTTCAATCCTAAAATTGACTTTAGGCAATCGTGTTGCTGTGGTGTTTTCCCTGGGTTTGTATGTAGCTTGCGATTCAACTCGACCTTACCAACATCAAGCAGTGGGTTGTAAGTGCTGCATGTTGCTATGCATTGTGTCTGATTCTGGTAGTCGCCGCAGTATTGTTTTCAGTCATGTTGATCTCCCACCTAGGACAGTGCACGACCCAGTGCACATGTATGCATCTGCGCTGTTCGCATGGTTATTGTGACCAACCACATAAAACTTGAGGAGTGACTCGCGACTTAGAAGGGGAAGATGATAAGCTTGGATCTGCATCAGGCCGAGCAGGTTAATTTCGACCTGAAAGCCTTTTGGTTTTCTTCCAAATGCCGATCAGTTCACATTCACCATTTGTAGTCTTTGGGGTACTAAGTCGTATGGTCTTGGTCCGAGGAAGCTGAGATGCTCCTTTCCTCTTTTATTCCCAATTGAACTCGCCACTTCCACCGAAACTGGGTGACTGCGCCCTACTAGACAGGGATTTGTCTGCAAAATGTCACTAAACGCGCCATTTCGTTTATATAGAAGCACAGATGGCCGCAATTGGCCCATATGTTGTAGTCTCTTGGACGCTGAGTCGACTGGTTTTGGTCCAAAAGGCTGCGATGCAGCGTTCCGCCCTTATTCCCAATCGAACACGGTTAAATAAGTGGTCACGTGCTCATGCGTACCTCAGTCACCTGGTCACCGTGCCCGCAGGCTAGAACTTACAGCCTGTTTGGGCGCGTTCCTGTCACTCGAGTTGAACCTTTGAGTTGAACTTTGCTGTAAAAGTTGTAGCATGCAGGCACGGTGACCAGGCGGCAGGTGTACGCACGAGCTCGTAGCCGCTGACTCAACCGTGTTAGATTGGGAATAAGGGTCATAGGCTGCATCGCAGCCTTTTTGGACCAAAACCAGTTAACCCAGCATCCAAAAGACTACAATATATGGGCCACTCGCGGTCATCCGTCTTGAGAACGAAATGACGCTTTTAGTGACATTTTGCATCCATATCCCCATCTAGCAGGGCACAGTCACCCAGTTTCGGTGGAAGTGACGAGTTCAATTGGGAATAAGGAGGAAAGGAGGGTCTCAACTTCCTTGGACCAAGACCATTCGACTCCGCGCCCCAAAGACTACAACTGGTGAACATTTGATTTTAGGGTATATTGCAAGTTTTGCGTAGCTAAAGTATGTTAACGCGGTGACGTAATGTTTTCACTGTATGCTGATGTCTATCACGCGCGTGTTCGCGCCAGCTCACGGATGCGCCGTTGTGCGCATGCGCAAACTCTCCCAGCAGCTCGCTTTGCATACGTACACCCTTCAGCAGCCTTCGTGCCTGGCTCTCTTTGTTAGTTGCATTGGCTCGCATGACTCTTGCTCCGTGTTTTCAGTTTTCAAACTCCGGAGTTCTTCAGTTCTGTTCAGACTTCCTTGTACAAGGTGACATCGTCGTTTCGGTCTCTTGTTGCCTAGTTGTGGTGTCCAGTCCCTGGGCGGGCTGGAATTCTGAGTGCTGTATCCGCGGAGTGGTTTACTCAAATTTTCTCAAATTTTCCCACGCTGAGGCAAGAGATGTCGCGCAGGTCCGCCAGGTCATCTTCTAGCCCCTACGCTAGAGCAACATCCTCCTCTGCTCCTGGAACCACCCAGGCCGGAGCCCCGGCCCAGAACCCCGCGCCGCCTCGTGCTCCTCGTGCTCCGGCTCTACCTGGCCAAGTGCCTCCGTCTCAGTCAATGCCGGCCGGCCAACCACCCCAGCCCACCCTGGCGAGCCAGATCTCCGCCGCCGTGGCTGTTGCTATTCAGCCTCTGGCCGACAAGGTTACCCTGCTGGAGCAGGCTGGCGCGGCCCAGGAACTGGCGTCAACTCGGGACTCGCTCATGTTCCGACGTTCAGCGGGGCCTCGCTTTGTGCTGCCGGATCAATCGCCACTGCAGCGCCGGTTTTACCAGCATCAGTACCGGCTGCCAGCCACCCGCCACAACAGTGGCCGTCATCTGGAGATCTCCCCGTGGTGCCGCCTCGCCTTCGAGACCGGATTGTGCGAGGTGAGTTCACGGAATTGAGTGATTTGCTGCCTGAATCCCTGGGTTTCGAGGGGGATCATGATGTGATGCAACTCGACGTGGGCGCGGGCCGATCTGTGCAGCTCGTCCCCAAATCTTCCCACCGGCAACCCGCCAAACGACACATATATGATCTTGCCACATGGGTGGAAGCGTTCACCACCTACTCGAGGGTGCTGGCCGACGCCTCACCACAGCTGGCAGGTGATCTCTGGGCGTATCAGGCCATCATTGTCGATGCCAACGTCCGGTTCCACAATGATGCCTGGCTGTCCTACGACCGCAAATTCCGTATGGCCAAGGCGTCCCTCCCTCACCGCTATTCCTGGTCCGTCATTGACCCGAACCTGTGGCAGTCTTGTCTCACGCGCCGTGGGCGGCCTCCGTGCCAGCGTTGCTCCATGGTCCATCCAAGTCAGCCCAGCAGCTGCCCCTTTCGTGGGGGGCTCCCAGCCCCAACAGCGCCTACTGGGAGCCAGTTCTCGCACCAGCCTCGCTTTGACGGCAAAGCCATCTGTCGTAATTTCAACTTCGGCAGCTGCTTGCTCTCCCCCTGCTCCAGAGCACACGTCTGCATGCAGTGCCGCGGCCGTCACCCCGCACGCCAATGCTCCAAGTCTGGTGACTCGACCAAGAAATAACTCTCACCCCAGTGGTGACGCTGCTTTACAGGTGCCCACTAGCACGCCTGTTCATGTTCGGCGCTTTATCAATCTTCTCTCTCCTCATCCAAATGCAGTATTTCGCTCTTATGTTTCACAAGGCATGCAGTATGGCTTTCGTATTGGCAGCTCTCGCCCCATTGCATCTTCTGTTATGTCTCCTAATCACCCTTCGGCTTGTGCTTGCCCTGCTGAGGTTACTACTCATCTGCTTACCTGTTGTGACCGCGGAGAAACTGCGGGCCCATTTGCATCTCCGCCATTCCCTCACATGCATATTTCTGGTTTGGGTGCTATCCCGAAGTCTAATGGCAAACTGCGTATCATCCACGACCTCTCGTCCCCTGCCGGCTTGAGTGTGAATGACGGTATATCTCGGGATGAATTCAGCCTGCAGTACGAAACTGTCGATACAGCTATCTCTCTGATCATGCAGGCAGGGCGTGGCGCTCTTTTGACGAAGGTCGACATCAGGAATGCATTCCGTCTCTGTCCTGTTGCCCCCTGTGACTGGCCCTATCTAGGCATCTTCTGGCAGGGACAATTCTATCATGACAAAGTGCTACCATTTGGATTGCGTTCTGCACCATACATATTCGATAAATTCGCCACAGCAGTCCAGTTTATTCTTGAGGATGCATGCCACCTAAGCCAATTACTCCACTACCTGGACGACTTTCTGAATGTTAGTCCGCCCCACCTGCCCGTTGCGGAACATCATCGCTCACTTATCTTAGACATGCTCCGCTATTTGCAGATACCGGTGGCCTCTGAGAAAGTCGAAGGCCCATCCACATGTCTCACCTTCCTCGGCCTGGAGCTGGATTCGCTGACGTTTGAGATCCGGCTACCGTCCGCCAAACATGGGGCGTATCTCGGCAAAGTCAACGGCCTCCTTCAATCAGGCATGGCGTCCCGGCGCGAACTCGCCTCCGTGTTGGGCAATCTCTCGTTCGCGGCCCGGGCTATTCCTGCCGGTCGTACCTTCCTGAGGCGCCTGTACGACCTTGACCGTGCAACAAGCAACCTTCCAAAGCACAAGGTTCTCACCCTGTCAGCCGGAGCAGTGAACGACCTCAAATGGTGGCAGCGTACCCTATCAGTCTGGCCAGGGAAGTCGTTCTTCCTCCTGGACAAATGGACAAAGGCGCCCAACTTGCAATTGCAGACTGATGCCAGCGGTAACCAGGGCTATGGAGCGTACTTCCAGGGACGATGGATCCGTGGAGCATGGTTGCCCCACCAGCATTCAGAGTCCATACAGTATAAAGAACTGTACGCTATTGTCATCGCAACCAGTACATGGGCGTCAGAGTGGAAGTCCCTCCGTATTGAGTTTCAGTGCGACAACTCAGCTGTTGTAGACTGCATCAAATCCGGCTCCAGCAGATCGCCACCCATGATGTCTCTAGTTAGGTGTCTGTATCACCTTTGCGTTGCTCACGATTGCCTGATTTCAGCAGTGCACATCCCTGGTGTTACTAATACCATTGCCGATGCTCTTTCCCGGAATCTGTTGCAGGAATTCCGCTGCCTGGCACCCACGGCACAGCTCCATCCGGACATGCCGATCTTGCCCACACCGGACTGACCGAAGACGTGGCCAGGCTGGCGTCCCTGGCAATAGCACCGTCATCCAGGAGGACATACTCAGCTTCAGAGCGGCGGTACCTGGATTTCTGTCAGCAGCATGGCGTCGTGGCCCTGCCTGGAAGCGACGTTACGCTGTGCTACTACGCAGCCCTCCTCATGCGCACACTGCGGCCGGCCTCGGTTCGCACATATATGTCAGCCATCCGGAACTTACACGTCGAAATGGGCCTCGAGTACCCGAATCAGCCGACGTCCCTGCTGTCACGAGTGTTAAGAGGCATAGCCCGTTCGTCGGGACCTGGCCGCCCTCGTTTGCCTATCACAACACCCATCCTCCGGCAACTCTGCCAACGCCTCCAAGTTTCCTCCATGCGGCACCCAGTTGACCAGGCAATGCTGCAGTGCGCCTTCACCCTGGCCTTTTATGGCTTCCTGCGCTGTGGTGAGCTCACCTCGTTGACGTTTGGCAACGTGGCCCTGGACCAACAATCATTTCGTATCACCATCACGCTGCTGCAATCAAAGACGGACCCGGACGGTAGGGGCACGGTAGTCCACGTGGGCGGCTGTACCGATGTCATCAGCTGCCCTGTTACGGCGATGGTGCGGTACCTGACGGCAGTGTCAGCGGAGTCCCAATCTCCTAGAGATCAGCTGCTCGTCTACCACAATGGCCAGCCTCTGACACGAGCGGACGTCACGAGGGAGGTGCGGACCCTCCTACCGCTTTGTGGGATTACAGATCCGTCCAGCTATGCCAGCCACTCATTCCGGATCGGAGCAGCCACGTCTGCAGCTATCGCAGGCGTACCAGAGCACGTGATCCGCCATATGGGGCGATGGCGCAGCGACGCCGTGCTGCGCTATATCCGTGTTGAGCCATCCGAGGTGCGGCTAGTATCAGAGAAGCTGGCCACAGTGAGTGACTGACCAGTAGCGCTGCACCTTGACGAATGTCTCCTCCGGTATACATACCAACTCTCAGTACCGCTATCGGTACCTAGATTTCTCGACTGCTAGCAGCTCCTGCTATACTCCTCGTTCAATGCTCGCGTTATTTCTGAGCACTGACTTATTTGGTTGGCCCACCAGGGTAACTAGCTTGGGCACTGAACTCTCAGTAGCTGGCAGCATTCTCTCTACTCTCCCGAATCACTCTATTCGGTTACTGCCCTTGGCAGGTCAGCCGCCATTTCGGTCTCACTCTCGGTCCCCGCCTCTGTCGGGTCGGCCGCCTCCATGGTTACACACTGCCAGCTCCTTCGCCCAGTTACCCTGTGGTGCCAACCAACTACTGCTGTGTCTGTGTGTGGGTCGTGTATGCCTCCGCGTACGGAGCATGCGTTAATGCAAGTTTTGCGTAGCTAAAGTATGTTAACGCGGTGACGTAATGTTTTCACTGTATGCTGATGTCTATCACGCGCGTGTTCGCGCCAGCTCACGGATGCGCCGTTGTGCGCATGCGCAAACTCTCCCAGCAGCTCGCTTTGCATACGTACACCCTTCAGCAGCCTTCGTGCCTGGCTCTCTTTGTTAGTTGCATTGGCTCGCATGACTCTTGCTCCGTGTTTTCACCCACCCACCCACACCGACTTCATTGTGTTACAATTCTCATTCTGTAGCACCCCGCTTATACTACTAACCTGATTCGTCTTCCAAACTCACTCTGCTAAACAAAAAACAAGCAGGGATTGGGCACTGAACTCTCAGTAGCTGGCAGCATTCTCTCTACTCTCCCGAATCACTCTATTCGGTTACTGCCCTTGGCAGGTCAGCCGCCATTTCGGTCTCACTCTCGGTCCCCGCCTCTGTCGGGTCGGCCGCCTCCATGGTTACACACTGCCAGCTCCTTCGCCCAGTTACCCTGTGGTGCCAACCAACTACTGCTGTGTCTGTGTGTGGGTCGTGTATGCCTCCGCGTACGGAGCATGCGTTAATTCCCCTTTACCCAATTCCACTACCACTGCAGTCTTACACTTTTGGAGATAAAATTATTGAAATGCAGTGCAATACTGTGGATATAGTGATATTGGTTAAGCGCCAATTCCCACGGCGTGAAGTATTTGAGTTATCCACCATAACACGGTTCAAGATCCTGGCTCAGTGGTGATATGGAACTCTCATCGAGTGGTCAAGTAATCGCTGTCTCCAGTTTACACCAAACTTTGTATTTGTTAGGTACCTCCTCCCATAAATTGCCTCCTACAACCTTTTCCAGGCTGACCTGCATGTACCCAGTGCTTACCCTCGTACTCACCTTTTGTTCCGTTGGCCTGGGTAGTTACTTGCAGGCCCATATTAGCCATAGCTACCCATGCCCTTTATCTTGCATTCTCTCTCTCTCTCCCTCTCTCTCACACTCTCTGTCTCTGTCCCTCTCTCTTTCTCTCTCTCTCTCTCTCTCTCTCTCTCTCTCTCTCTCTCTCTCTCTCTCTCTCTCTCTCTCTCTCTCTCTCTCTTCCATAATGCATAAACCCTACTCTATTGTTCTTTTTTATTTTAATCTTTTCTTTTTTCCTAATGTCTGTGTGCCTGTAGTCGATCTCATGTAATAAGTCGGCACTGCCTGTTTGTTCTTCGACATTAAATAAAGCAATCCAATGTAGTCATTTAGTTTGTCTGTCTCTCCATCTATTATAAATGTCTTCCCACTACTACCTATCCCATGTTGTTCCGTTGTGCCTGGGATAATGGATTCTTTAGTTTCTCAACGTATTGATAATGTTTGACCAGTGTAGTTGAACACTCCTAAGTGAAGGGCATGTCTTTGTTGGAGTAGTATTGTGTGGCTCAACGTCCTTCATGTAATCTAATCTGTATTACCAGCATGGTATTTGGTGATAGGACTTGAAAGAGCATGTCTGAGAAAACCGGACAAGGTGTCAAGTCGATCTCTCCGATTTCGCTCTCTTGATTATCTCGAGTATAATGATGACGCAGTTGTGAAAAGAAGTGTCGGTGCTGCTGTGTAACTAAATCCATGGGAGTTCTTCTTTTCTCTGTCCTGTGGTGTGTGTTGAAGGCCCAACGGTGTGTAACGACGCTGACACTCATAAACCCTGCTTGTTCACAGCCATGTATCGATGATTTGGAGCACCCTGATTGCTGGCTAGTAAGTCCCACAGCAATGACATGACGTGTAATGAAATACTCCCTGACTTCCGTGAGAGAGCATGTCCCGACTTTACCGTTGAAGGCGTGATCGGTCCGGGGATGCACAATTGCCATCAGGAACATCACTTTGGGGCAGCATGATTTGTGGTAGGCAATTGCACTAGATAATTGCAGTGGGTGGTAGCATGTCTCGATGCTTCATTTCACCATCGTCATTTTTTCCCATGTGGGAACACTCGACACTGTACATCATTTGACAAAAATCATTTATTGTCACCGTTAACTGTTTCATAGCGGTCAGGCCGGGGGGGGGGGCATCACCGCTGTACGAATCAATGGCCTGCTGGAAACAAGCGATCTTGTGGCGAAGTTTCAGCATAGGCTTGATGTAGTAATGGCGCCTTGCTGATCCGAAAACTCGGCAGCACCATCTGCGTACCACCGTGTTCATAGACCTATCACTCCTCGTTTGTTCGGATTTCCGGCCGGTTTTAGCACAAGAGGGGACTCAGTGACGATTATGTATTTTGATTTTTGATCAGCTTCTCAGCAATCTCTTCAGTGAACTTGATTCGTTCACCACTATAGCAAACGACGGCGAGAGAGATCAACAGACTCGGCAGAGCAGTATTTGTTTCTGGATGACACCTCTGCTGAAAGTCTGTTTAGGAAACTGTGACTGGATCAATTTCAATACACCAGGTGGCAGTCAAGAATGATCACCAAGGAGTTTGTTGTACTCGGTGACTTTTCTCCATCGCACTGGGTCTCGATACCAGTGCCAGGCTTTCTCCATAGCTTCACATGAAGCAAGATGAGTTGTCTGACAAAAATTGTTCCCACAGTATGTCCAAGTCCCCTAGGAGTTTTAGGTGCTACCTTCTTTGGAGTTCGAGCCATTTCCCCTTCACCATCCCAAAATGACAACTGAGGGACAGTATTACATAGCTGGCAAGTTTATTCCGTCCTGAGATTATATTCATTTGCTTCGGAGACTTCGGAAGTGAAACGAACATTGTACTAAATCAGACCAACAAAGAGTTAGCGTTGCAATGGAGCTGACTTTTCTTGCACCCATTTTCTTCGTTTGTTCATCCATTCTCACTGCTTCCGCTGTTTCTCTGTCCATTTGTTTCTGTACGTCTTGTATGTCTGTTTCGGTGTCTGTCTCTGTCTCTCCTTTTCCCTCTCCCTTCTTTCCTCCATCACTCACTGCCTCCATTCCTCCCCCCCCCCCCCCCTCTCCTCTCCATCTATCTCTCTCTCTATCTTCCATCCAGTGTAAGATGTGGTGCACTCCTAAGAGACAAACGGTGAGGACTGTAGTTTTTGTACACTCATGGGTTTCCTAAGACCCTTCCATAAAGTTATGCATGTCTTGGAATGGAAATAGTTCTTCTTCTTCTTCTTTTGACCAGATGAGAGCCCACATCGTTCGCAGACACCGGCACGAACAGTTCACCAGCTACACCCCATGACAGCAAGTACAGTCAACCTTGCGAATAACAACCTCTGATATAACAGCTTCCGACACGTTCAACTGTGACAAACGACCAGCACGGCACAGCACACTGAAACTATCACCACGATACATCTGATGACATTCCGGACTAGCTTTCGAATGTGCATGAATTACCGAGTCGTTGGAAGCTGTCTACTTGTCAGGAGTGACTACTTGCTTTGTCGTGAAGTGTGGCTGGTGAACTGGTTGTGCTGGTGTCTGCAAGCATCGTGTGGTCTCGTCTGGCCAAAAGAAGAGCCTATTATTGCTATCAATGGACGAACCAAGTATAGACAGCATCAACGGAAATATTTCGCATGGGTTGCATGTTTTGACTTTCTTTCTGCCACTAGTTGCTGGCACTTGTCACTTATAAGTAGCGAGGTCTCTCACTTCAGAGAAAATAGATTATTTTTGCGGTGGCGTGAGACCAAGCAAGGCCAATTCTTCAGCAAAGTGTTGAGGTTATCAGCCCCAAACCAAACACATGAATGCCGGGCATGGCTCTGTCCTCATTCTCACGTGTAGGTATATGTTCGAGGTCACTCATCAGTCTCACCTATTGTCTGTCACCTACTCATTTGAAATAGCATTGGCGCTATCGTTTACACACACTTCTTTTGACCTAGCTACACACTATCACATGGCAGGAGTGTTGCGGCCGCCTGACGTCATGGCATGCCCCCCCCCCCCCCCCCTCCTGACTGACCAAATTGAATCGAATTATCTCTAGAACGCTTTGTTGCAGAGACAAGGGACCAATGCCATTCGACTCGGCGCCCTAAACTCTACGGGGCTTTTATCCCTGGGTAGACCTTGTTCACCCACTATGATGGTTTGGTTCCCTGGATATTCATCATCATTATCAGCCCTTTCGCGTTGGCATCGGCGTCAGCCTAGCCTTCGCTTGGGCCACACCCAATATTAGACATGATACCACAAGAGAAGGGGAGAAAAAAGAGAAAGAAAGAAAGCAAAAACAGAAAACGGGAAAAGGGCAAAATTTAGGTGAACATACACTTGATCATATGCATACTATTCAAAGACACTAACAATGCGACACGCTGGTGCAGCACTAGCACATTGCAAGTAGCCATGAGTAAGTTAGACCTGTTCAGTTGTACACATATTTCTTCTCGATGATAATTATCATTAACCAGTTGACGCCACCCGCATCTCGGGCGCGCAATTTCACGCAATCTACAGAGGTCTGTACAGTATTGGATATTGGGCAAATTAAAAAAATCGACCAAAATACCCACTCTAACAAGGTACAAGAAAGAGGGGTCAATGCTACTCACGATAACACAGCACAGCCGAACCAGCTATGTTCGCATGCCGATCCAAGTTACCTAGTAATGTTTAGCCATCCAACTTTCGGCTGGCGACTTGCTGAGTCCCTTGACCGAATCGATCAATTCAACCTGTCCAATGGCGGCCATTACGAAGGCCATCTTCAAGAGCCAGTAGCAGTGAGGTTACGTCCTGAAATTTGAGGTAGACAACCGCCATCGTCTGCTACAACATGTTCCCAAGCGCCCACAAGTGGTCTTGAATAAAGTTATCCACTAAACATCACCTGGGGAAATAATTACACAATGTAGTCGTTTCGTTCGTCTTGGTCTCCGTCTCTTCGTCCCCCGTAATAAAAGTTGTTCCACCTACCTGTTCCCGTTGTCCATTGTTGTGTCTTGGGGAGCACTCGTCCTTTTCGAACTCAACAATGGCGCCCAACGTGGGGCTCGAACCCACGACCCTGGGATTCAGAGTATCATGCTCTACTCCCGTTGTCCATTGTTGTGTCTTGGGGAGCACTCGCCCTTTTCGAACTCAACACGAGTTTCTGCAAGGGCAAAGATTATTACCATGATGTCTCAGTGCTGGTAGGGTAGCGAAAAGGCATATGGAGGCGCTCTGTGTGTGCTTTCCTGCCACGCGGTTGGATTCGGCTAGTGAATGGCCGTTGGAGAGTTCAAAATTTGAATATTTCCCCAAGTGATTTTCAGTGGGTAACTTTATTCAAGACGACTTGTGGGCGCTTTAGGGGTCGTCGCAAAAGTTTTTTGTCGTCCCTGAAACGAACATGATTCATTTGGGGGGGAGGGAGTGCGAGCCAAAATCGCAAGTCGACCGACACTGTACATATGACATGTACATGAATGCGATTTCCGTCGTCCAGCATAGCAAGCTGTGTTCGTTTCAGAGGGAGGGGAGGGGTCCGAGTACGAAATGAACGATGTTCGTTTCAGGGACGACAGAAAACTTTTGCGACGACTCCTTAGGACATGTTGTAGCGGCTTAGGTGGTGGTCTGCCCCAAATTTCAGGACCTTACCTTGCTGCAACTGGCCCTTGAAGATGGTCTTCGTAATGGCCGCCATTGGACAGATTAAATTGATCGATTCGTTCGCGGGACTCAGCAAGTTGCCAGTCAAAAGTTGGATGGCTAAACATTATTAGTACGAAGTAGTGTCAAGTGTCAAGTAAAGTTGGCGGAATAGCGCGAGCTCCGGTGTGGGGAGCAAACCCTTTCTTAAACATTATTAGGTAACTTGGATCGGTATGCGAACATAGTTGGTTCGGCTGCGCTGTGTTGTTGTGAGCAGTGGTGGCCCCTCGTTCTTGTACCTTATTTGAAGGTGTTTCAGAGCTATTATTTGTAGATTTTTCGATTTCGGGCTACATCTAAGGAATGCAGCGTTTCTGGACCAAACTGTCATAGAGGGTGAGTGAGGTCCACCCAGGGATAAAAGGAGCCAACTTTGAGCGAAATCGGAAATTTGACCGTGTCCGGTGATATTTGGTCATTACAGACATTGGGCGCGTTCGATTACACACATTTCGGTCAATTCTAGTATAAGTTATTTTGGACGCACTGTTCAATTACACAAATTCCGACGTTAGAATCGATGGAATCCAATTCTGTCAATTCTGAAGAGGGGCAGAATTTCTAAAATTCTTGAACCAAAATTGACGCACTTGACTTACACGCCGTGCTAGGTCCGCTTGCGCATGAGGGTGTACGGGATCCCAGGCGATCCCTTCTACGATTTTTACGTGTAGTCGTTCGCTTACATGGCCGCAATCCGTTCATTCTGTTCATTCGAAACCTGAGTACATAACGTGTGACGGTGTAATCGAAAGTGGCCATTGACTCTTATTAAAACATCGTACCCTCTGTTTCTAAGATGTGGTCTTGCACCATTCCACCATGCCTGTGGGCTCTTCTTGTTTCATTCTAAAGAGAACATAGACACTGAGTATTGCAAAGAGACTGTTTGGGGAGACAGAATGACATCAATTCTAGTGAACTCTAGACTTTTAGCTCGCGAATAAGAGCTCTCAAAATCAGAGTGGCGAAAAAGGAAAGAAAAAAACACTGGTTGTACGCGAGTCACGCAGGTTTGCTTTCTCAGTGCACAGACTTTGAGTATGGTGTCACGCTGATCAACTTTGCTGCATTGCCATCCCTATTTCGTCATGCATTACTTTCATTCTTAGGGTACCCCGTAAGAAGACCTTGAGTCTGTGGGGACTGCCCTATTAAAATATGAATAAATATGAATAAATAATAATAATAACTTTGATATGCATGACGTTGTGTGTCAACCATGCCTCTCAGTAACAAGTGAAACACTGCCGGGAACTTTAGTGCTGCACCAAGGGTGTGGGGTAATGCCAGGTTACTGCATTGTTGTAATGGCTCATCCAAGTCTCAAGACAAGACTCACACCCCTCGTACATACTGTAGTGGCCGGAGGCTGCTTCCGCGGAGCGGTGCAGCCGAAGGGCCATGTTTAAGGGGGTCCTCCGTCAGGAAATTTTTGGAATTTAGACGGAAAATCCTGCACTCTGGGCGACTCCCTGTACAAAATCATACATCGAAACTTTTTCTCCCCGGTTTTGGACGTTCCATGCCCATTTTTTTTCTTTTTTTTCGTATCCATAATGTCCTTTTCCTTTCTACATTTATTTATGGCTCAACATCCGAGTTTTTTTTTTTTTTTTTTTGGTACGGCCATGGCCGTACCAGTGGCGCCGGCCCTGAGTGGCTCATAAATCACATGAAGCCACCTACGTTCAAAGGAAGCAAGAGCTAACATTACCCGTGTATGAGCATGGGCAACGCACGGGGAATGACTGAAGGTTGCCATGTAATACAGGTGCTTGTGTCTGCTGCTCAGATTGTGGACTATCACTGGCGTGAACGTCCAACTCCAGCACCACCACGTCAAGAGGTTAGTCTTTGCACCAATCTCTTTCAAAAAGATTGGAACTTACGGAAAAACATAATTCTTGGGCAGAATGGTCTGGGCCCTGTAGTAATATTCTCAATATGGACAAGGAGACATGGACGAGTAAACTAATGAGGAGCAAGAAATGCACAACCAGTAGGTAAGTGAAAAACAAGAGAAGCCCCGAGCCAGTGAAGCACATCAAAGTTCTGGCCTACGGGAAACGGCCTGTGTGACGTACATACAGCATGCAACGCATACAGTCATAAGTGTACAGTAGTGTACGCATAATAGAGTCCAGATATTACGACAGGCCCACAGATTCTGTGATGGACGGTGCACCATTCCTCAAGTACATGTATACCAACATTGAATCTGTTTCTGTACGAGTATCTCAGAATTCAAGATAATGGCATGGCAGTGGGCCACAGGGAAGCACCCCAGTGGAAACATAGCCAGCAATCGCATGTCATCACGTACATTCAAAATCAACATAATTTTGCGAATCGACCTTTTTTTCAGGATCACTTTTCAACGAGGACGAAGCAAAGTCGGCCGAACGAAGCCTAGAGGAAGAAAATCACCCTCTCCACTTCACCATCACGATACTGACATAGATACGAGATGAAACAACTAAAAAATCCACAAGAAAACTGTACGGCCATCATCGCGCTGACTTTGGTCTGACTTTGGTCTGAGAATTTCTATCACGATCAAAAATGTACGAGGAGCACTCAAAAATAAGCCACAGACGTACCTCTATCGCTCTCTACTCCTTTTTCAAGGCACAAAAGTCGACTCTCCACTTTCAAACCAGGAACCAGACATACCAGTGGTCCTTTTCAGCTGCTCCACGAGCGCAGGAAATGTTCACCAAGGGGCGCAGAGCAGCATCCATTCCAGGAAAAGAGCTAAAATACGAGTGAGACTGCATGCCTGAGTACATGAGTACATGCAGAAAATAGTCAATTTCAGCGTTTCTGCTCCAAACAGCAACTAGCTTCGACTAGAAACAAAGATTACACCAAAGGATCAAACAACAACCATTTTCTGTAGTTTTTTTGCAGATGGCTTCCTTGTGCAAGGCCCAGCACGCCAAAAATCACACCTCGGAGGAGTACAAAAATTACAACTCTCAGATGTCCTCGATTGCTGGCCATGTTGAAGCATAGGCTTTAGAACGTGTTTTGCTAAGGCAGCTACGCAGCTAGGGCAAGAAGACACCACTTCAGCTCATCATTCTCTGGTTGACAGTGCCAGTCACAATGGTGTAATATTTTCATGCGCGACACCTGGGATCAATTTTAAAAGGCACCTTACGGCCATGGCCACCGTTTTCATGCTAGTATCAAACACTGCAGCTATGTTTCTAAAGAGAAGTAATGACATGTGTGTGCTGGCTTAGAGGTTCATAAGGCCAGTCCTGCGGCTTACACAGTACCCTGGATAACTGCGCGCCGAGCCAACGACAATACTAGACTAGGTTTCCAGGGGCACAGTATGGGAAATAGCCCTTCTGCAAAGCTTGCTGTGCTGCTGCCTACACTTAGAGGACTCAACGTCTAAACCTTCTGTAAAAGTTGGTTGTGCACGTTCTTTTTTCCTGAGTTGACAATATGGATTAACGGTCAAAGGGGTGTTCCGGGTACAGGTCTTCTCTTGTTATAACAAGTCCGATTCGTACATAAATCCCCGTTAGTAAATAGAAATCTGAAATCCCCTGGTGAAACGTGGTCTATACAACTGTTTGCAAGTCCGGTTACGACATAATTTTAACAGCAAATAAAATTCGTTATAACGACCCTTTGCCCAGGTCCCTAGAGTGCCAAACCCTCAGTATAAGATAACATTGACCATGCAGGACCAAGACCAAAACGCATAGGATAAAGCAGAAAGGCACAACGTATTTCGAATTAGTGCGTATTTCACCTTTAGCTGCAAGTCCTGTTACAAGATAAGTCTCGTTATAAGAAAACTTTTTTGATGGCCCAGAGATTATCTACTAATGAGGGAGGACCTGTACCCGGGTCCCCCCCCCCCCCCCCGTTAATCTCAGGTGCCGTTAGTAAAAGGGTACCGGTACCCATTAGGATTTCGATGATCCAGTCAGTACAGAACAACACTGCTGGAATCGCGCATTCCAGGCGAGAGTCAATTATTTACAACCCCACGCTGGATGTCTGCATTGTTCACGGTTGCATTTTTGCACCTAGTAGATCGACCTCTGCAACTATCAGACACAAATCAGTTTGCGAATCACAATTTGATATCAATATGCAACCTGAGAACAGATAAAATAAAATCAGGATATATGTGAAAATTGCGCAAAAATTAAACATGGCTGCTAAAGGGTCCCTGTTAACCCACTCGTTAAGAAAATTACCCGTTCGTTAGTTAATTAAAGGTACACCCGTTTGACCTCTAATATCTATGCATGAGTGTGACTGTGTTTCTTTTTCCTTTGACACCAGCTCTCAACCACCCACATTGAGTCTTTGCTTGTTTGTATTTGCACACAGAACTCCACAGAGCCGTATTATGACGAGTGGGAGCTATTCATGCTGATGATGTCATTTCCATGGGTATGAGAGAGGTAAGGTCTAAATCAAATGTCTCACTAGTTGCAGTCCGCGGGGTGCTGAGTCGAATGGTCTTGGTCCGAGAAAGCTGAGGAGCTCCCTTCCTCTTATATTCCCCTTCAAACTAGCGCACTTCCCCCGAAACTGGGTGAATGCCCCCCCCCCCCCCCCTACTAGATAGGGATTTGTGTGGGAATTTTCACTGAAAGCATCACTTCTTTTGCAGAGAAGCATGGATGACCATGAAACTCACAGAACCTGTAGTTCTCTGGACGCTAAAGTGAATGGTCTTGGTCCAATGAGGCATTAAACCCTTTTTTCCCTATCGCGTCACGCGAAATTACGCATCTATGAGCGACATCCACAGAACCTGCTGGGAGAGAACGCGTGTACTTGAGTCTCATCCTGAGCACAGTTTGTCTTCTTTTTTCAGCTCCAGTATGCATGCAGCTGTATTCTTCATTGCAAAGCCGTTCTCGATGGTTGTGTTCGTTGTTCGAACGAAGTGTATATTCAATCAAGAAGGCAGAGGACAGAAGAGCGAAATAATCAGTCCTCTGTTTGTGGTGCACGCGAGACTATGTGAGAGTAATCGGAAGAGCCTATCGTCTGGAAATAAACCCCCTGATGACACCTGATTGGAGTTTCACGTGGCACAGGACGGCCACACAGAGACGCTTTGCGATTCTCTGAATATACTCTACCGTACGCACGATGCAGAGTTCCATTTGTGCGATATCAAAGTTGTGATCTACAACATCAAGCAGAACTGACGGTTATCAATGGTTAGGCTGGCGATATTACTGGACAAATGATCCCTGGCATCACCAGACGCCAGAAGTCGGAAACCATGTCCTTTGCTGCAACGTTCATCTCCAAAAAGAACGCCATCTTCGTCTCAAAAGGCTTGAAATACTCCAAATTCAACCGAGCCTGTCGGTATCATGCTTTCTCAGATCGAATCATTTTTTTGTCGCAATAGTTGCAGGTCTAATCCTTGTCACTACTTCAAATGAGTCCGGCTCCAAAACATTGTTGGAGCAACAAATATTGAGGTTTCAAACCACCCCTCTCATCCAAAAATTCGAAATTTCAATGGTGGAAGATACTACGAACTAAAGTCAAAATGCATGGCTGTCGGCACGATCGTTCAACCTCCATGCATCATTCACATTTTGCAGAATGCCTCTGAGCCACATGCTAAGCATGGCACCACTCAGTGTGATGTCATGGTTGACACACAAAGTCACATGCACAACATATTTGTGTGCAGAGATACTGAATTAGTGGACATCGTCATCTTCTTCCCGTTGGTCTCAAATGTACTATGACGTGCTATTTCGCCCGACGAATGCATTCCCATACACAGTCCCGTAGTGATGTGTACGCGAGTCACCTGGTGACGGTGCCAGTGCAGTTTATCGTTCAGAAAACGGCCTGCAACCTCCAGTGCAATGACACGGCATTCCATGTATCAGCAGTGTATGCTTAGCTGAAGGGTGTGTGACCGTGAATAGTTCATCGGTCAATGCACTGCATACACAATCATCCACCGGTCAATGCGCTGCACTGTATACACAATCATTCACCGCTCAATGCACTGCACTGCATACACAATCATTCACCGCTCAATGCACTGCACTGCATACACAATCATTCACTGGTCAATGCACTGCACTGCATACACAATCATTCACCGGTCAATGCACTGCATGCACTGCATACACAATCATTCACCGGTCAATGCACTGCATGCACTGCATACACAATCATTCACCGGTCAATGCACTGCATACACAATCATTCACCGCTCAATGCGCTGCACTGTATACACAATCATTCACCGCTCAATGCACTGCACTGCATACACAATCATTCACCGCTCAATGCACTGCACTGCATACACAATCATTCACTGGTCAATGCACTGCACTGCATACACAATCATTCACCGGTCAATGCACTGCATGCACTGCATACACAATCATTCACCGGTCAATGCACTGCATGCACTGCATACACAATCATTCACCGGTCAATGCACTGCATGCACTGCATACACAATCATTCACCGGTCAATGCACTGCATGCACTGCATACACAATCATTCACCGGTCAATGCACTGCACTGCATACACAATCATTCACCGGTCAATGCACTGCATGCACTGCATACACAATCATTCACCGGTCAATGCACTGCATGCACTGCATACACAACCATTCACCGGTCAATGCACTGCATGCACTGCATACACAATCATTCACCGGTCAATGCACTGCACTGCATACACAACCATTCACCGGTCAATGCACTGCATGCACTGCATACACAACCATGGTGTACACTGTTCACTGTGTAGGTCTACAGGACGTAGAGCAGCTACATGGTACACTTGTCTTGGAGTCCAAGCGTGAGCTCCTTTGCCTTTCCAAGTTCATGATCACGCTAGCCACCCAACACCCCGCTTTTTATTTTGCTCGTATTAACCACGCAAGGCGATGATCAACACGTCTTTGATGAGGCATCCTATCTTGAATTGCTTCTTCTCAGACACGCCCTGGTTTGAATTACCTACTGCTGTCACTGTTGCTGCTGTTGTGTGTGTGTTCTTGTTGTTTTCTCCAGGTTGTTGACTAGAAGCTGATCGAAAAGCCGGAGCTGTGTCTCATTAGGTGTGTTTGTGTTCGTCTGTGTGTGGGTGTGTGGGTGTGGGCGTCTGTGTGTCAGCATGCAGGCAACAGGTTAGGTATGTATGTGGGTGGGTGTGGGTGTGGGTGTGGTAGTCTCCCTCACATGCACATACACACTGGGAGGGAAGTACTTACTCTGTTTATCACTTGTTCCATTCGTTAGTGATTCTTGCACAACTGTTGAATGAGGTAGAAACGCTTGCGCAGCTATACCATCTCATGACGTAGCCTTTTGCTTCTTGATTTGATCTTTTTCATGCCGCTAACCCCCTTGAAGCTTTGAATGAATATTTTTTGCATGCGTTGAGACTTGGTCGTCGCTTCTGCAGTGGAAGTACTTCAAAATAATCCGGAGTAGCGCCAAACACCCATTTCACTATTATTAGAGGGGTTTCTTTGAATTCGCTGGTGCAGAACACCGTCTGCTTGGTTGCATTATTCGCCGCTTGCTAAGTTGTGATGCATGGCACGTTGATTTACGTTGGACCTCTTAGATATCTTGCCTTGCTTTGGGTTTGCGTGCATTACCAACTACTCTATAATTATTGTAAATAACGATGATTGCGTTGCGGAAGCGGAACCCATGCATTGTGGTGATGTGGCATTGTGGTGATGCGAGCAATGAGATTGAAGTGCCGTGTTTTCAAACAGCAGCTGCATCCCGCAGTCAAACAGGAACTGTTGACGGCAGTGACTGGACATCCTTTCCCCATGCTAGAGTCTAGAGAGCAAGTGCTTGTGGGTAAACTACCTTGCTGCCTTTTCTGTAGTGCATCCCAGCATGAAGCAGGTAAAAAGGTCATGTGACAGGTTAGATCATGTGACCGGTTTTCTACTCAATTCAGTACAAGGCTGGGGTTACCATGGCAATTGCAAGTTACAATGGACGCTTTCGATTACACATTTGGGCCCAGGTTTTATCATTCTCAAATAAACCGATTGTGGCCATGTAAACGAACGACGACACGTAAAAATCGTGCGCCCACGCACGCACATGGACCTAGCATGGCGTTTACGTCGAGTGCGTCAATTCTGGGTTTAGAATTAGTAATTCCGCCCTCGCTTCAGAATTGACAGAATTGGATTCGGACGGCGGGGTTTTGTGTAATTGAACGGTGCATCCACCATAACTAGACCGAAATGTGTGTAATCGAACATGCCCAATGTCAATGATTAGTCTGTCCTCGGGGAAAATTGCGATTCCGCGGCTGCGTTTTTTTCCGCGTTTTTTGCGATTTTTTAAAAGACTGCGATTTTCCCACGTTTTTTGAACATTTTTGTTGCACAACACGTACACACAGACAGTGCACTGTTCGGTCAGCAACGTCTCATCGTGGCGGCTTCGTACTCAAATATGACGAGTGCTTACACCAGACTTGTAACTGATTGATTTCACTACATACTCACTGAAAATTGCCGCACATCAATATTATTCACCGCATATTTACCGCAAATTCACCGCAAACTATGCCATATTATGCCGCGTTTTTCCCCGCGTTTTTTGCGATTTTTTCCCGCAATTTTCCCCGGGGACAAGATTAGTAGCTCGGGTATTCGCACGTACAAGCCTTTGCACACAAGTAGAACTAGAATCCATGGCACCCGCAATCTAACGCCGGTGATGTCACTTATAGGCCAGGATCAGAATGAGGCCCGGATCGAGCGTTTTATACTGTAGTTGGACGTGTCCACAGTACTTCAGCAACAAGTGGAGATGATTAGCTTTAGACAGCAAAATTTTCCAGAGCAATGCCTGAATTCTTCTAATTGTCTGCAACTAAATTCTAATGTGTAGTGATGATGCAGTGATCATGGTGATCGCACTGATAGCTAGCTAGCTACATGTAGCTTCAAGAGGACAGTAAAACCTGTGACTAACGACCACTTCTTGGAGCCAGAGAAAGCGGTCTTTAGTGGGAGGTGATCCTTAGGTTTGCACCGCACAACCGTAAATGTGAGACCATCTGCCGCCTGGCGAAGTGGTCTGTAGTAGATCTACCAGGCTGGCCGCTAGTCACGGTAGTCGATGTCGCAGAACCTCGACGCCGAAGCGAACCCCAGTTGTTGTTGATTTTTATTTTACTTCGCAAGGCCAAACGGGCAATGGTGCCCAATTCTATGGAAGTGAATTTCAAGGGGGAGGGGGGGGGGGGGGTAGAGCGACTATACAACTCCCATGCATGGGGAATTATCCTGTAACTATTAAAGAGTTGTATTTGACAACTCCCTACAAGTACAAGTACAAGCAAGACTCAAGAGTTCATGAGGGGTAAACACCCGTACATCAATGAGTGTTGTTGATTTTTATCATTTTACTTTAAAAATCTTTGCAAGGCCAGACTGGCAATGGTGCCCAATTCTATGGAAGCGAATTTCAATGGTGAGAGAGAGATAGCGAGACACAGGGAGGGAAGCAGTGAGGTTAGGGGCATTGGAGGGTGGTGAGCGCATCAACGTGTGGTTGGGGGTAGCAGCGAAGAACAAATTGCTATGTAATTTAGTCTGATAAGCGATTTTGTAGCGTCAACAGAGCGATTTTGCAGTGTCAACAGAGCGATTTTGCAGTGTCAACAGAGCGATTTTGAAGCGTCAACAGAGGGAACACACAGAGTTCATAGGTGCACAAGCACGCAGAGAAGAGTAAAAGACGTGGTGTGTGGACGGGAAAAGTCAGACAGAGCGATCATTGCAAGGTGTAGGGGATGGAGGCAAACTTAAATTGCTGGCCAACCTTGATCTCCCTTACACTCCTTGGGAGTGCGTTCCAGGCCAAGGCTGCCTGAAAGGCCAGGCGAGATCTGCCGGCTTCTGACTGTGCCGAGGGGACAGTGAGGCCCCTGGAAACCTGGTGCCGGGTGGTGCTACCAGCTGATGGTGAGAATAGGTCCTGGAGGACACTGCTGGCTTTCCCATTGACACAGCGCCACACCAGGACGAACCGCTTCTGGGCGTAGTACTTGCGAACTCTGTACAGGGCTAGGGACATCCGTTCGAGCAGAGGTGTGAGGCGGCAAACCGTATACCGCTCTCGCCGCTCGGTTCGGCAGGACCTGAAGGCGATCAAGCTGCGAAACCTTGAGGGAGGAAGAGAAGGCGTTAGACCCGTATGGAGGTCAGGCATGATGACTGACCTCACATACTGGATGCGACTACTGAGGCTCAGACATCTGCGGGACCGCCACAGTGCTCCAATCTTCTGCACAACTTTCTTCCCAATCGCGTCAATATGGGGGTCCCACTTCACAGAGGCATCAAGGGTCACGCCGAGGTACCTTGCTGTTGGGCTCAGGGGAAGCTCTGTCTGATTGCAGCGGACACTGAGCGACATGCTGACCCGCATTGCGTTGTGGTACAATTGACAGGACCTGACTCTTCTTGTCATTTAGAAGCAGATGTCGATGCTTGAGCCAGTCAGCGATGTTGGTGACGGCCCCTGATAGGCAGGCTGATATGGCTAGCACTGATTTCCTGTGGCAGTGCACGGCAATGTCGTCGGCAAATTGCAGAGATGGAGCAGGATGGGCTATGGCAGGGACAGTCACGGGTGTACATACTAAACAGGATCGGTCCTAGGACCGAGCCCTGAGGTACACCAGATGAGCACTTAGCAGCAACACTGTAGGTGGGGCCAATGCGCACTTGCTGGGTTCGATCGCTTAAAAAAGTAGCTGCAGAACCAGCGAAGGGAGGCATTGTCCAGGCCGAGATCGAATAGGTCCCGGACCAGTTGGCTGTGATTGACCTTGTCAAAGGCTTTTGACATGTCGATTAGGCAGACGCCTGTGGTCAACTTGTCGTCCCGGGCCTTTAAGATGGCATCTGTTGCTACAACCAGGGCGTCCTCTGTGGAGTTGTCACGGCGGAAGGCAAACTGCGTCACGTGATCGCTCCAGATGTGCAACAAGTTGCTTCTGGACTATCTTCTCGAGTAGTTTGGATACGATCGTCAAGAGCGACACAGGACGATAATTTGCCGCTACCGATGGAGTGTGCGCTCGAAACAACTGCCCCACAATCCACTGACACCGATATAGAGACACGCCTGGTCCTCAGTGATTGCCGTGCGATAGCGAAGCCGCTCTCCAGTTAATGGTTGTAAACTTGGCTCAATCTTCAAAAGTGAAGCCGTAACGTCTCTAATGTCGTGTCTTATCGATGGAAAACCGCCAACTGGGCATGATAAAAGATGGCTCACAGAGGCGGTCACCCCACATACACATGATGATGGCAGCCGCTGGGGTGGCAACCATACCGTAAGCAAAGCCTATCTCTGAATTCACCTTTCGTTAGGTTGAACCCATAGCGACGTAACGGCTTACAGTTTTTTTAATTTTATTATTATTATTATTATTTTACTGAATACCACAGAACCATCAGATGCTGCACAGCGGGGGCGGTGGCATATTGGATGGAAGTGGCGGCGGGGCAAAAGTAACTCCTCCGACCAAAGGTCTCTGAATCATCGTTACTCCTGTGCGCCGATACATAGGAGAAAAGAAACATGTGCATCCAAGAGGGGGGCACCGGCTTTGCAAAGGATAATGGGGAGAATTTGAGATTGAGATAGGACATAACAATAGTAAAAGCAGTGCACCGCAGGAAGATGGAGAGAACTGATAATCGCATATTAAGGCTGAGCGAAGGGGATCAAAGAGGGGTAGAAGGGAGCTGGAGTGCGGTCAGCATCATTAGGCTGGTGTGTTGGCTGCGATGGAGAGATCATAACCTGTCTGTGGCCCACTCCCACTTGCTGCGCCGCAAGTGGTCGTTGACATTTTTCTTAAATGTGTGCATACCTCTGCGAGAAGGGGGAGACTGCAGAAGGGTAGGTGGGAGCTGATTCCACGTTGCGATGAGGGAGTGGGGAAATGAGCGGAGCGTGTTGTTTCGTGACTGAGGAGGAAGGATACTGGTGAGTTGTGATGGATGATGTGCTGCAGATCTGGTTGTCTCACGAGTAGACATGCGGCATTGCGGTGCGGCTGCTGATGGTGGCAGAATGGCTTTCACCATTTCCGGACCCTCCGCGGCCACAAAGTGCAGCTTGTACAGAAAGCAGAGCCCTGCTACGGTACGGCGAATGTCGAGGCTCGGGAGGTATGATCCGTCTCCAATTATGTGCAGGGAACGGCGCTGGATGGCAGTGAGGCGGGCCAAGGTGGTGGGGGCTGCGCTCATCCACACCAACATGCCATACTCTACTTGAACACAGGGCGGACAAAGTCACGGTACACGATTGCCCGGTGATTTGGGTCTAGCACAGCCGATGCCTTACGGAGGAAGCCGAGCCGCTGGGCTCCGCGTACTGCAAGCTGTCGGATATGGCTGCGGGATGCTAGCTGCCTGTCGAAGGTGACGCCAAGAAGCTTGAGCTCCTCTACTTCTGGCACGACTGCTCCTTGGAAGCGTATTGCGTTCGGGGGGGGGGGGGGGGGTTGGCGAGCGGCGGTGGCTGATGGTCAATGCCTGTGACTTTGTGGGCTCGAACTTGATCCTCCCCATGCTGCCAGTGAGTCTACTGCCTGCTGGAAGATTGCTGTCTCTTCTGCCAGGCTGAGTCGGGTGGTGATGCACTTGTCACTCTGAGAGAGTTGTGTCGTCGGCGTATACAGCCAGCTTCGCCCCATCAGGCAGGTGGTCTTCTGCGTCGTTGACGTACAGAAGGAAGAGGGTGGGGCCGAGGATGCTACCCTGCGGCACGCCAGATCACAGGTCAGCCAACTGGAACTGAGCTCTCCCTTGCCAGGTCAATTGTTCAGACAATCGTTGACGAAGGGTCCGCGATGACAGACGACAGTGCATCCGACTGGCCTCTTCGATTGGATGACCTCAATTGGTTCTTCCCGGTCTTCCGGACAACATCCGGCAACGCATCTCCGAGCGCATGGATGCCTCCCTTGATGCGGTTGCACAAAGGGAGCAGTGATGCCGGAACCTGGACGTGTCATCGCTGACGTATTTAGAGTTGAAGGCTGCACGATCGCGAGACCACCCAGCCGACAACTAATTTACTTCACAAGGCAATGCAAAAAGGCGTCTCATGAGTCATGGAGTCATTTGGTAGGTGGATGGGCCTTTCCAGTGCCAGGGCTCCAGTCCAATGGCAATGCGTGCTTGTAGTTGTAGTCTATTGTCAATACGACAATAGTATAATGAGTACTCACTCTCAGCTCCGCATGTCCGGCGGGGATGTAGTCTTGTATTGTAAGTACAGTAGTAACTAGCTGCATGCATGTGCAAGCCATGCGTGCAACTCGCGCAGAACATGCGGTCATGCATGCATGGCATGTTCATGTGACTTATTCAAAACCACATTTCGTTATTTTGAACTAAAATAATTGCTCGTATCGTTGTGTGCACTTTTATGTGTACTTTCTTGGTTGGTGATAGATGTGCTCGTCTTTCGAAAGGGCACTGCAGCAGCGAGAAGGGAACGGACCATTTCTGCAATGGATCCTACAACCTACTGTAAAGTCGTTATGGTGCCGTTTGCTTCTTAGGAACCATTGCAGCCATAGGGAATCTTTTTGTTTGAGTAATGACTATTGGTGAACTTCTGCACTGCAATGTACCTAACAATGGATACCGTCGTAGATTTTGCGAACGGCACCCTGCTCGTTGTTGCCCAAAATGCTGGTCTAGTGCTGGAGACAGTGATGGCGGACGCGCTGCTGACCTTCGTGCTGCTGACCTGCTTCATGCCGCTGCTGCTCTTGGTTTTTCTTTTCGCTTGTGGCGTTGCGTTGCGTCTCTATCTGAACCGTACACGGGTGGTAGGACTCTCCACGCAGGAAGGAGGCCTGTCAAGCCGTGCTCGCACTCTTGTAGCTACCATTGCTGACACGCAAGGAACATTTATTTGTGGTAAGACTCAACGTAACGCATTCTGAATAGAATTCAGAAACGGTGATTACTACTGTATGCGTACGTGTGCATGTTTTCAAACATTTGAATTTCAAACTTACCATATTTGACACATCAATTCATGAATTCATCTCCGTTAGTATTGGACCGACTGTGCATGTAAGTAAGTTACTAAAGTAGGCTGGATCAATGATGGTTCATGCTTAAAAAAATTGTTTTCATGGAGAACGACGAGGTGTTCAGTACATGCCGTAAGCTGGTATGTCATGTGACATGTTCCAGAGCCGGTTCAGGTACCATGTAGAGTCGTGCTTGGTGTAATCCGACCAAAAAGTACGCGTTCATCACCCTGGACCTGCGCGGTCCACAGCGCCCTGGAAGTGGTACGAAAGTGCGAATGCTGCTGGACGTACACAAGTAAAAGCACAGTGATGTGTAGTGAGACCTGGTCTGGGCATCTGCTTTGCTCTTTGGATCGGATTTCAACTATCTCTGCTGTAGTACGAAGAGTCCATAAGTTACAGTATTTTCCGGGGTGTTAGCCGCACTTTAGAACGCGTAAGAAACTAAAAAATCGTCCCTGCCGCTGAGACTCCGAGTGCTGTATGTGAATCGACCAGCGCTACAGCACCACATGCATATTGCATATACCGTAAAATCCCGCCAGAGCGACCATACCTCCTCGACGCTTCGAGTATGACCATTTATTTGCCACAGCCTAGGTCAGCGCGGTATAGGCCAATTGTAGTTCGCTGTTGGCAATGACGGCAAGTCGACGCACCTCACCCGACCACTTCTGTACCTTTTTTTCCACAAACTGCTCATAGAATTGAGGTGTACCGATTGCAGCGCCAAGATACCTCGCTCCATCAGTTGTTATGGGAATGCTCGTGCCGTCAAACTGGCGCTGCACGTCCTCCGAGCGACTCTCGTTGACAACAAGCACAGGCTTGGAAAGATTGATAAAATAGCCATACCTAGGCCCACATTCAAGCAGCACATCCCACCATCTGCACAGCTGGAGAAGCTTGCTAGTAGGTGACGAATCATCAGTGAACCACTGCTGAATGGAGCGGTGGGCCGACTGCACCAGCCTGTCGAACAAGTGGCATCATACCGATCGCAGATGTATGCCTAGCAAGAGGATTCCCTTGCGTTGTCCCCTCCTCAGACATGATGCGTTCACCGCCTACATACGAATGGGATGGTTTGCGATATGTGTTGATGAGTATAGGTGCCAAAGTAGAACAACGATGTTGGACATTCTTGAACATTAGTGATCTTCTACGAGCGGGTTTTCCGGAAGGCTTTGTGTCTTTTAAGTGTCGTGTACAGGCGCTGCCTTCGAATCTACAGTGGTAGCAAGTGAAATCCAACCCCATGATTACGAAAGAGCGGCATTCACTGCCCCGCACTATTGTTGGCAGTGCTTGGGTTGTGCAGCCCCCGTAGCTGTTGTATCAATGGGGTTGGATTTCACTTGCCGCCACTGTACCGTAATGACTGTGTGAAATCGGTGCGCCTAAGCCATGGGAAAATTCTCAAATCCGGTCAGCGTGATCGTCATTTCACTACGTATTGAAGGCGGCGCACTGTGCTGAGCACCCATAGCTCGGAGATCAGAGGTGCACACTTTTGGGTGTGGACTCTATAGTAGTGCCAGAAACACACTGTAGACTTGGCTGCAGCCTGTCCAAGCTGCGTCATCAGTGTGTAAAAAAAGTCGTTATTGTGCCGGCGCGCAGAAAATGGTTACGGACGAGTTGTATGCCATCACCAAATTTGAATGTGCTTAATTTTGACTTCGTTGTTTTGTGTATTGTGTTCAGGATTTGATGTAAGCAAGCTCAACAACATACCTGATAAAGGTGGGGCGTTGTTGGTGCTCTATCATGGTGCTTTGCCGCTCGACTTCTACTTCCTATGGGCCAGGGTACAGTTGGTGAAGCAACGGACCATGTACCTGGTCTCTGACCGCTTTATGTGGAAAATACCCGGTATGTTTGGTGTGTGTGTCTGTGTGTACGTGTGTGTGCAAGGTGTTTTGTACTGCTGCAGCCGGACATTCAAAGTGGTTGTAATTGGGGGGGGGGGGGGGGGGGGGGCTGATCTCTCCAAGCATACCGGACTTGCTCATGGTTGACAGGAATGGTAGTATGCTATCAAGTATCATGTCCAATTGTCCATGCACCAGGTCATTTGGAAGTTGTAGCAATGGCCCAACCGTGATGTGTTATGCTTTGATATTTCTCTCAGGCATCAAACCTTTCCTTGACATTGTCCATGCTGTGCCTGGTTCGCATGATGAGTGTGTTAGGCTGCTGAAGGTAAGTTACAGACAGCTGCAGCGCAAGGACATTTGTTTTGTTTTTGTTGTTGTTGTTTTTTTGTTTTTGTTTGTTTGGTACACCTGGTACATGTGCAGTGCCATGTCAATGATCACTATCAATCATGTTGACCAGATTGACTACCTACAGAAGACTGTTGATGAGTCCAAATTTCTTTGTGTACCTGCTCGGGTAAGCAGTTTGCTGGCCTGTTTTTTTTCTCCCTTTGAGCTTTGACGAGGCTCACTTGACTACTGTATTGTCTTGCAAGCGTGTAATATCTGATTTATTCGTCCAAAGCTGCCTGTCAGTTGAGAATTTTCATTGAGGACGTTACTAGTATAATTATGTATTGGTCATGTTTGTGTTGAAAGTGTGGTGTATCTACAACTGGTGTTCTCGTCTGACCTGTTAGGAAGGACATCTTGTTTGTATAGCTCCTGGAGGTATGCGGGAAGCGCAGTTCTCCGATGACATGTACAAGATCCTGTGGGGTCGGCGGCAAGGGTTTGCTAGGGTGGCGAAGGAGGCTGGAGTGGTGAGTCTGATTGCTGTGAGCTGATCCTGCTTGTGCTTGTGCCATCACTGTTTGCATTCCATGTCAGTTTGTTTGCCCATGTAGGCCTTTGCGTTTGCACAGCCTAACCTCTGCTCGTCAACTCCTGTTGCGCAGAAAACCTATCTTCTTATTCAATCGGAATTTTCACGTAATGACATCAAATTAATATGTTCATGATATTGTATTGTGTTTATTCAACATTTCCTAACATGATGCTGTTAAGCCATCCGACACTAGGTAAGATGTGTGCTGGGCCCATTGACGACATCTTCAAGCCCTACGTCTCATAGTCATGTAGGCACGTTAAGCTCGAGTTGAGTTCAAGACGTGCTACTCTGGTTGTTGGTTTTGCATTCTCGCTTTGTCACAGCCGATTGTTCCCGTGTTCTGTCGGAATATCCGTGAAGCGGTGCACACTTTCCCCTGGAAACATGGTAAGGATACGGCTGGCTCTCCCTTGATAGTTGTCTCTGTTGGTGTTGGATCTTGTTGACTGCATGCTAGAATACATCCGATTTTTCTGTGGGAATGTGCTGAAGTTATAAGAAGGTAGATATACATGTAGTGTGCTTGGTCACTGCCTTGTCATTGACTTGTAAGCTTTAACTGATGGGTGCTGTCTGTAACCATCAATGCTCTTGCAGGTCTTCTGCGCCTGATCTATGAGAAGACACGTATCCCTGTAGTTCCTATTTACGGGCCGTTTCCAGTGAAGCTAAGGTGAGTGCATGTGCGGGGAAGCTGAGCTGGAGGAGTTGCATTCTTTTTCTCCGTATAGCCCACCTGTGCACGTACTTAGCCAGGCCTGAGCTGTTGATACTCGCAAGTTGCCAGTGATAGTTCTGAGAGCCAAGGCTAGCTTGTGCGCTGGCGACTAGTTTAACTTGTTGGCTGTATACCGATATCAGGAAGATTTGTGTTTCCACCAGCATGTGTATTGCAACGACTCGTTGCTTGTTCTTTATTCACAACTGCACCACTCTTTATTGTCTTTACATGACGTGTTTCGAGATGCACATGCACATAACGCTGCTCAGCTGACTGATCCAGGCTTGTTTGTCATTGCACTGTGTTGGTGTTGATGCTGTGCACTCTCTTTGCCCCCATGCCTACCTTACAGGTGCTTCATTGGTGACCACGTGACCAGTCCGGAGGAAGAGCGTGTTGAAGATTATGCCCATAGAGTAAGAGGTGTTGAGAAGAAAGAGATTTCGAGCATGGTGCTTTTCATGTGTGATTGTGCATTGTGGTGATTTGACCATATTCTTGTTGTCCGATCCTAATGTTCTCTTCTTTGTCCTGGAATGGAGAGCACGGTGCTGTGCAGGCCTTCGAGTGTGTAGGTGTTATGATTAGATGAGTTAGGAGCTGTTCGTGATCCATCCTTTACCTCACTACTGAACAAAGCAGCTAACATACACTATGCCGCACCTTTCTAACCTAAGCCATTGTGTGTTCCAGAATGACTGCCGGAGCTCTGTTACATATCGTGGTCACTTTTCGAGTGTGTATCGCCTTCACTGTGTGTTGTCTCTGTCATTAGGTCCGCTCTGTTCTTGAGGACATGATTGCACGGCACCAGGAAGTGCCTGGCAGTACTTTCAGGGCACTGCGAGAGCGTTGGACTCTGCCACCCGTTGACTCATAGCCTTCACCTTTGGCTGGTGTGGAGTGCCAAGCACCAGGTCAATGCAGCCTGATAGGTGAGTGGAGATATTGTCAAACTAATCCAGCAAGGTCACACGGCTTTGGACTAAATACTGCTCCAATGGCTGCTTGCTTTGGACACACCTGTGCTACCTGTCAGGAAGGTGCCTCTGCAATGTGTGCCGCTCTATGTGCCATGCTGCATAGTGCGGCCGCAGCCAGTGATGAGTGGTCTGCCCACGCTCGTGTTCCGTGAACGGATACTGACAGGAATCCTGCTGCTGCTGCTGTGGCCGTGTGGCGGGTTTCTTTTCCTGCGTGTCCATTTTATTTTGGCGGCGTGCGTGAAAGAAGTGTTGCCCGTAGTGTCTGTGTACTCGCGTGGTCTTTGCTTTGCTTACGCATATGCCTTGAGCGATCTATTCAGCAGCCCTCTTCTAAACTTTCAAGGTATGGGCGTGTTGTGCACAAACAGCATCCCGGAGGAATAGGGGCATATTTCAGATAAAAACCCATATGCTATGGGTATGTATATCTCTATGGAACGCCGCTTTTTAAAAATTTATTTTCAGACTTGCAGGTAGATGGGATTTCAATTGATTTTATTTAGGCCGTGCTACACTCATCTATTCTGTCAACACTATGCAGCTATTTTCTCCTTTGTCACAGACCGTGTTGTTTTATAGGTATTTTCAAAGTTCTAGTGCTGCCTTATCTACAAACGTCCCATTTATTACTATTAGAGATGCAACCTGGGATCCTCAGAGCAATGCTGAATGGTGGATGGAGAGAGAGAGAGAGAGAGAGAGAGAGAGAGAGACACACACACACACACACACACACACACACACACACACACACACACACACACACACACACACACACACACACACACACACAGAGACACAGAGACGCGGGGGGGGGGGGGGGGGAGGAGATCCTTTAGAACACTGTGCTTTGGTACTGCACCGTGCCCAGCAGGGATTGCTTCCTGTAAAATGTGCTTGTAACAGAACATCACGTGCATGTCACAGACTGCAAATAGCCTACACTGTGCGGGGGGATACTAGTAGTATCCTATACTACCTAATTATCATCACAATGCAGGTGTTCAATCTCTCTGCGCTGGACTAAAGTTACATGTAGCCTTGCCTTTAGCACTCTAACTTCTAAGTAGCGAACCATCACGCTGAGAAAAAGCGCACAGCTTTTTGATGGGACTTACTTATTTTTCATGAGAATCAGATTTTTGTACAAGTTTCTGAGGCTTTGTTATGATTTTGCACGGTCTCATTTGGATGACTCCTTTCAAGAGGTTGAGATGAGACTTTCCACCCTAAACGTGGCGCTTTTTTTCTACCAAAAAACGGCCGTGTGCTTTGTACATAAGATGACTTTTTTCGTTGCTATTGGGGCTTCGGCGGTAAGTAGCCTCTTGTATTAAACTTTGAAAACGTACGGCAGCAGAGAAAGTTGAAGGACAGCTTGCACTATTCATTGAAAGGTGTCTCCTTCCTCTCCCCTGAAAGAGATTGGAATGCGCACCTGGCCTGACTTGTAATTACAAGTGCCTTGGACTTGATCTCTTATTCAAAAGCCGGAAGAAAACAATGACTGCCACCGCCACCAGGGCGCGAACCATTTTGGCTTCCAGTGGGCATTTTCTTGGTCGGTCTCTATTGAACATGTTCTTGGTCTCTATTGAACATTTACTTGGTGAAGATGTGATTTACAATACTGGTCTGTTGATCATGAAACGTTCCAGAGAGACTTTTTATGAGCGGGTCCATCTCTGCTCCAGAGGTCCGGTTGTCAACCGACTACTGACCATGCTAACTGTAGTATTTTGGTTTTGGACAGGTAAGTACAGCATATATCATATCTTTTAGACACTTTTCATTAATCATAACTCAATGGTCATTCAAAGTCATATTAAATATAATTATATCTACAGCTAGTACCAAACACTAAAGCACAGCCACTTGAAGAATGAAGTAACACAATCATACAAAATAGGGGTTGCAACTTCGGCGATGATTTTTTAGGAATGGGTTTGCTCGGCAGTCGTGAGTCTGTCAAGTGTCAAGTAAAGTCGGCGGAATAGCGCGAGCTCCAGTGTGGGAGCAAACCCATCCCTAAAAAAATATACAGTGTACAATTTACATGTGTGTGTACTGTATTTTTTGGAGTATAAGTCGCACCCAGAAATTTGTGACGAAATACAGGCATCTCTGCAGCCTATGCTCCGGAAAGTACGGTAGTTCTAGCCATGTGTGTGTGTGTGTGTGTGTGTGTGTGTGTGCGTGTGTGTTGTTGTATTTTAATTCGCAGAATCAAACGGGCAGCAAGCCCAATTACGTGAGAGCGAATGTGTATAGTGCACGCATAAACATCATAGAAGCAGGGATATCAGAGAATGCAAGGTGACGTTCAGAATTTAGGATTGGGAGACATCCCTGTTCTCTCTATAAATTACAGAAATCTGTCTGATATGGAGCAAAGTCACTTGAAAGTGTATGTGTGCGTGTGTGTGGTGTGTATGTGTGTGTATGGTGTGCATGATGTGTGTTGTCATGGTTTCTGTCCCCCATGGTGTCAAAACATGTACCGGTACAAGAGGAAACGTCGATGTCGCTCGCGCGTTCGCACACAGACTCACGTCTTATCTGCCACGGGCATGGTCACTCCGGCATGGCCTGCCCTGAGTCGTAACCAGGGCCTAGGCGCCCGGCTGGGGATCGAGTTGATCCGTCATCGCAAGAGTACATGGTTTTCATGTACTCTTGGTCATCGAAGCTTGAAGCTCCGATTTGTCACCATGGTCACGCGCAAGCTCCCTCACGTCACCATGGTCACTGTCCTCACTGGGCCTCAGTTCCTCCCGGACCCTGGTACATGATCACTGATCATGATGATGGTCGCAACTCAACTCACTAGCCGACTCCACCTTCTTTTACCCTGTCGACGACATGTCGTCGTGTCGAGTGTCGTGCCATGATGATGATGAGCATGCATTGGTGAGTTTGAATAAGACCCGGGGTCTCGCTGGCTTGTACTGACTCTGTTGTAGTCGCAGCACGATTGGTCTTTGGATGAGTAGATCTACCGCGGTGGCAGTCCATCCCTAGGCCCTGTCAGTGTCAGCAGTGTGGTCAAAGACTCGAGTCAAGCCCTGCGCGCTGCCTGCACTACTAAGTACTACTAGTACTAGGCTGCAGCAAGCGCGGCTAGCTCCGTAGATCTACACCTGGCCCCATGCCGATGTGCATGGTTTATGAACCTTGTGAACTGCGTCCCGAAGTAAAGGCGAAGAGCCTGTTTATGGTTTACGAGTAGACCTCACCCTGCATATTTCAAACTCAAATCGAATCAATTACAAGAAAGACTCTTGGCATCGGTCAGTTTCGGGTCATTGTTGTGTTCCGACAGTCCGATCCCGACCCCCGCCATGCAATGATGATGGTAACTAATTACTGATAAACAACAAACCAACAAGAATCCGTAGTGAGAGAGACGGACGAGGCGCTAGGATCGCCATGGCTCTGGCCGCCTCGAGAACGCCGCTGGAAATCAATCCGCCGTGCGTGGAGTTCGCCGACATCGCACCGGGCCGCACTTACGAAGCGGCGGTGTCGTTGCGCAACATCAGCTCTCACCTAGCCGCGGTGCGCGTTCGTCTTCCTAATTCCAAGGTAAGGGAATAAATTCTTTGCAGGGGAGCGCCGAAACCACCAGTCGACAATGGCAAGAGGCTGCTGTCGTGAAACTGACTATCTTCTTGCGCTTTTACCTTTAAGTTTTATCGAACGCTTTTGACATATTTTTGAACATGATCGTAGCGAACCACAATGCTTTCATCAGTTTGCAGTGGTTTGGGGGAGTTGAAAACACACGCACAATGCAATCTTTTGGTAGTTTTTTGCGAAAGAGAGCGTCGCTCAGTCGGCTATGCCTGCGCTACAAGCAGTGTCAATACTTTCTAGCTAGCTTTCAATTTAGTTGTAATGATTTCGTGGTTCCACATACCCGGTAATTATACATTATGCCCCCATTGCATGATTGTGCACGTGTGCGTGTGTGTGTTTTTTTGGGGGGGGGGGGGGGGGATACCGATCTACACATTCCTTTGTAGATAGCATTCAGCGAGAGTAATGGTATCAGCTGGTAATGGCAATCACGATCACAGAGAGAACACTCCACTACCACCAGTACTGCAGTAGCAGCTACAATGACGTACATACCGGTACATGTTGTTGGTTTGACAGCAAACCAACAACATGTGTGAACTGATAAATAAGGTTTATCTAATACAAATGTACAATCATGACGTATCTTGATACAACTGGTTATGAGTGCAGGTACAATACTGGTGTGTGTGTGTGTGTGTGTGTGTGTGTGTGTGTGTGTGTGTGTGTGTGTGTGTGTGTGTGTGTGTGTGTGTGTGTGTGTGTGTGTGTGTGTGTGTGTGTGTGTGTGTGTGTGTGTGTGTGTGTGTGTGTGTGTGTGTGTGTGTGTGTGTGTGTGTGTGTGTGTGTGTGTGTGTGTGTGTGTGTGTGTGTGTGTGTGTGTGTGTGTGTGTGTGTGTGTGTGTGTGTGTGTGTGTGTGTGTGTGTGTGTGTGTGTGTGTGTGTGTGTGTGTGTGTGTGTGTGTGTGTGTGTGTGTGTGTGTGTGTGTGTGTGTGTGTGTGTGTGTGTGTGTGTGTGTGTGTGTGTGTGTGTGTGTGTGTGTGTGTGTGTGTGTGTGTGTGTGTGTGTGTGTGTGTGTGTGTGTGTGTGTGTGTGTGTGTGTGTGTGTGTGTGTGTGTGTGTGTGTGTGTGTGTGTGTGTGTGTGTGTGTGTGTGTGTGTGTGTGTGTGTGTGTGTATTGGCAATCCATTCCCGTGCTGCATCTTCTGCATATCGTTTGGGCAGGTTTTCAAACTGCAGGGTGGAGAGAAGAACGTCTCCATAGCGCCAGGCTTGGAAACACATGTGGCTGTCAGATTCCAGTGTGGCAAAGACAAGAGTGCCGCTAGCAAGGACGATAGCAGTGGTGCGCGGAAAGCACACACCGGCTACCTTGAAGTGCAGAGTGGCAGCGACATCTACAAAGTGAAGATATTAGCGTGAGTAGTGCTGCTAAACTGCATGCGAACACTGTGTGGTGCTGTGTGCTCATTGTAAGTGCATCAGTTATTGTATGGCGCAAGTGGTACAGCATAGACCTTCCTCTGCCTTCCTAAACCCCTTATTTAACTCCATTCTCACGTTCACTTCCAAGTAATTGGGCTTGTAGTCTGTATGTACTTGCGAATTCAAATAAAGAATACATACATCCATGTTAGGGGCCTCTGATTCCTTATCTGATTCCTAATCAATTGATTGGACGCTTTCACGATCAGAAGGAATTAAAAAATATTTTCAGTACTCCAAACGAACCTCTTGTGGCTGCTGTGGGGAATGCGTGGTCGGCCGCAGAGCGCAACCTGCAATAATTATTATTCTAATTCATGGGTGTCCGTGAAAATGTGTATGAGCGGGAGGATAAGGCTGAGTTGCTTGTATTATTGACTTGTTATCTATTCTTCTTTTACCGCGACTATTCCAGAGAGTGGCCCAAAGCCCACTGGGATGTCACACGGCACATCAATTTCGGCAGGCAAATAAGCGATGGTCGCGTCTCTACAAAGACGCTCACGATCCGTAACGACGGCAGCAAGGCTGGCACTTTTTCAATCCAATGTGGCCTGGAGGCTCTGGCATTCGAGCCGTCAAGTGATACGGTGGCGCCTTTCTCTTCAGTTGACGTGAAAGTAAGTGAAAGCGGTGATGTTTTCAGGCTCTTGATCGCCACTCCACATATCATAGTAAACCGGCATATACATGTACTTGTAACTTTTCTCGACTTTTTGGCATTGCATTAGAAGTGTGGTATTTGCTTTTGCATTTAGTCACACAGTCATACAGTCCGACTGGCTTTTTTAGTGACTTGTTGAGAGAGAAAGTCTCTCGTAATGACTACCGGGCTAAAGTCCTTGTTGGGTAATTCAGACTGCCTCTGGTACATTGCCTTTTATTGTTTTCTTCTCCCTGGCATTTGTTACTCCAGGTAGAATTGGCGTGCAACATATCTGGAAAGCTGGAAGCCTATCCGTTGTAAGTTCGAACGTGATAGGTGTATGTAGAGTTGGATATGTAACTTATGGAACAGTACTACATGCATGGAAGAGTCAGAGTGGTAATTGATTAATTGTTTCCATCATCCGGGGGTTTAGCTCAGTGGTAGAGCGCTCGCTTTGCATGCGAGAGGCCATGGGTTCGAACCCCATATCCTCCAAACTTTTTTTGTATTTTATGGAAGAGCCTTCCACATACGTGTGCCTCTTTTGGCTCATTTCAGTCATTTCACTACGTCATGCTCAGAATGCTTGGATCTACTGTCCGTTGTTCTTCTCGCACAGCGATAAGCCACACTCGCTACACACCAAACAACAGCACATTTGTATTGCGGTTAGGAGGGCCAGAAGTGTGACATTGTGACAAGTGTGACAGAAGTGTGACGCTGACAGTTGACTGACGCTGCCCGCTGAACGATGCTGGCTTCCGGCCGCTGTTCTTCCGGGTTGTTGTTCGGGATTAAGGCGGCCCTTGCCTGGGGCGGTTGGGCTTGTGCCGGCCGCATCCGCAGACTCTTGCAGCGAGTACTTCGCATGTTGGGCTATCGCTGCCGAAGAGGTTCCACTTACATTCACCCGAGATGAAAAGGTTCTCCTGAAGCGGGATGACCATATGATCAACCACCATATCTCGGAAGCCCGCTGGAGACCATAGCAGTGGCCACCATGTGGCCGAAGGCCAGAAAGGGAGGATCAGAGTGCCGTCTGCGTGGCAAGCTTGCATGTGGCGAATCGTGCGGCCGATGAGGTGGATTGGAGGCTCGATCCAATTGTTCTCGTCGTTCCAGCTCACGGAGAATGCGTCCACAGACGTGCAGCCTGGGGACCACCATCTACTGCAGAAGCGCTGCATCTGAGCGTTCTGCGGAGTAGCGAAGCGGTCGATTGTATGTGGGCCCCATTTCCGGTCAAGCATTAGGAAGACGTCTGGCGCAAGCTGCCAATCGTCCTGGTCCTTCACCTTTGAGAAGAAGTCAGCTCTCTCATTCTCTTCCCGAGGTATCCACTCTGCCCGGAACGTGATACCTTGTCGGATGCAGATACGGAAGTGAACGTGAACGTGATTCGAACGTGATAGGTGTATGTAGAGTTGGATATGTAACTTATGGAACAGTACTACATGCATGGAAGAGTCAGAGTGGTAATTAATTAATTGTTTCCATCATCCGGGGGTTTAGCTCAGTGGTAGAGCGCTCGCTTTGCATGCGAGAGGCCATGGGTTCGAACCCCATATCCTCCAAACTTTTTTTTGTATTTTATGGAAGAGCCTTCCACATACGTGTGCCTCTTTTGGCTCATTTCAGTCATTTCACTACGTCATGCTCAGAATGCTTGGATCTACTGTCCGTTGTTCTTCTTTGACTACCATCGCTACATCTTACACATTCTTGGCACTTTTGATCACAGGCCACGTTTGGCCAGGCACGAAAGACTGATGCAATCAAACTGCATAAACACTGTTACTTGTTGATGTTCTTTGGATTGTTTGCTCTACGCTTTACGGCATGCTTGCTCCTGTCAAGGGTGAAATTATCAGATGGAGTAGCCGATCCAGTGACGCTAGAAGCGTTCGTTTCTGCCGAGTTGACACGCACCTACTGCGATGTAGTGGACGAGAATGGCAAGCCGCTCAGCGCACTCACGCTGGGGCCCACCTACTTCGGAACGGTGCGCAAAGCAACAGTGTTTCTGCGCAACATTGCGCCGAACCACCTGGATTTCGTCGTGCAAATGGTTGAGCGCCAGGTGAGTGCCATTGACCTATTTAAAGCATGCCTGGTATCGGTGTGATTTGTAACTTGTGTGTTTCCCTGACTACCAGCTACACATAGTCACTAACAGTGCTACAAGCAGTTCTTACGACTATCTTGGCATCCATTGGACTTCTTTGTCCGTTTTTGCAAATGCAGGGTTAGCTAGTACTGTACCAAGTTCGAGCCAAACTTATGCTACAATGATATTGGACCCCGAACACCTATCCGTGCTATCAGTCCAATATCATCTGCGGTGGTAGTTCTTGACAATTCAGTAAAACCTGTAACTAAAGACCACCGTGACTAGCGACCAGCCTGGTACTACAGACCACTTCGCCAGGCTCGGATGGTCTCACATCCATATAATATGGTTGGGTGGTGCAAACCTCTAACTAAGGACCACCTGCCACTAAAGACCGCTTTCTCTGGCCCCAAGGGGTGGTCGTTAGTCACAGGTTTTACTGTGCTCCCATGTCCATCAATGCTGTTTGCGATAAATTGCATGCTCTGCATGCCAGCACCATGTTTTAACTTTCCGGCCAGGATGACTGGATCTGCGAAGTTCACGGTTTGTCGGTGTGCTAACTGCTAATCTATACTGCAGGGAAATGACTGGAGCCAGGCGCTGTGCGTGACAGCAGCTTTGGCCGCACAGAAAGCAAAGCAGGAGACACTCATGCTGGAATCGGAGCACGGCGACATGGCTGGACGAATTTTACAGGTATGACTCAGGTAAAGTGTTGCCTGGACATCACCTGGTGCCGGTGATCTCACCGATAACAATGTGTACGGGAAAGGCACTACACTACTGTAGTATGATATGATGAAGATAACTTCCACTGTGTGTTGCCTGGTAGGGTTAGGATTGGAAACACTCCAGGAATTTTGGAACACACATACATCTACAGGTGCAGAGTCAGGTTCGTTGTTGATTCTAAACGTTACTTTCATTCTGCACTGCAGGTCACACCATCATGTGGCCAAGTTCAGCCGTACGGCAGCACACCTCTGACTATCATCTTCAGTCCAGTGTTCCAACACTCTGAACTTGGATGGAAGCAGAATTGTATGGCACCAGCGCCACGCATCTTCCCTTGTCATGTGCTCATCAAGTCAGCCACGGCAGCGTTTGGCGGCAGTGCAGGTGGGGTAGTGTACCATTGTAGTAGTAGTAGTAGTAGTTGTTGTTGTTGTCATTGTCGTTGTTGTCGTTGTCACTGTCATCGTCATTGTTTTTTTTTGTCGGCCTGCTGTAAAATCATTGTGCAGAGTCTAGAGCATGCTGCATGTCTCAACTCAGATCTTCACTGGCAGTTACCGTGCCTGAATTACAGCAATGATTGCGGCCTGTAGTCTGCTCTACGTTTGGTGACTGATGTGTGATGCCGCTAATACCTTTTCCTATCTCCAAGGCATGGCATTGTCATTGGTTTGACGACTTTAAAAAAGTGCACAACTGCACTTCAGAACCACAATGTGCGTATATCATTGACTGTTCTGTGGCCATGTTGTGGGTTGCTTACTGTGCATGTGGTCCTGTGTTTATAGGTGCAGCTATGAGTGCCAATATTGGCATTACCGGTCACGCAGTACCAGTGCAGGTCAACATAGAACCAACCGGCAGCATGGGCGACTCGTTCCAGCGACGTGCCACGCACGATGCCCTGGACTCGCACAACGTCTACGACTTTGGAACGTGCCGCGTCGACAGCAAGGTTGAGGTGACGTTCCGTGTGCTCAACTACTCGGACAGGATGCCCGTGTGCGTGAAGGCACGTCGCCTGGCACACTTCTCCTGCACTCCATCACGCTTCACTGTTCCCGTCGGCGGCTGTGTGGAAGTTCTGGTGACGTTTCTACCGCGCCAACTCGGTCTGTTCAACAGCTCGCTGTGTTTTGAAGTGCTGGACGTTGCTGGTCCACAAAGTAAGCACGGGGTTGCAGCTCGTCCCGTGATCTATGAGATATTTTCACATCTACGAGGAATGGCCGTGGCCGATGGGAAGAAAACGATCAAGCCGTTCGTCGGCACGCAGACCGGAAAGTGGAACCCAAGCGTGAGCTTGATCGATTCCTACGGCACTGCCTTGGAGAGCACCGCCGCACGTTTCGACCAATCTCTCACTCTTGCCGATCCCAAGAAAAGGACGGCCGCAGCTCGTGTTGCTCATCCGAATGAGACCCGCCTGGCGCGCAGCATCCGGCCACATCCTGCCACCGATCCCGTTAGGTGAGCGAACTGCTGCAGGCTCTTTATTACACACTCTGCCAAAGCTGGGTTTGGGGTATTCCTTCCCTGTTATGACAAAACCCAATTGGGAATCATCATCAGCAGCAGCAGTAGAAGCAGTAGCAGTAGCAGTAGAGAACTACAATCCCATTGTTCTGCCACGATCCTCACCGAGGTGATGGTAGAACCGGACAAGTCAGATGTGCATTGAATTTAGGTGCATCGCGCTGTAGAGTTTCTTTCAGTTAGTTCATGGATAACATTATACCTATGAATTGTATTACCCGAGTCAGTGAGGATAGCCGTAAGGCTAACCCTATTGTGCTGATCACACAAGGCTTATGCTATCATCGCACTTTAGTTAGTGGACAGACACGCATGCCACGCAACCCATCTTGTTTTGTTGAGATTGAGCATAGTAGGTTTAGCTGATACTTGTTGGCAACTCATTGCCTGCACACTTCTTTGATTTTGCCTAGATTTCCTTACACCGGCACTGCCCGGCACACATACACGGATACGGATTACGGGCATATGGAGCTGGAGGCCGCCGTCAGGCGTGATATCAAGCGCCACTACAACAAGAAGATGGAGTCGGACAGCTCCAGAAAGAAGAAGGAGACCAAGCGGAGAGAGTGAGTTGTCACACACTCGCACACGTACACCCACACCCACGCATGCACACACGCGAACACACACACACACAGTGTCACACAACTAGAATTGGTGATCTGTGACAGAGTAACCTTTCACAAACCAGCATGCATATGTCATGTGTCATCCCAAGTAAGTATTTAATAATTACGTGTCAAGCCAACAATTTCAACCTGTTAATGTACATTGTTTGCTCATGTCTACAGGGAATTCAAGCGGCACAATAACCCCACTGACATTAACCTGGTGCCAAGCAGGGACATGGCTGTAGCTGATCCAGCCAATATGAAAGCAAACACCATTGTAAATGGTGAGTGCTGGTATGAGCGTACCCGTTCGTCAGAAAGTCATAATTATTGTTGTGTACCTAGTTGGATATAATACAATATTTCTCTGCTCCTCTCCTGCATGCGCTCTTTGGCCGACTAGCTACCATCGGTAGCCATTCCACACACAACATTCCAACAATGAAGGGTACGGGTACTGATACAGTGTACTGAAATGCCTCCTGGCAGCTTTGCTCACCACTTTATAGAGATCACAGTTGGATTTATGAAAGGCTGTTCTTATGTATTCATTTACTGAACACAGTCTTTCTCTACTTGGTCCGCTGGATACCTGCTGATTACCATTCTGTTTAATGATGCTAAAGAGCTGCCTACCGTGGACTTCTACAATTCTTGTAGCGAGTAGAAGGCACCAAGCAACCTTATTTTCATTTGCCCGTGTTAAATCTCTTCACCTTGCTGCCTATCTAGCCATGCTGTTGCTGAAAGGATATTTTGGGTTTAATTTAGAACGCTTTTGTGCTTGATCTGCAGCTGGATATCGACAGCCATTGACGGTGCGTGCGCCAAGTCCGCAGCTCGATCTGACTAAGCTTATCACTACACACCACACTGCTGCCCTAGCTCTTGTTATTCCTGAGGAAGCACCGGGCACGAAGGAAGAGCAGCGCGACTGTGCGCGTACGCTGAGCATCAAGGAGCGATCTCTCTTCACAGTCTGTAAGTGTTCACACTCTTCCCCGTCACGTCACGGATGTGTACCTTACCTCGCCCAAGATAACGATTCTTTCATTTTGTTCTATGCCTGCTCACACACAGCCAACAAAGCACTGGATCTTGGACGTGTTGATGCTCAGTCAGAAGTGACCAGGGAGTTGACTCTTACCAACAGTAACAGCCATGCCGTGCTCTTTTCTGCAACGGTGAGAACTTAGAAAGTCTGAGTTGGATAGATGGGTGTGTTTGTGTTCCCTGGGATGTGCTTGCAATGGTGTGCTTACAGCCGTGCCTACAGCCGTGCCTACAGCCGTGCCTACAGCCGTGCCTACAGCCGTGCCTACAGCCGTGCTTACAGCTTTCTTCCCTCCACCATTGTACTACATGTTGGGTTTGCTGAGAATTCACCCCTTGTGTGCGTGTGTGTGTGTGTGTGTGTGTGTGTGGAGGGGGGGGGGGGGGATAGCTCCTGCTACTCTAAACATTGCATGATGTTAGCAGCCCTCAGGGAATGGTAATGAGATGGGTGTAGAGATGTGTATGTGAGTTACTTGACCATGCCCAGAGCTCAGCAGTTTTATACTATTAATTTGTATGGGATCATCAGCACCGTAATGCCGTGTAGAATCACTGTAAACTCGGATACTGTATGGTCCCTGCCTAGACCATACAATGATCTAATCATGCAGTTTATACACACACGTAACTGGCCCACTCTGAACTGCTCTGAACTCGGAATGTAATTATCTTCAACCAGACTCAGCTGCAGCAAGAGAAGACTGCCTCCGAACATCCCAAAACCAACTTCACACGAGCATGCATCTCTAGTGCGCATGCTCGTGAGAAGTCATAATAATATGACTTGACTGAGGGACACAACAGATACCGAGCCAACATTAAACATAGATATCTAGTTACGAGTGTTGAGTCGGACTCGCTCGTCCGCAGACTGCTAGACACCAACTGCACGGGTTCCGAGTCTTATCTCAAGCCACAAGCAAAAGGGAAAACCACTCGAAAAACAACGTTCGCCATTCCAACTCCCTCTCCCCAGAACTCTCTCAGCAAAAGTCGCTAGCAGTAGGGAAAAGCCCGCACAAAGCAATCAACACGGGACACGCTGATACCGCACGAAACTAAAGCACAGCTAACAGTGCCCTATACGTAGGGTAGTGATAACCTGAATACAAAGTCAGATGTATGGCAACTGATATCATGCAGATCAGTAGCAGTTCAGTTAGTTGAGGTCGAACAGTGACCAGTGTTGTACAGTTGCTCATTCATAGTCATATCCGTACGTCCCTCTCCTATTGACAAATAACTTACTGTGTCTTCTGCTTTTTGTTCGTACATCACCAGTGTATAGAATTGTTCAATAGAGGACTACTGTTTGAAAATGCCACAACGTATGTCACTGAATGTGTGCTCTGTGTCTGTGTCTGTGTCTGTTGTTGTCGTGTGCAGGGTAGTGCTGCAGAGCTACAAAGCTGCCTTCCTTGGCAGGCTGTTGTACCTGCCATGTCGTCTTGCGTCTTCCGTATCACCTTCAAGGCTCCGGACATCCCAAACCAGAGAGTGTACAGGTATGGCTGCCTTTACTCAGCCCCCCCCCCCCCCACAACAAACACACACACGCACACACATACTCTACCACCAGCAAAGTTACTTACCAGTTCTTGATGTTTGGAAAGGAAAAGCTTGAGTTTCTGGTTAGGCACGTCATTTTTTCATAGCGGCTTTTTCAGTTTTCACTATGAACATGGCCTATTAGTGTGCAACCTCAATCTGGTATTGTTCCTATTCCATGGACTGAGCATTCTGCTCAAGACTGAAGAGTACGGCGTGGAAGTCGTACATGACCTCTGTGAAGCATAACGAACGTACAGTCCCTATTAATCGCTATGCTTTGCACAGTTCAACCAGGCTTAAGTTGCACCAGGAGACAAAGGGCCTTTCTACTTTAACAGCATTCAGGAACGCCTTGCTTTACCAGTAGACCACAATTTTAGTCCATATTTGCTTCTTTCTTCTTTTCCTTTTCTTTTTGACTTCTTACTCTTTTCCTTGTTAGCCATGGCTGGCTATAAAGACCCTGCAATCGCCACGCAAGGTGGTCATTGGCTACCCCAGCCATGTATTGCTTGGAATAAAATAAATAAATAAATCCTCTTCTGCATGACATCACAGTGAGCTCAATCTGCATGCATATCCATTCTTACAGTCTAGGAATCTGGTGTGCCATTTATGATCGCATGCATTCCTGTGATTGACTTTGCAGGGACGTCCAGTACTCACTTAATGGTGTAGCCGAGCACTGGATTACGGTCAAGGCTCAAGTGGTCCCTGTGGAGCTACTGCTGGAACCGACAGAGTTGGAACTAGCACCAACGGCGGGGATGGGTGACGCTGGGGGTAAGGATTGATAGATGCCTCTAAGTTCTGACTAAGGTTGCATTTGTTCGGTCATTCCCGAATGGGCATGGAATGACGTCGGTACCCATCGCGGAATCGGAATGAGCGTAGCAAACAAACGCACTAGCATGGATTCGAGAATCTGGCAAAAGTTTTGCGCCACTCTGGAAACGTATTACCTGTGGTTTGCACAAATTGCAGCCTTGCGAAGACTACTACATGCCAGTCCTGGTAGTTGCTATAATATTATGCTTCCGTAAGTTTCTGCATGTCCCTATGACAGTCATGATGAAGGGCGGCCAAACACGGCGTAGGTCAACGAGCGATCGTAACTAGGGTGCCTGCAGGCGGCGTTTGGCCGCTACTTCATCATGCTATACGACCTCGTATCAGTCACAGAAACGACGTCTCTAGCTCTCGTGTTTATTTGACAGACGAGGCACTGTTGTAAGAAGAAGTGAAGTGGCAGACTCGGTGCCTCTTTGGGTCACTTTGTTCTGACTCGCCTCCTTGTGATTCTAGAGGCCCTGCTCGACGACGGTGAAGAGCTGAGGTGCGAGGGCATATTTCCAGTTCATCAACGATCCCGGGCGAACACTTTCTCAGGCAGCGAAGGGTCAAAATACCACGAACAAGTTACATGCCGTCCCCGAGGTTACAGTACCAGCCTATGCCCTGGACGATGTCCGCCAACATTTCTGCATATCGATAATCGCGTTTGAAGTTTTGTTGGGGAGGTATGCAGCAACAATGAACATCACGAAGCCGCTCCGCACATTTTCATTCCGCTCGGAATGAGACCTCATTCCACTTTTTCTTAGGAATCGCCAGAATCGATTCTGCCCCCTTCATTCCGCGACCGGAATCGGAATTGCACCGAACAAACGCTGTCCAGTGCATCAAACAAACGCTCCAGAATCAAAACACGGCGGAATGACTTTGGAATGGTGGCGGAATGGCACCGAACAAACACAACCTAAGTATGACTGCTGCGGGCCTGTGCCAGTTAGTAACTGCTAGACTGGACAAGAAGCCAGGAAAAAACTTATGTTCTGTTTCATTCCACGACTTCTCTCAGAACGGAGGGCTCCCGGCCTTTGAACTTGCCCCAAACCTGCGAAGAGGCAGAGAAAAGAAGCCAACATGCTCTGTGTGTGCGTGTGCATGTGGGAGGAGCGCTGATGTATGCGCATGTGTGCTTATGTTGGCCAAAAAAATCCAACCTTAAGAATAAAGTAGCGCCGGACGCTACGCAGCCCTAGCACTACACACACTGTTCTGTGCACTCCAGCACGATGCTACTATACTTATGAGGTTGGATTTCTCTGGCCAGAACTATACATACTGTCTTTGAGTATGCTTGTAGTAGTAAAATACTTATTTTGAAGCACTACTGGACGGGCTAAGGCGGAACACGTGTAAGATGTCAATTTTGATGTACTTGTGTGTGCAGGTGTGTCCGGTGTTGTACGCCTAATGAACCCCGGCAATGCAGCTGTGCCCTTCTCATGGGAAGTCGATGCAAAGCCGGCCCAGGACCATTTCTGGACTGTGGAGCCAGAAGAAGGTAGCCTTGACTCCTAAAAAAGTGTATGCCAGACAGATCCGAAAGAATACTTGATGCTGCATTGGGCCAGATAATGTTTGCTAGGCCAGAAGTTTGCGTAACGTATAATTTGACCATCGTTGGTCCATTTTTTTTTCTTCCCGGTCCTCAAGAAATGCTTGTGTTGTTACTATTTTGAGCAGGTGATTGAGTGGTGACATGGCTGTATGTAGGTGCAATTTTGTACTTTGACTTGCACCGATATGGCATTTTATTTTGGCTGACACCAGACGGCAGTGGAATGTATGTCTTTCGGAGCGTTGACTTCTCCCTCAAGGGATTCCTCTCAAGAGCTTTTAGCCAAACGTTTGTTTTCGGTATTGATCAGTGGTGTATTGTCTTGCAGCAGCGGTCAGTGATCAGTTTACCGGCGTTAAGTTGTGTCTTACCATTCTGTGTTTGTCCTACTTGCATGCAGGCGTAATCCAAAGTGGTTCGATGCTCTATTGCAAAGTGACATGCTGGAGTGCTGTGGACAATGTGTCGTCCGTTCGCTTCGCACTGAATGCCAATGGTGCTGTGCAAGGAGGACTGAGCTGCTCTGCAAAGGTAGAATGATGTGCATCGGTGCACTAAGGAGCTGACCATATTCATGCTCCGAAGTAGTGGCTTTGGATGATGCCAGGCTTCTCCAATACACGCAGAGGGGGGGGGGGGGGGGGGGGGGTAGCTGGTTCCCCTTTTATAAAGGGGAGGGGGGGGGGTGCACGGCCGCATATGTGGAGGATGGCTGGTGCATGTCATTCATGGGCATCATGTACATGCTGAATGTAGGTGGAAATATTTAGGGGGGGGGGGGGATGTACCCCCCCCCCCCCCCATGCCCTATGCAGGCTACGCGCCTGAATACACGTGTCAAGAAATATGCTGGTGCATTTGCCATCTCTTGGAATCGTGAAGTTGTGATCTGTCTGCTTGGGACAACACTCGTCTGGCCAGGATTGTGTTTTTAATCTGTCTCGATGTCTGTTTGCACGGTTGTTTGTGTAGTTTGCGAAGGCCGAATGTGCATTCCTGGAGCGTCGCATTCAGTTTGGCATCGTACCGTACAACCTGCTAAGCGTGCAGCCATGCACTCTGGTGAACAAGAGCGACCATCACACCTTCTTCCGAGTAAGACTTGAGGGATGGGAAGCAGGGGCCCCGGGGTGTTAGGGAGCATGCTACAGAATTGTATGTACTTTCCTCCTATGTATGCACTCCAGAAATAGTTGAAGTTGAAGTGAGTGCTGTGACGGTTGCTGTAACGTTACAAATTGTATCCCATGCTACGCTGTCTTTAGTTAATGTGTTGTATGTTGAGTTCCTGTCACTTTTCGAGGCAAACTTGGCCAAGCAACGCTTGCAGTGCCTGCCCTTGCACCCGGTCATACCTATTCTTTTCTGATTGCAGGTCGTTGTTTCGGGAAGTACTGAAAAGGACACCGGCGAGGATGGCAGTCCGGCCGTTACTGCCGGCCTCAACTTGTCCGTCACTCCTGAGTGTGGATTTCTGCCAGCTGGCGGTCAGCTACAGTTGCAGGTAACATGTGGCGGTGTATTGCTGTTGGTGTCCTGTTTGGCTGATACTATCAGTTGCTTTTGAATGGCTCAATGCTCGCTACTGCCTAGTCCTGCTTCGTCCATTGCCTGGTGATTGTGTCATGGGTGTGATCTCAAAGCTATTGCTCTGTAACAGGTCCTCTAGCCCGTAGCTCACCTTAACCTTCCCTCGGTGTAGCTGCCAGCTATATTCCCTCCAATGCCTTATTCTCTCTCTTTCTCTTTCTCTCTCTCTCTCCCCTCTCTCTCTCTCACACACACTCTCTCTCTCTCTTTCTCTCTCTCTTTCTCTCTCTCTCTCTCTCCCTCTCTCTCTCTCTCTCTCTCTCTCTCTCTCTCTCTATCTCTTTCTCTCTATCTCTCTCTCTCTCTCTCTCTCTCTCTCTCTCTCTCTCTCTCTCTCTCTCTCTCTCTCTCTCTCTCTCTCTCTCTCTCTCTCTCTCCTACTCTTGTCCTTGAATTTACCGCAGACCGTGATATCTCCTGGCACAACGGGCCGGCAAGAGACGTCCTTCAATGTTACTTTCCGCGATGGCTCGCGACTTACATTGAAAGTATGGGCTACTGTAGAAGCGCCGAAAGTACGCCTGGACAATGACCGTTGGATATTTGGCAATGTTTACATGGGTAGCATGGCGTTCCTTCCCTTCCGTCTGTCAAATGATGTAAGTAGACTTATCCAAAAGTGACAGCACTGCCGTAATTTCTTATTGCGGCCATAGTTGAGGATATTGTGTTATCAGTAGGGTACGCTTTCCAACGGCCGAAGAGAGTTGGAAAGCTTGTGTCTTTGTGGATAACTCGAAACAATTTGCGCTAAGACGCTGCAAAATCGCTCCGATTTTGGATTTCATTCCACAGAATGTGGTACCGACAAGATGCGGTCCTTGACCGCATTTCCGTCACTTCGCAGTGGCCTTTCTTCCGTTTAGTTTGTTCCCGCCCTCCCACCCCGGACTGAAGGGTGTTTATAGACATTGTGTTGATGTGTGTGTTTTTGCCTAGGGCAGTTACGACTGCGGTGTTTTTCTTTGTTGGTCTTTTAGAAAAACTTTAGGGGTGGTGTGCGCGTCGTGGGCTGTTGTATGGTTACATTCAGCTTCAGAGGGTTATTGACAGGGGATGAATTGGCATGGGGCAGAATGCAAGATTGAATTGCAAGATTGAATTGAAGGCTTGGGATTTTCAGGGGTCATCAAGGCATTGTGTTAACTGAAGCTGGATGATGACCTGTGTGGTGTGCCGGTGTGAAGATGATGTGCAAGGGTGTTCTCTTGCGTTTCTGAGGTGTGCGCTTTTACATTTCCCTATTGTTATGCCGTTGTTGGCGTGTTGTGTGCTGTGTAATTATCAGCATTTTTGATTGACTGCTGTGTCGATCGTTGATATATTTTTGTAAATGTACAAATAATTATAGGAAAGAAAAAAGAAAAAAAAGGAAAAAATTCTAAATAAAGGCCATTGCCGAGCCACCGTGCTCTCAGCAGAGACTTCTGTGTGTTGGTGTTGTGAGAGTGTACCACAAAGACTAGTAGAAATGTTTGCCACCAGCCTATACACATTTGGTAAGGAATGGTTTGCCTGCAGTCCATGCACACCATGCACACCATGCAAGCTACTAGTATATGAGATGTGTGACAGTGTTCTCATTGGAGTATTGGCTGGCATTGGGAAGGTTGTTGCAGTTACTGATTGTAAATTAATGTAGGAATATACCCTGTCTGCCACAAATCAGAACGGGCAACATGAAGTTAGTTTGGACTCCAGAACTACTGGGAGAGATTGAGTAAACCTTTCTACTGTCGTGGACATGGAAATCCGGTCGCACGTCTAGCGCCCTAGGGCGCTGGCCATGCAGCCGTACGCATGCCGTGCACCCATTCATGTATGCGCTGCAGCGCGCTGGTCGCATCGGATCACATGCGCAATGCATGCAACGTTCTGTGCGCATTGAGGGCGCCGGCCCCGGTCATTCGACTGCCCCGGTCTTTCTACGCGCATAGTCTAGTCGTTGTCTGCAACACAGTACATGTACAACGTTTATGCATGCAAGTCGAGAGATCTAGGTCGCGTGCTTGGTATGCAGCGCACGGACTTCGCCCGCCCGCGAATATTCGAATTTTCGAACCTTCGACCTAGATTTTATCCGATCGATTATTCGTTGATGTCCAAGAGATCGAGGAAATTCGAATAATCGATTATTCATTACATCACTTGTGTTTACTGATAAAGACTATCCTAAAAATGCAACACCCAGAGCTGTATCTGCATCCAAAGCCATTACCTAGCTGACATAATATGGTGTACTAGCTGTGCTAGTACTTGTTAGCAACAATCCGAACTAGCGCACACACTGCACTGCATTGCTTTGTACTGCATTCAAGACTGACGTCATGCGCTTTGTTTTGCTGCGTAATCACAAATGGCACCAGCCCATTTTGCGGAAAAGAAAAACAAATCTTGCTTGCCCTGTTGTGCTCTTCCAGACAACGGATCGTGCTTCAGCAGTGTTTCTTTTCCTTTCGTAGCTTTGCTGCCAGCCCGAGTGTCACCTCGACACTGTATTTCTCCAGTATGGCTGACCTTACTGTCGACACTGTCAAGGCAATGCCTTGCCAAGCCCTCCGCGGCGAGCCTTCTCAGCGCTTGAATCCGAAAGGAAACTGAGTAAAAGTATTTACAGCACCGTTTGCTGGCACAACTAGCCCTTGGTAGCTCCGGCCAGGAGAACCAGCAACATGACAGTGCGGACACGGCTCGCGAGCCCAGAAGCCCGACGTGCACCAATGCCTCCTCCGCCAGCTCAGGTGACGCGGGCTCAACGGATCTCTGCGCTCCCGTACGGGACGAGGTGTAGTCGGCTTTGTCGGCCGCCATTTTATTATTATCGGAGAGCATTGTGCCGCTCCTCACCCAAGGCCAAGGCAATGCGGCAGCTGCCGCCACTACGCCAGGTCAAGCTCCTGTAACCCACCCGATCAGCCACCTGCACCAGCTGTGCCCAAGGCTGTGCAAGAACGTATCTTGCGAGGGGAGTTCGTAGATTTTTCAAGTTTGTTGCCTGACATTCTTGCACACCTCCGGCCCAACATTCCGGCTGGTGCACAGCCCGAATAACGATAGCCAGCTAAATATCGTTGAGTCGGATGACGCGAAGCAGGTGCGTCGCAAGGTTCACGATACATGTAGCTACCCGGCTCGAGGCATGGACCACATCCATGTCTGTTATCACGGCTGCTGCCCTACACCGCACTGCTGAACTGCTGAACTGACTGCGTACCAGCAGTTGATCCTGACTGCTAACCGCCAGTTCTTCCCAAGCGCGTGGCTAGAGTACGACCGCCAGCTGCGGATGCTCGTGGCCCAGTAACCAGGCACGAAGAGGTTGGACACCATCGACGTGAACCTATGGCAGATAGCTGTCACAGGCCATGCACACCCAAAATGCGCTCAATGTAAGACGTTCCATCCAGGGGCGGTTTGTGTCCTTTTCGTCTCCAAGCCAGCAGCATTTACCTCCAGTGGTCGCAACCATACTAGCGACGGCCAAGAAATCTGCCGCAACTTCAATGGAGGCCGCTGTTCTTCATCGTCGTGCCGCTTCTCCCACACCTGCAGCCAGTCTGGCAAGGACCACCCATGCATCATGTGCAACCAGCAGCAGCGCGGAGCCAATCGGCCACCCCGCCGCTCCTAGCAGAATGGCTACTGAATCGCTTGACTCGGTACGTAGCTTCTTTCCTATACACTCTGCAGACACCACACCGCTAGCTGACCACTTTGCCCGCCTGTTACGTAACCACTCAGATCAATCATGTGTTGCGTATGTTCTCCATGGCCTGCGCCGTGGCTTTACTATTGGATCTGCCGGCCAACACGACATTTCGGTTTTCTCTAATAATCTACCCTTGGCTTTCACTCACTCGGCATTTATATCCGAGCAATTAGCTGCTTCCTGCGCCCGCAGCGAGACCACAGGCCCATTTCCGTCACCTCCATTTCAGTTCATGCGCCGCTCTGGTATTGGTGCCATCCCCAAAAAGAACGGCAAGCTGCGAATGATCCACCATCTGTCTAGTCCGGAAGGCACCGGCGCGAACGACAGCATTCCTGCCGAGCCGCTCTCTCTGCACTACGCGAGCATTGACAACGCGATCAACATCATCAGGTCATGCCCACAGCCTGTGTATTTGTCCAAGCTCGATGTACGCAGTGCATTTCGGCAGATCCCAGTCCGCCGTCAGGACCTCGCTGGGAAGGCTCCTACTACTACGAGCGCTTTCTACCTTTCGGCCTCCGCTCCAGCCCAGCCGTCTTTGACTTAGTAGCCACAGCAGTCAACTGGATCATGCAGCACGAGTTTGCTATAGATCACCAGCTTCATTACCTCGATGATTTTCTCGACATCTCCACTGGTTTGGCTGCAGCCAACCAGCAACTCACCATCCCCCTCCGGGCATTCACGTATCTCGGCACTCCTCTTTGCTCCATCCCAGCTCGAAGGGCCACCACCATCATTGACCTTCCTTGGTATTGTCCTAGACTGCGAGCGCCACGAAGCTTGGCTACCAGAGGACAAGCTGTCCGAGATCCGTGCGCCACTCATGGCTACTATCAGCGAGCGCAGCATCGGCCAGCGTCAACTCGAGTCCCTCCTGGGGAAGCTCACTTTTGCTGCCCGAGTCATCGTTCCTGGACACACATTCATGCGTGAACTATGATCAGCGTGCCCTGAACTGTATCTGTGTATGCGAGTGCGGTGCATAAAGCCCACCTTGAGAATGGGTTTGCCGGCCCCTTAGTAGATGCGTGGCTTCTGAAGAGGGTGTTGAAGGGCATCCAGCGATGCCATGGTACGGCTGTACTCACCCCTCGCCTTCCTATAACTATGCCAATCCTACGACACCTGACGGATGCACGCCGGAAAAGTAGTATCCTGAATGGCCATGACAAGCTGCTCTACCAAGCCGCCATGCTGCTTCTTTGGATTTCTTCGGTGTGCTGAATTCACTAATGGCATCACACGGGGCTGTACTAGCTCCCCTGGTGACGGACGCCTGCAACTCTTCCTGCTTTCATCCAAGACGGACCCATTCGGTAAAGGCGTTACTAGTGACATTGGCCCGTCTGTACCGCCGTACTGCCCGGTCCGTGCCATTGTTAGCTACCCATTTGTCACTCGTCGCGAGGGACCGGAGCAACTCTTGTTCGTACTCTCGAACAGACAGCAGCTGACCAGGCAGTCATTCACAGTAACAGTATGGTCTCTTGTCGCTGCGGCCGGTGTACCATCCCAGTCGAACTACTCCGGGCATTCGGTCCACATTGGTGCAGCCACCACCGCTGCTATGGCTAGTGCCCCCGACTCCTTCTTCCGAGTGGCAGGTCAGTGGAAAGAGCGATGCGTGTCTATGCTACATCCGGACTACAACAAGCGGTAAGCGCCAGCTATCGTCCCGGCTTGCTGCCGTGCCATGGATGACATGATCCCCAACTCGGGTGAGTAATAAGCTACTGAACTCTAGCTGCACAATGCTTGCCTGTGCTGACATTAATTGACCCCTGCTGTGCGTCAATAGTGCTTAGCTAACGGAGTGCTGGTTTCATGGGTCCACTCTCACAACTGGTGTTATCTAGCTATTTGCTGCGGCTCTGCCTTGCGCTATATTACATCCATTTAGCATTGCAGCTCTACGTTGAGCTAACAGCAGCTCTACTTTGAGCTAACAGCAGCTCTACTTTGAGCTAACAGCAGCTCTACTTTGAGCTAACCGCAGCTCTACTTTGAGCTAACAGCAGCTCTACTTTGAGCTAACAGCAGCTCTACTTTGAGCTAACCGCAGCTCTACTTTGAGCTAACAGCAGCTCTACTTTGAGCTAACAGCAGCTCTACTTTGAGCTAACAGCAGCTCTACTTTGAGCTAACAGCAGCTCTACCTTGAGCTAACAGCAGCTCTACTTTGAGCTAACAGCAGCTCTACTTTGAGCTAACAGCAGCTCTACTTTGAGCTAATCGCAGCTCTACTTTGAGCTAACAGCAGCTCTACTTTGAGCTAACCGCAGCTCTACTTTGAGCTAACCGCAGCTCTACTTTGAGCTAACAGCAGCTCTACTTTGAGCTAACAGCAGCTCTGCTCTGAGCTAACAGCAGCTCTGCTCTGAGCTAACACCAGCTCTACTTTGAGCTTCAAACCAGTTGTTTCGAAACCAGCACTCCTCAATCCAAAGATGCCTCTTTGTTGACTTGTTTGTGTGAGGGATGGGGCTAATGGTGTACTAGCTGTGCTAGTACTTGTTAGCAACAATCCGAACTAGCGCACACACTGCACTGCATTGCTTTGTACTGCATTCAAGACTGACGTCATGCGCTTTGTTTTGCTGCGTAATCACAAATGGCACCAGCCCATTTTGCGGAAAAGAAAAACAAATTTTGCTTGCCCTGTTGTGCTCTTCCAGACAACGGATCGTGCTTCAGCAGTGTTTCTTTTCCCACCATCCCTCCCTATCCAACTTATTCACACCATCATAATTATCATACCCACTAATCGGGTCCACTCTCACAACTGGTGTTATCTAGCTATTTGCTGCGGCTCTGCCTTGCGCTATATTACATCCATTTAGCATTGCAGCTCTACTTTGAGCTAACAGCAGCTCTACTTTGAGCTAACAGCAGCTCTACTTTGAGCTAACCGCAGCTCTACTTTGAGCTAACAGCAGCTCTACTTTGAGCTAACAGCAGCTCTACTTTGAGCTAACCGCAGCTCTACTTTGAGCTAACAGCAGCTCTACTTTGAGCTAACAGCAGCTCTACTTTGAGCTAACAGCAGCTCTACTTTGAGCTAACAGCAGCTCTACCTTGAGCTAACAGCAGCTCTACTTTGAGCTAACAGCAGCTCTACTTTGAGCTAACAGCAGCTCTACTTTGAGCTAATCGCAGCTCTACTTTGAGCTAACAGCAGCTCTACTTTGAGCTAACCGCAGCTCTACTTTGAGCTAACCGCAGCTCTACTTTGAGCTAACAGCAGCTCTACTTTGAGCTAACAGCAGCTCTGCTCTGAGCTAACAGCAGCTCTGCTCTGAGCTAACACCAGCTCTACTTTGAGCTTCAAACCAGTTGTTTCGAAACCAGCACTCCTCAATCCAAAGATGCCTCTTTGTTGACTTGTTTGTGTGAGGGATGGGGCTAACGAAAGTTAAACATGTGCACACGGCAAGCTAGTCCAAGTATGAATGTTTTTCGCGGTCAAGACTTTCCAGCTGGGTAGAGATGTCTTTGGTGGCGTTGAAATGTAGCCTCGGAAAAGAGGCGGTGGAAGATTCATGACACTGCAGAATTGCCATAACCAATTGTGGCATAGGCAAATGCATCTTGGAGCCGCAGCACTTTGCCTGTTGCAGTCACAATAATACTGGTTGTCCTTGGGCATTAGTGGATGCTGTACACACAGAGGGCGCTCATCATTGGACCAACAACGTGGTAACTATAGACCGGCTAGACCAGAACGTCGTGTCAGATCTATTAGCATCTTGATCTATCATCTTGTAGGTGCGCGTACGGGAAACCATCATTCTGCAGGACTGGGAGAAGGTGATCTTATTTCCGCAGCAGTCTGTAGATGTGAGGTGGTTGTAGACCGAAGTTCTCAATCTTTTGTCTCTTATGGTACCATGGCATCTGTTCATTAGTTGCTCTTCGTCTGATACTTGCTCATCTCACAGGGTTCATGCAGAGCTTTGGTCAGTTTTGACCTATCCAAGCACCCGGAGTTGGCCATCAAGATCCGCGACAGGGAGCTACTGCGAGGTTAGCACCACTAATACATTGTAGTACATAATACATTGTAGTGGATTCATTGTGTAAATACATTTCCATGTGACCCGGTGAGAGTACCACCATTTTCACGTTCTTTAAAACCAATCACATGATACTCAAGAGCCCAGTGCACGCACATGTCCTGCTTCAGACATAGGATGCGTTTAGATACCAGTAGCATAATTTATTGAGGCACAGCGTGACTGGTTATTGCTTGAAAGCAGAATACCGTGTGCTCTTTGGCTCATTGGTGTGCCTCAGAGTCGGCCACTGTCAAGAGTTTCCAGTTCAGCAATCGCTACACGCTAGAGGTGCCGGCGCGTACCTCCATCAAGTGTGTTGTGCAGCTCGTGCCTAAAAACGTAAGTCTGGCCACTGCAACTGGTGTGCGGTGGTGCTAGTGGTGATGCCGAGGCATTCAGTGGGTAGATGAAGTCATATATTGCCAATACGAAAACAAACCCCTCTGCTGAATCAGCTGTACATCTTGTCATCACTTGCCTGTTTTGTCGGCGGCATCCCTTGTACGACTTTGCGGCGAGCTGGAATAAATGGAAAACGTTTTTTTAAACAAGCAATGTGTATACTAGTAGTAGGAAGCATGTATGGTATGTGTCCATCTAAATATACATTATACAGGGGGCGGAAGATGTCCGTTGTCTTTTATTTTCTTTGTAGATTCTTGTTTACTCGTATGACGTTGTGGTGGAGGTCAACAAGTTATCGTCGTTGCCGGCTGCACTTCGTAAGGAAGCACGCACATTGCCGCCAGAGAAGGCCGGTGCACAGCGCAGCAGACTGGACGCCAAGACGGAAGCGAATTTGTTTGGCTATCGCATGCCGCTGTGCACAGTCCAGGCCACGGTGATGTGCTCACCGCTGAAAGTCAAGGTGGACGGTGCCCTTGTTGCTCGCTCTAAAGATCAGGATCAGCTACCTCATGGTTTTACAGTAAGGCGGATACCATGCATTTGACTGCCAAAGACTTTGTGGAAGTGTTGCAGCGCATTACATGAGCATGCCAGTATACTTGTACATCAAGTCAGAATACGAGTGGTTTTGTCGCCAAGTGTGTATGTGTTTGTGTGCGGTTCTATTGTGATACGCGAATCGGTACTGTCACACCCCAGTGGCATTGGGATGCGTATGGAAACCGCTGCATTCTGACTATGTGCAATGTCATGGATGGGTTTGTGACACCTCGAAATATAGCAGTAACCTGATGCTAAGAAATACAATGCTCTTGGCTTTTAGATCTGCAATACTTTTACCTTTCCTGGCTTTGCCTGTTACCCTTGTCCTTGCAGAAAGTGGAGATCCAGAATCAGAGTGCGGAGGCAATCCAGTACGCCGTTAATCCCGCCGACGATGACTGCGAATGGCCTGTTGTTAACCGCCATATCTTTTTCGATAAGGACGTTGAGAATTTAGGCGAGTCCTTCCATCGTGCCTGCTCCAACATCATCTGGACGTCACTTCCCAACGAGGTGTCCAGTTACTATCTTATGTTTGTGCCAATGTGTAAGTAGTGAGCCACGGAGTTAATTCTTCCAAAACGTTTTTAACACCGCCCACTGCGCAATGTTTGAGCTGGACTCAACCGGTCAAGTTTCTTTCTGTTGACTATGCATGCTTTTAGTGTTGAAACGATCTCACCGGATACTCGTTAGCTCGCTCGCCAGAAATCCGGCTCGTTTGTGCGGCCAGCTCGTTTGCACTAACGAACACCGTACACCGTACTCCGTACACATGGCAGTACATGTCGACTGGGGAGTCGTAAATTTTTTTACGACTCCCTGGTCGATCGAGAGTCCAGTCCCGCGCAAAGTGAAAATCACTCGCAGTTACGGTGACTGTATGCCTGCACGACTAAGACACTTGAGTTGTTTCAGTTGTCGTTGCAGCTTGGTGGACTCTACTGATGTCTTGTTCCGCATCTGCTGACCTGTCGCAGGATATGCTTCGGTCACCTCTCCATTCGAGTGAAAGTTACGCTCAGTCGTTTGGAAGTTTTCTCCCGCGATGCAGCGAAGGCCAGGGCTACTTGCAATCTTTGCAAAACGGTCTATTCTTACAAAGGCTACTCAACGACGGCGCTGAAAAGACATCTCGACACCAAACAGCAGTCTGAAGTGAAGCAGCAGCAATACCAAATGCCGGCGGTGATGATTTGTACCAGCTGAAAAAATCTAACTTAAAAAAAATTCAAAAAGACATATTTGCCACATGAATGAAACTCGTTAGCTCGCTCGATAGCTTGCTCGTTTGTGGAACCGATCGCTCGTTTGTTATAGATACGCTCGTTTCAACACTACATGCTTTCAACGGGAAAGGGTCTTCTCTATTTGTGTATCCTGCCGGGCACCTTGCAGTACTATTGAATCACCAAGAACACAATAGAACCAAACAGAAACCTTCCGAATACCTGAGCTGTTCCCGAGATCCCTACTATGACCGTGTTCCCAGAGTTGTAAGTCAACCTTCTATATACCAAAACAACAAAACATAATTTCGAAGGCAAAAGGTCGCTTTTTAACCAAAACTTGCCCATGCCAGTTGAACACTGTACACTTTGCAGTGTGTCGATACGTTGTGGTTCTTGCAAAGACCTCAACACATAAGTAGAAGAGCTTTCCACACTGGATTGCCACACTGAATTGCCAAAAGCAATTAAGAAAAGCGTACCGTACGCAGTTAAGAAAAGTTCAACCTTTGATCTATTTACGGTCAACATCAAGACAAAGTCATCATGTGTTTTAAAATGGGCCGTTGCTAGGAGAAAGAAACCGATGAGATTATTCTGTTTTGCTTACGTAATTGTGTTTCTGTTGGTTTTCTTGCTGTGCTATTGCCATCATAGTTGAGGAATTCGAGGGACCGACGTACCAATGCCTTCTGAAGCCGGCCTCGTACGACTGTCACATCCATTTCACGCGGGTACTATCGACTAGAGAGTTGGCTGAGGATCCAGGCTCCAAGTTCATTGCCAGCATACCTGTCACCACGCGTATCGACGCCCCCAGTGTCACGTTTGCATGCAACGAGGCAAGGTTAATGCCCGTCCCGCTGGGAGCTCGCACCTCAACGAAGTTCTCCGTGACGATGGACAACTTTGAAAAGTATGTTGTCGCAATTGCATTGGCTTTCTTGATGCATTGTACCGGTACCTTGCAAGTAAAAAATGGACTATTCGGGGTAGTCATCAATTGCATTGTACCAACAAATCATAACCGTGTGTTGTAACGGAATCACGGCTACTCCGTGCCCCGGGACGTTGTGAGAGTGTTGCATGCCAGTGCGTAATCCAGGTTCCGTAACAGTGTACATACATGTACATGCATATGTTATTTCTGAAAGAACTGTGAGTTGGTGATGCATCAAACTGCATGTACATACTCTTCAAGGTTGCATAACAGGTGGTTGTTGTGTTCTTTGGCTAATATTATATCGTGTATGTTTTTGTGCAGGCTCACAAAGCTAAAAGTGGTCCTGCCTGTGGAGATCGGTGACTTAGCTGAGATGTACGTGCTGCAGCTGGTTGCTGATAGTACAGGTAGTGGGGTGGATGACAACGACACACCTATCGCAAAACGTGTCAACTACCTGACCGTACCAGCGCGGCAACGGCAGGAGTACACGCTGTTACTCTCGTTCATGAGCAAAACGCCGATGTCGTTCTCGACCAAGCTCATTCTGCACTGCGAGGACCCCGACTATGAGTAAGATCAGAATGTGTGCGTGACGGTGTGTTGTGTATGTGATAGTGAGTCATGCTAAGTCATGTGGCAATGACCTTAGTAGGAATCATGTTATGAATCACGAATCACTGGTAAGACCTGATGGTCCGTGCGCAAAATAACAGAAGTACTAGCACATGTACGTGTATATCCATGGTGTTGGCCTGGCACAAGCAAGACTTCCTCAGCTGGTTGTGTTTCAATTGTAAAGCCGGTGGTAACGCGAATGTGCAAACTTTACTTTACTTTTTTGCATGTATGTCCGGAAAAAAAGAGATTTCCTGCAGAACTATGGTGTACACTGTACTGGTTTTACAGCACTGTAAGTTATTCCCCGGTCTCGTTTAGCCCACTGCCTTGGCTAGATGTGTGCCTGGCCAGGCTTGATTCTTGATTGCATGTACCGGTAATGTTTTGCTCTAAAGTTGCCCTTTTTGTCCTCCTGCAGGTTTTCTGTGCCAGTGTATGCCATAGCAGACAACAGCCTGCTGACGCTTCACACCTTTCTAACAGAGCATGCAGGACACTACGACATCTATCGGCCCAACCCCGATGAAGTTAAGTCATCTGGAGAGGCCAGTGAAGAGGATGGTGCGTTGGACACTGACGAAGCCTTCGAGGATGACAAGTCACGGCTAGGTAAGATGTAATCCAGCTGCGCGCTACTGTTGCAAAAGAAGGATCCACGAGCGGGATTCGAACCCAACACCCCTGTCTTTCCGGGACAGTGCCCTACTGATTAGGCTACCGGGGATCACACACACACACCTGTGGGTCCTTCTTGCTACACTTCTGCTACTGGTGGCTTGCTTGGCAACCCATGGTGACCGGAAATGTCTGACATGGCTATCCTGTGGCTGGGTTAGCATGGGAAGTGCTACACTATCCATCTGACATGCAGCTTAACTGTTATCTCCTATTTTAATTTTGCTTGTGAATAGCTGACATGTGCAATCTTGCTTGTCCATAGCTGATCCGTCAGCAAATCTGCTGCTATGATGCCAGAGGGTGGATTTACAGTTGAGATTATCCCAGCATGTTATAATCTTGATAACAAATGGCCAGAAATAAATCCCTGCAATTACCATTTATTTAAATTTCCCACTGTTTGTTTTAGTGACTGTGATGAGGAGTGGTAGCTCGCTCTGGAAGCAAGGGCGCAGGTCTAAGAAGTTTTGCACTGCTGAAATTTGTACACTGTTCACAGCTGCATGTGGTACGATAGTACTAGCAGCTGCTGAAATACATGCAGTGCTCACTGCTCAATATACCACATGACTGTGCTACATCATGGTTGCTGATTTCTCCTTTATATATTGCCATGCATTGCTAGAATCTCTACCCAACACCGGCAGCTCTATTACACTGAAGCTGCGCGACGACTACGGTTACTCCATTGACGATGCAGCCACTCTGACCATGGTGATGAGCTCTGCCGGCAATGCCGTGTTCACACGCACGCCAACGCCGAGTGTTGCCGTCGGAGAGGGCGGCGGCGGCGATGACAAGCATGGCGAGCCGCTTGAGTTCACCATCGGCAGCAGCGTGGAAATCGGCGGCTCCTGGTCGGTCTACTCCTACCAATCTCAGACTGCGGCAGCTCAAGGCAGAACTAGTGCAGGTAAGTGTGACTGGGGGACACTGTAACTGTAGCTTGGTGTTTCTGGTGCCGGGCAGCAGACCTCACGACAATCACATGCATGTCCTATGTGTCACGGTACACAATGCGAACATATAGCACCGCATGTTCCGGAGTATGACAGCTGTACCCAGATTTTTGGTCAGGAACTACAGACATCTACATTGTACCATGTGTTTCATGGTTCCTTTGACCATCATAGTGTAAGCCGCACCTACTTTTTTCTGGGTGAATCATGAGTGTTTAAAGTGCGGCCTAATACTCCGGAAAATACGGTATCACTCTTGAAAATTAACGAGTCCTTTCATTTCTACTACCGGCATGCTGTCATTCGAGTACCCTCTGCTCAGTGGGCTGTTGTTGCCTTTTGTGTGTGTTTGTGTGAATCACTGCTCAGATGGGGAAGCAAGTGGAGGTCGATTGAGCCAAGCTGCAGCCCCATCCATTGTGTCCAGCACACTAGGAAGTGTACCGGATGAAACACCATTTGACACCGACCCACGGCGGCTGTTTCAAGAATGTAGGTGGTGTTTTCATACATACAGTAGCTAGTCATTTGGGCGCAGCTCAGAGTAACACTGAAGTGCATTACTTTCACTTTCTCCGTGTGTCTTGAAAATTCTCACAAACGACTGTTCCTCTCTGGGTACCAACACCTCATCCTGAACAGTGCATGCCTGCTCTACAGTCCATTCATAAAAAGATGGGCTCTGGCTCTGGCGAGCTCCCGTATTTGGCGATTTTTCGTGATTTCATTGTACACAGTGCAGTGCTGCGAAATTTGAACTTTGAAAAAGAGTCCAAGAAGGGTACCTGAACTGGGGTTCGAACCCCACAATGCACTGTTGCAGGCAGGGTCAAACGCCCTGGATTTTGATGGTTTTTTCCAATTCAATGCTTCTGGGGCGAAACCTGGCCGATATCCTATTCTTGTTATGGCTTGCTTTTTGGACAAATAGACTTCAGAAACATAATTGGAAGAGGATTCCATAGGGGATTGCAGAAAAAAATTCTAAAAAAACTCAAAGTTTGACCCATTTATGGCCAAAAGCTAGAAGTCCATCTTTTTCTGAATGGACTGTATTGCACCCATCTGTAAGGCAAAGATATCAGTCTTGCCTTCTATGCATTGAGCTAAATGAGCTGTATATTTCTAGCCCATGTGCAAGAAATGTATGCATGACCAGCACGTTGACAAAGCAAGACTGTTGACTTTGTGGCCATGGTTTCTAATGCTGCGTTGCTTCTACTGCAGTACTTGGCCTCAACCCGTTTGAGAATTATCAGGACGCAAAGATATCGTCGCAGCAGATGATCGTGGGGCTGGAGCGCTGGTTGCAGTTACACGGCTGGCCAGACGGTCGCCGCCACATGAGTATCCCACACGACTTCCGCCGTGGCTTCCATTTTGTGCCAGAGCCACCCAGCCCGAAGGTTGGGCCGCCCAACGTCAAGAAGCCTACGGTGCCGTCTCCGGTGCGGCGACCATGCCTGGATGACGTCCTGTGCCATCTGGTGCGCCATCGCATTCCCGGCGTCCCCATGGACCGCTCCCTGGTGCCCGACATCCTGGAGCGAGCCCTGCAGATTCAGATGCACTACCACGAGATTCTGAAGTTCATGTCGTGAGTTGCTACAGTTCATTCTCTGATTGAAATGACATTGGCCTGAAACATCGTCCAGTCTCTTTGTTACTACGAAATGTGTTGAAGAGATCTCATAGCCACTGAGACAGGCCTGCTATTATCGTTTAGGGGAAGAATGTCAATGATGTGTGAGCCACGTCTTGCAGCACCGGATTTATGTGCATTTCGGTATGATTTCACTCATGTGCTCATGCACGATATCAAGAACTGAAAAGTTGCAGTTACACGAGTGAGCAACCCAGTCAACTTCAGGTTTCTAATCATCAGCATTCTATAAGTATAACGAACTATCACAACTTTTGTTCTGATCACTGTTTCCCTCCCCTACTCTGCAGGAGTCGAGGCTGCTTGGTCTCCAACATCCAGCCTGAAGACTTGCTGGACTTTGAGGAGTACGCAGCGCTCAAGTTCCACGAGAAGCACAAGGAGAGCCCGGAGGCACGACTTGAGCGGGACATTCCGGGTTTCGTGTCTCAGCCGTTCATTCCCACTGCATTCCATGGCCGCGTTGCTGAGCTCGTGCGCCTCAAGTATAACTACGAGCTTGCCAGTCGCCAGGCCTGGATTACTCTGCTGCTTCAGCTTGTCAAGGTACAACAGTAGGGTGAAGCCTATAAGCTATATATTGGCAAGCCATATGGGGCCAGAGAGTAGTAGAGTTGCGTACAAGCCCAGAGCATACATGAAGGACACACCAATCACTACATGCACCCACATGCACCCACATATCATAGGGTCTACACGAATTCCATCATCAAGTATTTAGACACGAGAGATAGAAAGCCATCATTTCCCACCTCATGACTTTGTGTTTCCCTTCACGGTGTAAAATGGTTTGCATTGAAGTCATTGCCTTGTACTGTGACGCCAGATGTTTTATGCACGGCTTGTGAACATCTCTTCGTTGGCCAGCACTATGAGTAACAGTTAGACTACCACGAGTACACTGCACTGTATTGTGTGATTCCTAACAGGTCTTTGTCCTGAGGAGAATCACACGGGCTGCTGTCAAGGCCAGTGGGCATCCAGCGGAGGACATCAGCGAGACAGCTCTGCCGCTCAACAACGATGCTATCCTGTGCAGTAACGTCTACAGTCGGGCCGAGTGCAACCTGCTGGCTTGGGTCAACCATATCTTTGCAAAGTACTCCTGGACAGTCAAGTCCACACAGCTAAGCTGTAAGCTGTAACACGATTGTTTCAATGGCCGCTCGTAATAATGTATACGTACGGTGGTAGCAACTGAAATCCAACCCCTGATGTTCGTGCTCAAGTGCAGCATCGATTCTAGCCGTCTCTATTCCGTAGTGTTATGCAAACCCATGCTAGATCTTTGCAATGTGAGCTCACCGAGCTGGAGTAGGATTACCGTTGCCAACGCTGTACGTGGGTCTGAGTTTGGCCACGACGCTGCTGTCAGTAAAATCATGCATGATTTCTTTTTAGTCAGTGTTTGATTGCTTGCGTGCGAACAGCATCCTCTGGGTAGGTCACAGAGGACATGTAAAGAGTTGCAAGATGACTAATGATAGCTTGCATAGACCTCGGTCCTACCGGTAGGACCTACCGGTAGGACCATCATACACAGACATGCTGCATGGCCTCTGTTCTAACATTGACCTAAAACTTGACCCTGAACTGTTGCTCAGGGGCTAATGAAGGAGTCCACAAATTTTAGACGTGATCGCACAAGGCATAGTACGAAATTCCATGGTAACAGCAAATGGTAACCATGGAAACGGTGTATGGAATTATGCATTCCACTGCCTTGGCAGACTAATAAAAACATTAGTACCTCACCACGATTGATGTGCCATGGTCAAAATTCACTTTGGACAGAGTTGCTAGCGCTCCGACAGGAGTATGTGCGGCCATTTTGACAATTGATAAAATTGCGCGTATGCAATGCACTGGACATAGTCTTGCATTTTGCGCCATTACTTTGCCTGACAAAGACCTCATCTCAACAATTGTTTCAAGAAATTTCTCAACCAAAAGCACTTTTGCAGCGCGATTTCTTGGGTCCTACCGGTAGGACCCGTGGTCCTACCTGTAGGACGGCATGCAAGCTATCAAGTCTAAAGTGTTCCTATGCTTGTTCAGGATCCATTGGAAGAATGTTAAGTTCTCACAGAATGTGTACTAAGAGGTCGTCGCCAAAGTTTTTATCGTCCCTGAAACGAACACCGTTCTTTTCGTACCCGGACCCCCTCCCCTGTTTCTGAAACGAACGCAGCTTGCTATGCTGGACGACGAAAATCGCATGCATATACAGTGTGGGTCGAATTGCGATTTTGTCTCGCACCCCTCCCCCACCCCCACCCCCAACGAATGATGTTCGTTTCGGGGACAACAAGAAACTTTTGCGATAACCCCGAAGACAATGATGGTGGTGAGTAGGTGACATGGCAAACAATGCTGATACCGTCAAACCCCAACAATAGCGCTGCTCCTCAAAGTCCTGTTACTTAGCGTACATCTGTTGTTTACATGTAGGTGCTGTGTACGACACACGTGTGCTGCTGAACCATACATGGGTCATGGGCTTGCATTACTGTCTGTGCTTCTGTATGCTTGCCTGAAGTAGTGTTTAACATAATGTTACAACATGTACATTGTTGTGCGCATGTTCGGCATGTTCTGTGTCCGGTCAGGTCGAAACTCCTCCATCAAACCTAGGGAAGTGAACGGCTTTGGAGAGGAATTCTCAGACGGTCTAGTGTTTGCTGTGCTCTTGTTGGCCTATGTACCATTCCTGGTAAGCAGAACCTATTTAGTGCATCTGACATCTCATGTTGCTAAGCTGTAAAGGGGGATTCCGAGTAGAATATAATGGGGTCAGTCAAGTGCAGCAGAGCCCATCACTACACAACTCTAGTGTCCGGAAATCCTTGCAGAAGGTTGATGTGCGGTGTGTCAGTATATCCTCTAGTATGGCAGTTTTGTTTATGGCAAACTATTTGGAAACGAGATGAGCCCTCAAATCTAAGCAGAATACCGCTGTTTTCTCTAGGCCCTGCTATCCTTGAGTAACGTCCAGCCCAGTGGTATAACATATCTACTGTTTGGCATAACCTGGGTGTTCACATGTGTGATCTCTGTCTGACCATTGCCCAGGAGGATGACATTCTTTCACAGCTCTACTTGCAGCCGACTAGCAAGGAAGAATGTTTGCACAACGCCATTAGTGTAGTCAGCGCTTTTCAAGCTCTGTGCCTGGACGATTACTTGGAGGTAGGTAGTGACTTGTGAGTATGAGTGAGTGAGTGAGTCAGTCAGTCAGTAGATGAGTGAGGTAGTGAATGAATGAGGCAGTGAGCGAATGAATGAATGAGTCAGAGAGTGAGTAAGTGGGTGTTCTCATATTTGTTATGCATGAAGTGCCTACAGATGCATCACAACCTACATGCACCATTCCCCTGAAACTAGCCTGCACCAAAAATATGGTATACTGATGGTCTGGGGTTGGGAGGTGGTTGGAATTTTCAGTCCCTGCCCAAGAAATACCTCTTGCAAGGCTATTGGGCACATGCTTATCATTGGTGCAAAGGTCCCTCTGCATTGAATATGCCTTGTCACAATGATCCTCCACCATGTGTGCATGCTATGTGTGTATGTTGCCCGCAGCCACAAGATATTGTCGAAACCAACCCAGTGGTCATACTCCTGTTTGTGATGGACCTGTTTCACAAGTTACCAAAATACTTGCCCGCGCCAAACTCCGTAAGGAACACAGTGCTACTTGAAGGTACTAGAAACAAGGTGCCAGTGCGCAGGGAGGTACGGCTCAAGAACCCGAGCTCTCGCCCAGCTACCTACGTGCTGAAGTTGATTGGCGAGTTTGCGTCACGATTCCACCTTCTCTTATCAAGAGGTTCGTCTGTTTCGGTAAGTGCTTGTTCAACTATTGGCGTAACAGCTGGCTGAATGAATATCTAGTGAATAATTAGTAGCAATCCAATCGAGTGGTTTGGTCTGTACTTGTACTTCGGTGGCGTACGTGGTCTAGTATGATTGGAGGAGTTGCACATGAGGATGAGAGGTTCAAAGACTAAGTCAAAACTTCACAGCAAATTCCCTTCTATGGACCGGACCTTCATGAAAAGGCTTCACTCTGTTGTGCATGGTGTGTTTGGCTTCTTGCATCCAGGTACCAGCCAGAGGAATGGTTTCAGTAGGTGTTGAGTACTGCGGACGTTTCTTACATGAGTCTCAGTGCACGCTGATTGCCGTCACTAACACGATCGGGATCAAGCAGCAGGTGCATACGTTTGTGCTCAAGGGCTCCATGAAGACACTCAAGACCCATGTGAGTTTCCCGGAGTGTACCATGGCTATGCTATGCCTGATGCCGCTGGTGCTGGTGCTGCTTTGAACACCACTGCTCTTGGAAGTTATGTTTGTGCTCCAGCTTGCAGTGAATGTGTCTCACCGATCAAATTTAAAGCGCATGATATCAATGTTTGTAGGATGAGACAAAGGTTAATAAGCGTATTGGGTGGGAAGTGGTCTTGGGTGGTGATTTGGATTCTTGTTCACGTGTGTGCTCTGCAGCAAAGCAAGCATTGCTCTGCGACTTGCTATGAGCCACAGTTGCTGAAGATTCCCGTCGTCTCTCCCTTCGATGTGGACGACACCTTCGCTGTGACTGTTGTTGAGAAATCGGTCCGATTTCCGAAGCTTGCGAATGCTGAAACTGTGCAGAATATGCTGATGGACACCAGTTCATCACTGGCCAACTTAGCCGCAGAGTAAGTGCTTTCTTTTTGTGAATAGAGCCGCTTTCAGACCAGTAATTCAATAGCAGGGGGTTCCAATGCATATGTTGTGAGTAGTGTAGCTGCATGCTGTCGGCACGTGTTTGCCTGGTTACTGGATACAGCTAAGATTACGTGTCCGTGCCTGGGTTCGTGCCTGGGTCCGTTTTTGGTGATAACTCGTGGCCCTGCGCCGTTTCCCAGTCTTCCGTTTTTGGCTGTAGTCGTCGCAGCTCCTCGTGTTAGATCCGTAATTATTCTCTCTCTCGTGGTTTCTGCCTTTTAGTACTCTTGTCGTTTCCGTTGTCCTCCTGAACCCTGTACCTTTCCTTTGTCCCCTTATTCCTCATAAGAGGCCAAGTAAGATTACGTGCTAACCCGAACATTCAAGTTGCTCTGTCTGACTGGTCGCGGGGGGGGGGGGGCTCTGTCTGACTACACATACACTGCTTGAAGAAAGTACGGGACGACGAGAGAGAGAGAGAGAGAGAGAGAGAGAGAGAGAGAGAGAGAGAGAGAGAGAGAGAGAGAGAGAGAGAGAGAGAGAGAGAGAGCGAGAGCGAGAGAGAGAGCGAGAGCGAGAGAGAGAGAGAGAGAGAGAGAGAGAGAGAGAGAGAGTGAGAGAGAGAGAGAGAGAGAGAGAGAGAGAGAGAGAGAGAGAGAGAGAGAGAGAGAGAGAGAGAGAGAGAGAGAGAGAGAGAGAGAGAGAGAGAGAGATAGAGAGAGAGAGAGAGAGGGAGGGAGGGAGAGAGAGAGAGAGAGAGAGAGTTACAATGGAGAGGCGATGCTTATCCATGACCGAATGAGTAGAGCACCATTGTGTCTAAGACTCTAAGATAACGGGCACTGCTCTTACAACACACCACGCATGTCGTTCCTGAGAGCCTACATGTATGGCTCAGGTGTATAAACATAGTTGTGTTCTTGTTCCGCTGTGAAACTCTGCTCTGCAGGAGAGCCTGGAAGTCATCTGGAGAAGACACCGACTCATCTGATGCAGATACAGGTACTGCTGTTTTACAAACAACTTAACATTCTTGATTGCTACTTCGAAGTAGTCTTGATAGAGATCTTCTGGGGCGATATCTGTGTGAGCATACGTACTATAAGTAGCTCTTTGGTATAGTGGTTGTCAGTGATAATCAACTCCTTTTGCTTGATTAAGTGCAACACTATCATAGATATCTATCTGCAACCAGCCAGTATTGTTTTGGTGGATGGAAAAATTCTGGGGGGGGGGGGGGCAGGGAGGAGAGGGGGTAGATGGTGTTGTCGCCGTTTACTGCGCTTTCTCGTTCCGCTGTAAAAAGATGTGCTATCTGCGTTCTATTACCCTTCTCTCCAGTGTTACTACCGTTTGTCTTCTTTGCCAAGAAGAAGCAGATCTATCTAGTGGCTGGACAGGCTAGCAGCCTGCCGCTGGAGATCATCGCTTTGCAGCCAGTGTCCCGCAGCTGTTCTGTCATTCTGTCATCCAAGCGCCATGGCGACCTGATCATCGACGTCACAGCTGATGTGAAAATGCCCAAGCCCGTGAGCGGAAGTGCGCTGGAGGAGCTTGCCTCGCTTCTGAGGCCACCGCGTCGCATCATGCCGTCGGGAGAGCATCCGCAGGCGGCTCTGCGCGCTGACAACACGATCTTCATCCACTGCGCAAGTCACGAGGACCTGGTCTCCGAGCAGCTGGCCGTCTCGTCATGCAACGCGGCACGTGATCATGCCGTAGCCCTGCGCCAAGACTGGCAGCTGAGTGACTTGGAAGTAGAACAGCGGGCCGACTTCCTGGCCACACGCATTCCTGGCTGCGACGATAACTTCTACTTCACACAGATCGCTGACCTGGAGGACAATCAGCTCGAGTTCACCGTCAGCTCTAACAATCCAGCTCTGAACCTGCCGCGCTCCTTTGCCATGCCCTTTTGGGAGAATACTGCCCTGGCGGGGAAAGACTCGGCTTCTCAGCAAGTACCGGACATCAGTTTTGGTCGACCTGCGCCGGGGAAGGCTCTGCTGGACTGGGTGTACACTTCGAACGGCGTGCCAGGACGCTACCCGCTGCAGATTATTCTCTGGCATCTGGATGATGTGCGTGTTGTGCAACTGGAGATTGGTGTTAGTCTGCCGCCGATGATGATGGGAAATCAGATTAGTGTCAGGGCAGCGACATCCTCATCAGTTGTGCACGACCTTCCACTGGTAAGGCATGAGTGACATGGCGGACTTGAATGACATGGCGTCCTCCTCTGCTTTTACATAGCGCACTTCTCTGCTCTTGCATAGCGCATGCATATGCTTTTATGACCGGTTAGGAAAACCCCTGAATATGTGTACTGTGTTTCCTCTCTTTACACTGTGCCTAGTTGCACGCGAGAGTTGCGTAGATTGGGCACTGGGCAGGCTAGTATATTGTGACTCTTGACTAGTACCATCCATGTAAAGTAAACCTGTAACTAAAGACCACTGTGACTAGCGACCAGCCTGGTACTGCAGACCGCTGTGACTAGCGACCAGCCTGGTACTGCAGACCACTTCTCCAGGCACGGGCGGTCTCACATTCATATAATTATGGTTGTGCAGTGCAAACCTCTAACTAAGGACCACCTACCACTAAAGACCGCTTCAAGTTCTCTGGCCCTAAGGGGTGGTCGTTTGTCACCGGCTTTACTGTACTTGGATATCGTTTCCAATGTATGCTTAGCAACTAGTCCCCAAACTCCGATTGGCTCCATTCCCATTGAACATGCACAGCCCTCACAATTAGGACTGAGCTGTTGCTTCTGGATATACACCAGCTAAGTCTCAGGTCTGAGATGAAAGTCAGTAATGAGTCAGTGATGAGTCAGTAATGAGTCAGTGATGAGTCAGTAATGAGTCAGTGATGAGTCAGTAATGAGTCAGTGGTGAGTCCACACGAATACCTGGCAGCCCTTAACAACTGCTAACTTATTCCGCTCTTTCCGTTCCCAGACAAACAACGACCGCAACGACTGGCCTTTGGTGGCAACTGTGGAGGGACGCGGATTCTCTGGGCCTCAAGTGTTTGTGGCCAAGGCAATGTCAGACAGCTTCTACCCGCTAACATTTCACCCTCACTACCTCGGAACTGTTGAAGTGAGTAACAGTTACCAGTATGGCTTTTGCTCTTGCTTTGTATTTTCGGCGAAGAATTGTCCACTCTTAATGCCTGCTCTTGCTGTCTTAGGAGCAAACATCGGACTGTGCACGTCCAATGATAGTGATTCTGTAACGAAGCTAACACGCTACAGCTGTGTACAGCAGAAGGGCACGAAAGGCACTGGGAGTGTGCTAGCTGTTACGCTTAGCCTGCTGACCAAGGCTGTATGAACTGCTAGAGTGTCTTATCAAATGGTAGCAGCATGCAGTAGCTATCTATCTCTCTTGGTTGGGCACATGCATAATTTTCACAGCAGCTGTTTATTCACTGAAGACAATGCTGCTGACCATATTGTATCTATGCTCAGGGCATGCTGACACTGGTCAACAAAGAAGATGGCGTGGAGCGGTGCTTCAACCTGAGAGGCGAAGGGACAACGCCGCGTCCCCTGAAAACGATCAACTTGAAGTGCCAAGTTGGCAAACGGTGCGTGTGCTAGTGGTGGCCTTAGTTAGGAGTACACTCTGCCTTCCTCTTAGCTCAACACCGTCATTTTGGCTTTCTGCAGGGTTTTGATAAGAGTACTTGTATTGGCTTCTCTCTTGCTGTACATACTTGTGCCGTGTATCTAACAGTTTATACATGCGGGGGGGGGGGGGGGCTGCGGATCTGGCTGTGGTGCAGCAGGTCATACACTAACAGTCATAGCAGAGCCATCTTATGTATTGTAGGCATGGTCATCTGTTTGCAGCATGTGGTGAAGTGCCATTTGGTGCACTGTTCCGTTCACCAGTTGTGCGGCATAACCTTCATGTACCGAACTGTTCACTGTGTTTTCAGAGCAAACTTTGACGTCCACATCCCGAATGAAACCGACTTTGATCTCAACATGACCGTGAGTTCCGGGATCACCTAGTGCATGTACTGTGCTTTCTTCCTCTCTTTTTGGTGTTGTGTTGTGTTGGGGCACCAGATCCAGGCTGGCTCACATTAGCAGAAACTAAATGCATCACAGTATGTGTCCATGTGTACCCAGGGGGACTAGCTCACATGGTAGAGCGCTCGCTTAGCATGCGAGAGGTACCGGGATCGATACCCGGGTTCTCCAGTTGTCCTTTTTTTGTTTTGTTTTACATCATAATACCGGTATGCTTATTACCAAGAGTACATAACCCCAAGAGTGTGCAACTCTCTGCACAACCTCTATGCTGTGCTGCGACGGCAGAACTTTACATCACGTGACATGGTTCAAAAGGTTATGCTGGCAAACAGTGCAAAGTGACCACAAGAGAGTTGTACCCAAAGCTGGGCTGCGTACAACCCAGTATCTATCATGCACAGAGTGCACGGGTTCATCACGTGATGTGAAGTTCTGCCGTCGCAGACCCCATAGCTGGAGTTGCACACTCTTGGGGTTATGTACTCTTGTTATTACTAGTTCAGGAAGTTGGATAAGTGGAGCTATGTGTGTGTATGCGTGTGTCAGCAGATTTGATAAAAAAAATTTACCCCTCTTGATTTCTCATCATTGTGTTGCTTTTAATTTTGCCCGTAAAAGAGGCTGTTGGATACTGCGGAAAAAATAAAAAATAAAAATAAGTGGAGCTTGGAATCAAGGTGTATGTACTATGTAGGTGTATGTACTATGTACTATGTACTATGTAGGTGTATGTACTATGTACTATGTACTATGTACTATGTACTATGTAGAGGCGACGGTTTCAAATAGGACATAGGTTGCAAACCGGAACGGTCTCAATATTCACTTTCTCTCTTGGTATGTTGATTAGAAAACGTATGTCACAGTGAGACTACGATGTGTTTTACTCAGCGCCAAAATTCCATGGCTCTGCGATGACCAGAAGCGCCATACCAAGCAGGTGAGTTTTTGACGTGTTGCTTCGCACTGCGACTTGAGTTTTACGACTTTCGAAAAATCAACTTCTTGTCGCAGGTAAACAGCGACTCGCCTCTCGCCAATAAAGCACCGTATACCAATCAAAACTAATGGAAGCACACACAAGGCTTATTGTTACTCTGTACTGGCCGTCGTGGGGCGATAGCAATTACCTAATTTCAGACCCAGAGTGAATTGGACGTGCACTCTAAAACGTGTCCGGTTTGGAGCCACCTCTGATTTGAACTTTTTTGAAGCGAAAAATTGGGCAACTTGGAGGCAATGGGTCAACACAAAGGAGTGGCTCAGTTCGATTGACTCTGGCCCCAGAGCAAACTTCAACATGCCAGTTTCCTTCCACAAACATATTTCGAGTGAAAAATCAACGCTGATGATCGGTTTGGGTCTATACAAATTTGGCTGTCAAAGCGTCCCAGTATCGAGCCGTCCCCTCTACTATGTACTATGTACTATGTACTATGTACTATGTACTATGTACTATGTAGGTGTATGTACTACCGTACTGGCAATATATGTTGCCGCAGTGAGGCCATGAAGCGTTACATTGGCACATGTTTGCCGCACGCAGGGCGCTACATGCAAAGTCGCACAGGAGCCGTTACACAGGTTTCTATATTGCCGCAGTCCTTTTTTTGCTATTGCCGCATCACTTTTTTTGCTATTGCTGCATCATTTTTTTTGCTTTTGCCGCATCATTTTTTCTTTTCATCCACATTGAAGGCACAGAAATTCAGTTGCTATCCAACTGTTACAAACCCGACGGAAACCCGACGGCAAAGGGCGACAACGATATCAATAGAAGACTGTATATTTTTAACTATCAGAGTGATCTGTTCACAAAAAGATCATCAAAAGGAAAGTGACATAGGGGAAGAGCGCTTCCTCCAAAAACTACTTTTCACCACGCGGTACACGTGTTTTCACAGTTTTCAGCCTTTTTTTGCAGTGCAAACTGCAATGAAAAGATCGCCGCACCCCGCCGGACGCGCGTTACGAACTCAACGAAAATTTGTCGCACTAGCCTGGTCGCGCGTTACGCCGCACCCCCCTGCGTTACGCGTTACGCGGCAACATATATTGCCAGTACGGTATGTGCTATGTACTATGTACTATGTACTATGTACTATGTAGGTGTATGTACTATGTACTATGTAGGTGTATGTACTATGTAGGTGTATGTACTATGTACTATGTACTATGTACTATGTACTATGTACTATGTAGTGTACATGTGGTTTAAACATGTACTGTCTTCCATTCTCTTGTCACCAGGTGTACAAAGACAGTGAATGGCTGACAGGCCCAGACACAATCTTTGTCGAAGCTCATTCCGTGCTCACAGTACCAATGACATGCACGACGAATAAACATGGGAGCTCGTCATGCCAGGTGAAATTCGAGGCGACGCCGTCCACGACAGAAGGAAGAAAGTCCACCATTGGAAGGTGAGTGTGTCCAATGGCAGCACCTTCTGATCCCCCCGTGCACACCTTGCTGTGATGTCACCAGTCTGACAGGCACTGTAGTCGTGGATGTATCCCACTACACCACCGCTGTACTTTTCCCTTGTATGGGCCGAGACTAGCTCCACCACCCATAATCATCTTCTTGTAGGCAAAGCATGCAAGATTATGCGTCACTATGTTGGATTATTCCATGTATCTGTAGTTGCCAGTATAGTGTTTGCCTGCTCACTACAGTACTATCGGGCACCGAAGAACAGAGCGCCGAAGAACAGAGCGCCGAAGAACAGAGCGCCGAAGAACAGAGCGCCGAAGAGCAGAGCGCCGAAGAACAGAGCGCCGAAGAACAGAGCGCCGAAGAACAGAGCGCCGAAGAACAGAGCGCCGAAGAACAGAGCGCCGAAGAACAGAGCGCCGAAGAACAGAGCGCCGAAGAACAGAGCGCCGAAGAACAGAGCGCCGAAGAACAGAGCGCCGAAGAACAGAGCGCCGAAGAACAGAGCGCCGAAGAACAGAGCGCCGAAGAACAGAGCGCCGAAGAACAGAGCGCCGAAGAACAGAGCGCCGAAGAACAGAGCGCCGAAGAACAGAGCGCCGAAGAACAGAGCGCCGAAGAACAGAGCGCCGAAGAACAGAGCGCCGAAGAACAGAGCGCCGAAGAACAGAGCGCCGAAGAACAGAGCGCCGAAGAACAGAGCGCCGAAGAACAGAGCGCCGAAGAACAGAGCGCCGAAGAACAGAGCGCCGAAGAACAGAGCGCCGAAGAACAGAGCGCCGAAGAACAGAGCGCCGAAGAACAGAGCGCCGAAGAGCAGAGCGCCGAAGAACAGAGCGCCGAAGAACAGAGCGCCGAAGAACAGAGCGCCGAAGAACAGAGCGCCGAAGAACAGAGCGCCGAAGAGCAGAGCGCCGAAGAGCAGAGCGCCGAAGAGCAGAGCGCCGAAGAACAGAGCGCCGAAGAACAGAGCGCCGAAGAACAGAGCGCCGAAGAACAGAGCGCCGAAGAACAGAGCGCCGAAGAACAGAGCGCCGAAGAACAGAGCGCCGAAGAACAGAGCGCCGAAGAACAGAGCGCCGAAGAACAGAGCGCCGAAGAACAGAGCGCCGAAGAACAGAGCGCCGAAGAACAGAGCGCCGAAGAACAGAGCGCCGAAGAACAGAGCGCCGAAGAACAGAGCGCCGAAGAACAGAGCGCCGAAGAACAGAGCGCCGAAGAACAGAGCGCCGAAGAACAGAGCGCCGAAGAACAGAGCGCCGAAGAACAGAGCGCCGAAGAACAGAGCGCCGAAGAACAGAGCGCCGAAGAACAGAGCGCCGAAGAACAGAGCGCCGAAGAACAGAGCGCCGAAGAACAGAGCGCCGAAGAACAGAGCGCCGAAGAACAGAGCGCCGAAGAACAGAGCGCCGAAGAACAGAGCGCCGAAGAACAGAGCGCCGAAGAACAGAGCGCCGAAGAACAGAGCGCCGAAGAACAGAGCGCCGAAGAACAGAGCGCCGAAGAACAGAGCGCCGAAGAGCAGAGCGCCGAAGAGCAGAGCGCCGAAGAGCAGAGCGCCGAAGAGCAGAGCGCCGAAGAGCAGAGCGCCGAAGAGCAGAGCGCCGAAGAGCAGAGCGCCGAAGAGCAGAGCGCCGAAGAGCAGAGCGCCGAAGAGCAGAGCGCCGAAGAGCAGAGCGCCGAAGAGCAGAGCGCCGAAGAGCAGAGCGCCGAAGAGCAGAGCGCCGAAGAGCAGAGCGCCGAAGAGCAGAGCGCCGAAGAGCAGAGCGCCGAAGAGCAGAGCGCCGAAGAGCAGAGCGCCGAAGAGCAGAGCGCCGAAGAGCAGAGCGCCGAAGAGCAGAGCGCCGAAGAGCAGAGCGCCGAAGAACAGAGCGCCGAAGAACAGAGCGCCGAAGAACAGAGCGCCGAAGAACAGAGCGCCGAAGAACAGAGCGCCGAAGAACAGAGCGCCGAAGAACAGAGCGCCGAAGAACAGAGCGCCGAAGAACAGAGCGCCGAAGAACAGAGCGCCGAAGAACAGAGCGCCGAAGAACAGAGCGCCGAAGAACAGAGCGCCGAAGAACAGAGCGCCGAAGAACAGAGCGCCGAAGAACAGAGCGCCGAAGAACAGAGCGCCGAAGAACAGAGCGCCGAAGAACAGAGCGCCGAAGAACAGAGCGCCGAAGAACAGAGCGCCGAAGAACAGAGCGCCGAAGAACAGAGCGCCGAAGAACAGAGCGCCGAAGAACAGAGCGCCGAAGAACAGAGCGCCGAAGAACAGAGCGCCGAAGAACAGAGCGCCGAAGAACAGAGCGCCGAAGAACAGAGCGCCGAAGAACGACCAGGGTAGAATTTCACAAAGCACAGAATACCCGGCAATGTAAACACAGTGACTCAACTGTGCATAGACTGTAGTACATGTAAGTAAGAACGGTCTAGGCTAAGAGACTGACCCTCCCCCCCCCCCCATTCTGTGGCAACCGACAGTGCTATACTGTGTTCCTTTTGTTTTGTTGGTTCTGTGCATGTGTGCGTGCACGTGTGTATGTGTGTGTGTGTGTGTGTGCGTGTGCGTGTGTGTGTGTGCATGTGTGCCTGTGTGTGCGTGCATGCAGGATCGAGTACCAGAACTACCTGGACAGCTTCAATAAGAGTGACAACGCTGGCAACTATCTTCACATTGTGCAGCTCAATATCAAGTCGATAATGAAAGCACTGAGCTCTGTTGTCAAGGTTGGTGAAACTTGCCATCATCAAGTCTACCTGTGTGTATTTTGTTCACGAAATGCATCCAGTTGGAAATTTGGAATCCAGATGAGGTGGAAAGAATGTGTTTCACATCGACTAACATGGCTCCAAACAGACGTATGGTGGTTCACTTGAATGTCCAAGGAGGGGAAATTCTTGGGAAGTTTAGCTCGGAGCTGTTTGGAATCTGTATGCAGCCGTTGAAAGTGCACAACCAAGTAGCTGGTCTGGATTGAATGGATAGTAGCTGGTCTGGATTGAATGGAGAATTCATTGCATTGCACCTACAGGTGTGTATCACGTGTACTCCACTATTCTTCTTGAGTGACTCACCTCTGTTTTTGTTCACGTAGGTTCTTGCGCCCGTCGGCAGCAAGGTGGAGTGCATGCTGAAGCTGACCGGTGGTAAGAAAGACCTGTCGTACGACGTGAAGTTCTACGGTGACCCATGCCTGAGTGGGCCGACGGAAGTGCTGGTGCCGCGGGGCAAGGATCTGGCGTACGAGGCAGTATTTGCGCCCACGCGCCTTACAGGCACCACGAAGAGCAAGTATGTCAACCTTAGCATTCAGGCCAAGGACTCTGATGCCATGTGCATGAACTGCCCAGTTTCACTTCAATCATTGACACTGTATCCATGTATTTGACAATGAACTATGCACTGCAGAAACATGGTAACAGCATGATCAGTGGGTCTAATGTTATCAGGCATTATGTCTGTTTTGATTTCCACTATAAATAAAGTATACAACAACAATGGTAACGGTTATACATGATGTCAGATACGGATTTGTTTCTATCCTTTCTTGCAGCATTGTCTTCGTCCCTCGCGATGCGGTCGCACGTGAGGTCCGATACGCCATCGAAGCCACCGTCACAAATGCCAGAACAGTGCAGCTGCCACGTATGGAGGTTTCTCTGGGAAGGTGAGGAAATACATGTAGTTGTAAGAATATGCCACTGCGCAACTGGAGAAGATCGTTTGAACCAGCACGCATGTATAGGTGTACATGCTTCCAGAAGCAGAAGAGTCCTGGCTGTCGATAGTCTACGTTAGTGTTTTACCACAAGCAAAGACTACCTGTGCTCCCGTGGTGTGTGCAGCAAGTTCAGTATTTGCCCCTAACTTGTACTCGCTATGCTGCTCCCACCTGTAGGTCTTGTGCTAGCCCTCTGACCCTGACTAACCCGCTTTCCGAGGAGATCAGGCTCACTCCGCTTGTGTCAAACCCGCGCAACTTCAGCCTGGACGTGAGCAAACTGGTCGGCGTGACTGTGACTGATGACGGCGACATCATTCTTGAGCCCAACCAAAGTGTGGATATTCCCATTGTGTTCTTTCCGACCCGAGTGGAAGGATTGATGAGCACCACCATATCCTTCACATGCACACAGGTAAGTGTCACATGTATGTGCTATCTATACTATGGTTTCAGGGCAGCCAGTTTTCAGTTCTGTCCGTTCTACTTCGCTGGGGCTTGCCCTCACAATGCACCACAAAGTGTGGGGTAGCCATATCTTCATGGAAGTGACGAACTGTCCGGCTTCTATCGTGCCTGGAATCATTATGTCCAGGCCCCTGGAATGTAGTGTGATAATATTCTGTCCGTTGTGACCTGGGTGCCTGGGTGAATACTTGTCGTACTTGTTGAACAACTTTGTTTTGTAAGATATGCTGCTACTGGCAAAGTCCCACCAGCAGACTTGATATCGCAAGCACAACCACCGTGACATACTCGTATCCTTGCGGCTGGTTTCTTTAGCAATGTTCTGCCTTGTGTTCCATCTGGTTTCTTTTGCACAGCTTGGTGCGCTGCAGTACAATGTCACTGGAAAACCGTTAGCAGCTGGCAGCGTAGAGACAACTGTTGTTCGTTGTCCTGTGTTTGGGTCAGTACGTCACAAAGTGGTCTTCAACATGCCTCTGGAGCACGAGGCCGTCCTGTCGTTAAACCTGGTGGAGGAGCCACTGGCCAACATGTCCAGTATACAACAGGCCTCGTGCCTCATCGCCCGTTTCAACCCGAACAGCCTGCGCAGCGGGTCCGATATTGAGCTGCTGTTCGGAGAGTCTGTCGTGATGCAACCAGGCACCACACTGCACATTCCCGTTATGTTCTCACCGCAATCTATGGCCACACGCTACGGGCACCTGCAGATTACACTGCGACCGAGGGGAGGCAGTGGAAAGCAGCCAAACGCTACATGGACATATCCGTTTACATTCCTTCCGGTGTTCTCGCTGCCCAGACCCAGTCCACCGCTTGCCATGTTGGCCAAGGTTGGCGAGCGCTCTGAGCAAAACTTCACAGTTCAGATACCCGTAGACCTGGTCAACGATTGCCTGCAACCTCCGGGAGCTGTTGATGATAGCTCAGCACGGCGGACGGTGTCAACGGACAGCTTGTGGTCATCTCTGCGCTCGCTGGCGAAACGCCAAGAGGAGTTTGAGCAGGCATCGGAGATGTTAAGAGGTTGCTGCGCTGCAGTGCTGCGCAACCAAGCCTCGGTCGGTGAGCACGGCGGCGTGCAGCTTTCTCATGACGTCATCTTCTTGCCAAGCTACGAAGGCTGGTGAGTTGACTGAACTGATTCACGGAGACAGCTGGGCAGTAGTACTTCACACCGGGTGTCTGCCCATTGTTCTGAGTGTGCATAGTCAGTATATCGCATTGACTCTAGTCATACATACAGTGATTGATTGGACAGCACTCCTCTGTCAGTATAGCTTTATCATGGTTCTACATTCCAGCTTGGAGACCAGTGGCAGTACTGCTGGGTTGGTGCAGGGCTCAGCTCACAACCAGGTGTAGCATAGACATTAGACGGATGCAATGTGCATTGCGGCTGGTGTATGCGAACTGATTGAGTGTAGGACAACCGCTGTAAAAAAAAGAGTAAAGTTTACACGTCCGCGTTACCACCGGCTATACAATTGCATTGAGAAACAAAACCAGCTTAGGAAGTTTCGCATGTGCCAGGCCACCACAACCGCTGTGCTGGTATTAAATATATATATAAAAATAAATAAATCACGGTTCACATCAGACTCGGCCTCTAGCCGAGTTTTCCACATCCGTATTAAATATACATGCAGTACAAAACATCATCATGGTGTGCATTTTTTTACAACTTCCGTCGTGTGTAGGTTTGACGTGGCACTCACTGTAACGCACAAAGACTTGGGCGAGTGGCAACAACCCCTGACACTGCATGCATCCAGTGGTGAATATGATGGAGTCGTTCACCTGGACTTGGAGAGCCTGAACCAGGAACTGTCGGTGGTTCTTGATGTTTGCAACAAACGCAGGTGAGTGCACACAGCATGGTGTTGGATTCCGGGGTGTTAGTGCGGGAGGAAGGAAGGGGGGGGGGGGGGAAGGCAACCAGTGCATTTGAGAGGACTTCAGAGTTTTGTCCCTGACCCTTCATTTCTGCTACCATAGTCTTCCTTCCTTTTGGCAGCTGTGTCAACCTCTGTTGGTCACGTGCTAGTAATTATACTTTCTCTAGCTGTTCACCGGTACTTTCTCTAGCTGTTCACCAGTACTTTCTCTAGCTGTTCACCAGTACTTTCTCTAGCTGTTCACCAGTACTTTCCCGGCTAGGGTACCTGTAAAAAGGTCTTAGGCCTGTGGGGATTACGCTATTGTTAAAAAAATGATTGGTTACTGTTTTCAGATGATCGCTTAGTGCGTGAAACTCAGCGTTAAAACACTTTCTCTGTCCTCTTATTTTTTGATTATAGAATCAGTGTAAAATACTGACCCGTGCGCTGCAAGTGCCTCCAAAGCACAGAGGTCTAAAATAAAATCTGAGTCGCCTAATGTGTCTGTCTGTCTGTCTCTCCGTCTGGTGGTGTTGCAGTTGTCCTGCTGAGTGTAGGGCGTTTTTCACAACCGGCTCTCACCAAGGCTTTTCAGTGCGACCGAAAGAGGCCATCCTTCCACCAAAGGGCACCAAAGAGGGTTGCATGTTCGAAATCACCTACTCACCAAAGATCTACCGTTTCCCACTGGATGGCTTTCTCATCATCAAGGTATACTTTCCCACACTAACAAGTAACACCATACTTCCTTTGAGTTCTGACTTTGAAGTAATTCTGAAGTGTTCAACTCCAGATCAGGCTCGTCTAGGCTGTTGCACTACTTGCGAGTATGCTGGTGCTTAGGGAATCCAAGCCAACAGGCATTGAATGAAATCTTGTAATGGCTGTTGCCAAGTTGGGCTGCACCAATGTCCCACCGCGGTGCTCCGGTGTTGGGAGCAACCACCTTTCCTATAAAATTATCACCGAAGTCGCTACCAAAATTTTGTAAATTGTTTGTTCTTCTTTTCTTCTACAGACTACTGCTGATCAGTGGATCTTCAAAATCGAGGCGAAAGCAGCAGCACCAGATGCGGATGGACAGACATCGTATTACACTGCTCGCAATGAGTCACCGATGCCGTCCACACAGAACTTTGTGCGCTTCAATCGCCAGCAGCTCAAGAAGGGCGTTTGAGACACCGCCACTGCTGTGGTGGCACTGCTGGTTCACACGACATTGACTTGATTGATTCGGATACGAAATACTTGAAGCAAATTACCTGCCTACTGATGGACACTGGATATTAATTTTGTTATAATTTGTCGTGTGCTCATTGATATCATGTAGCAGCAGCAGCGATAGCATTGCCACAGCTATGTACACAAATTCAAAGTTGAGATGATAATCGTTCATACCTGCCACAGAGCAGAATACTAGTACCAGGACAAGTAGTAAACAGGGACATAATAATTATGGTGCCGCCGCCGCTGCTGCTGCACACTGTAGATGTACGTATAATTATGTCGTGTATGCCACACGCTTGCTCACTCACTCTGTATGGTGTATGCCACACGCTTGCTCACTCACTCTGTATGGTGTTGGCTCACAGTATTCTTGCCACTTTCTCAGTCTTGCGCTGTGCACGCGTCAAGCATTCTATGATGTAAAAAAAAACATCCGCATCAACACATTCATCAACAGTGTGACGCGGTGTGCTGGGGGAATGCCTGGCATGAATGCAATGCCAGTGTGCTCAATTCTAACAATAGAACAACGATGCACCAGCACAACACAACAGAATAGAACGTCTTGAAGCAAACGTGGAGCAATCCACTGAAGTACTTCAAGTAGTACTACTGTAATACTGATTCTCCCTCATACATGTCCATCTGGTTCTGGCAGAGCTCACTACACAGGCCTAGCTTGCACTGCACACAGGACAAAGCCAGGCGGAAAAGTTTCACACATCACTCACTCATCCAGATGATGGGCAGATTTTCACTCGCCTGCCACAAATAACATCTCAGTGTAAAAAGCACACAAAACAGTGTGTCCATGTCAAGGCATTGGTTTTATAACTTTTATTTATTTTCTGCAGGTGCTGCAGGTGGTGGTGGTGGTGGTGCTGCTGCTGCGTCCTGTTGTGCTGGCACTGCAGCATCCTTCTGCTGGCTTTCTGCTGCTGCTGCTGCTGCATCTGGTGGTGTTGCTGCTGCATCTTGCGGTGTTGCTGCTGCAGCTGGTGCGTCTGGTCCGTCGGCATGCTTCTGCAAGTACGCTGAGAGAAGGTATGCTGGTGTGGAGAGGACGCCAATGAGCTCACTCTGCACCTGGGTGATGTCCGTAATGCCGGAAAGCTTGAGCACTTCATTCCGCGTCAGCAGCTCGCCCTCGATGCAGCCTCCCAGTAGCTCTAGATTTAGGAATGGCCGCGCAATCTTTGTAGTTTTCTTGATGTTGATCTCGTTCGTGTACGACACCGCACATCCTGGCTGCATAAGACGGGTCATATTTCTGTACTTTGACTTGAGAATGTACGGATGGCAGTCCTAAGCAAAACAAAGAGAAGAGGTAAAGAAGCCGACAAGTTGAGCAGAACTGGATAGAAGAACAGCACAAGCCAATCAGGACAGACAACACAGTCGAGATCTTTCGCACTTTCTGACGTGCAGGAGACGAGCACGAGTCTAACCCTCACTCTCTATCTGGGTTCTAGGGTTCTTCATTAAGAGCTCTGTAGAAAGCCTTGCTTATGTGAGTGGACGTCTCCCCATTCGTCAGATGTTCCGAGTGGGATTTGTCTCGTACTCGTTTTGTCATGGAGTGTGAAACGTCTCTTCCGACTAGGCTGTGCTAGCTTAGAATGCACTCAGAAAGGGTCTGCAGCAGTCGATTACAGGTAGAGATCGGCTATAGTAATAGACCGGTTATAATGGTATCACGTTCAAAATTCAAAATCAAAAGTATCTTTTCCACTCAAACTAAACCGGTTAAAGAGTAATCGGCTATAGCAATATATCGCCTATTGTGATCAAATTCTCACTTCAAAACCACTGAATTGCATACATTACGGATCGTTTATAGTAATTGGTGGTACCAACAGGAAGCTTCGGAAAACTGAGATTGTGTAAATGATGTGCACTACCAGCAGTGTGGTCATGGTGTGGTCACATCTGTTTGTGTATGTCATCATGACTAAGTCCTAAAGTTATCACTTACATACTTTGAAGTACTACCCTGTTCAATCGCATGTAGTGATAACCGTCTACAGTCAACTTCGCTAGTAACGACCTTCGCGAATAACGACAGAATTTCCATGCCCAGAGCAAAGTCTCATCCAAACTGCAATACATTATAATGAGACTTCGGGTATAACGACATTTCGCGAATAACGACACTTTTCTGATGCCCCGCCGAGTGTCATTATAAGCGAAGTTGACTGTATAGTGATCAAGTCACCCTTCTTCAACACTATAACATATCTCTACCTGTATCATGTATGTACAATGCACATGTATGGGCTTTCCCCCAGAACAAAGTTCAAAATATGTAATTACGTATGGACAAGTGTAGAAGTATCATAAATGTTTATTCGTGCCAGTTGTCCAGTACAATAGACAATAGAGCTCCAATAATATAATCATACTTCAGTAGTCAGGTACAGCACCTGCATCTGCATTTCCAAAGTGTACCCCTCTCACAACACACAACACAGCAACTGTGGGTTGTACTGTAGCAACTTCAAGCGCAGACTGCATGCCCAAGACCGTACACAGTTGCACACAGAATAGCAGTGCAGTTCGTCGGCATGAGCCACGTTCAAGCAAAGCAGACTTGCCTTCTTGTTGCACCTCTTGAAGCCAATATCCTCCTGGAAGAACTGATAGCGTATATCATCAAACCGGTCCTGTGAAATTGACGGCATATGCCATGCCAGTACGACCTTATTCTCCTCAAATATTTTCTTCCACACGGGTGTTTCGAACGTCGGTGTGTACTGCATAACACAAGAAAGGAACAACTTCAGTCTGACAGTGGTCATACACATTCTTGAGGTATTACAGGGTTCTAGCCAGGTCAATATAGTAGGGGGGCGGGCATAGACAACACAGTTACCCCGAAACCCATGTTTCCATGTTCCAAAATAATTGTCTTGCAATGCAAAATGCACCGTACGAGGCGAACCCCCGACTTCACCCGAGACAAATGTACCTTTATGAACCCTTTAGTAGTGACTAATAATATTTAACTGACTATCGACTGAATTTTCGTAATATGGCCTGAAAAAACACAAAAATCGGAAAGTGAGTAGGAGAGCAGCACGTTTTCACAGGGGGCACTGCGCCCCCTACCCCCCCCCCCTTTGGCTAGTATCCTGGTATAACGATCTACCATATCAAGCACAAACTGAATTGTTAGCAGCCAGAAGGCTAATGTTGTCAATTCGATGTATTATTACTGTACTTGTACTATTATCATACACATTCCCGCAGCAGCGTCAACCAAGCAGTTATGCTTGATCCACACGTTCGCTTACACTGGACATTGAAACAGAGCAGATCAAACTACCAATGCACCCGGGACACATGTAGCTTGTATAAGTAAAGTAATTTTTGTGCATGAAATTGTTTCCGGTCAATACAGGATTCCGCATGGTACCGCAGTTCCGCGCATATACTAGTAAGCCCACGGGCCTATATCCGGATACAAGCCCACCTCCGTTTATAGGCCCATGGGCTAATAAACAGACCCAAACACCGTTACGGAACCGATAGTACAGCATGTCAGTGCAGACTACATTACCAGTACCGGTACCTACGGTAGGCGGACAACCGCGCACGGACTTGTACTTTTTCGCGTACCAGCTGCCTTCAAAATTCGAATATAGGCCCAGGGCTAAAAAACGAACCATTATTACTGATTTTTTTCTCCCAGAAAATGCATTATTTCGTATATTAGCCCATGGGCTTATATGCGCGGAACTACGGTATACAGGATCCGGCAAACAGAGGTTTTACTGTATACTTCAAAAGTAAATAATATGCATCTAAGCAACAGTCTCCCTGTTGGCAGTGTTGCACGTTTCTGTCCAGTGATCGTTTACACTGACACCGCTCTCCAAGCTACCACAATCTAAACAGAGTCCAGAAACCACACCTTTAATGAATGTCCCACGGCGTATACATGTATCTTCGAATAGCCAACCCACACATTTCTTCCCCTGTGACCACAGTTTGGTGTCAATTTGGCAGATGGTCATGGTATTGTCAGAGAAGCCAAGGAATACGCCAAGCCAATGATATCCGTGTTTAATTCAGGAGCCAACAGAATTTTCAGGCATGAGCTTGTACTTTAGGATGTACGTGTATTTCGATCCCAAACTGAGGAAGGACTGTACATGGCATCCTGCCAATCAAACAATTTGAATTGATGGTCCAAGTCAACTCTACTCCAAGGTATTCTGGGCGTTCAACCATTTACCAATCGAATTAGGTACATTGTGCATGTATGTATGTATGTACACAGGTACCCCTTTCAAGCATCACCTACCGGCTCTGGGGGACTATGCATCCAAAACGGCCACAAAATGTTCGTGTCTCTGTGGGGAATGAAACTTCTATAAGTTACTCCATTTCTTGCTGCTGCAGCCGGAACAGCAGCACGCCTCAGCGCCTGCATCACTGCGCTGCTCCTCGCTTAACGATCTTTTCGTTCTTTTTACTTACTAGACAGTAGGAATAGCGCAGTATATCATAATTTGGTCCAATGGTAGCTGGCAAGTGATCGATTGGCTGAAAAGTAGTTGAAAATACCTTTCTTTCCAGTTTCTGTTTCAAACATTTTTTGTGTAGAAAAGGCACCGTAAAATTTTATTTGCTCACGATCACGTGCGCAGACAGTAGATCCACAAAACTAGCTGTGACGTTGGATCACGCGTGCACGTTACCGTAGTACGGAGGTCAACACAACTCAACGACGTTACGTGATCTGGGCAAGCTCATTGTTATGTTGGCGTTAAAAAAAGGTCACTCTTATCTTTTTGGGGGAACAATAGGTCTACTTTGGGTTGCATTGAGAACAAAATTTGGAAGAAAGAGCCCTCGTTTTCATTTGTGTGAAGATCAAGAAGGTCGAGAAGATGGGCAAAAAAATCTTAGTTACCGGTGGGACAGGGCTGGTGGGTCGAGGAATCGAATTTGCTGCTCTCAGTGACAAACGTGAAGACGAAGAATGGATATTTTTGTCATCAAAAGACTGCAATTTGACGAGTATGGATGAAACTAGGAAATTATTTGAAATGCACAAGCCTACACACGTCATCCATTTGGCTGCAATGGTCGGTGGTCTTTTCAGCAACCTTCGACAGAATGCCGAGTTCTTCCGTGTGAACATGCTGATCAACGACAGTGTGCTCAATTGCTGTAGAGAGTTCAAAGTGGAGAAGCTAGTGTCCTGTCTGTCGACGTGTATATTTCCGGACAAGACCACGTATCCTATTGATGAGACGATGGTGCACAATGGCCCTCCGCACAGCTCCAATTTCGGCTATGCATATGCCAAGCGCATGCTAGACGTACAAAATCATGCGTATCGTCAGCAGTACGGCTGTCAGTTCACCAGCGTGATCCCGACCAACATTTTTGGACCACACGACAACTTCAACCTGGAGGACTCCCATGTCATACCGGCGCTCATCCACAAGTGCTATAATGCCAAGCGCGATGGCACAGCAGTCACTGTATTTGGCTCGGGCACCCCACTGCGCCAGTTCATCTATTCTCATGATCTTGGTCGCTTGATGGTCTGGACCCTGCGCGAGTACACTGAAACAGAGCCCATCATTCTCAGTGTCGGTGAAGAAGATGAGGTGTCCATTAAGCAGGTCGCCGAGGTCGTTGCCAAAGAAATGGGCGTCGAAAATCTGCAGTTTGATACAACGAAGGCGGATGGTCAATTCAAGAAAACAGCCAACAATGCCAAGCTTCGCCAATATCTGCCCGACTTCCAGTTCACACCATTCGAGCAAGCAATGAAAGAGAGCTGTGCTTGGTTTGTGGAAAACTACGAGAAGGCGAGAAAGTAGGAGCGTGCATGTAGCTCATTGAGATGCAACTTTGCTGTCAGTTACTATTCTGTTTTGAGTGTGCACCAGACGACTAGCATCCTCAATCCCTCAGTTAGCAATGGCATTAGGCCTTTAGGGTCATAGAGCTATCACATTATAACCGTATAGATTCAGAGCTTATTCTAGATTAGTTTAGTATGGGTGGATAATATCATATACCCGTGTGTTGTCTTTCGTTTTTAATGTCGTGATTGCAATTGTAGTTGATGCACTTGCTAACAGTTAATATTATTATTACACTATTGTAGATACCACTGCACATCAAGCAGACTGGCACTGTACATCCCCCTGATTTCCTTTTTAACCACTTCGTTCCTTGATCGTTTGCCTGCCACACGCCGCGATAGCAGTGTCATATTGCACTGCTGTAGCCATGTTTTTTTTGTAGGCCATTCTTATTTTTATATAGTACAGATTAACCATTCAACACAGTAAATGTTATACCTATCCTGGTTAGTTTTTACTGCATCTATTCATTCCAGATTGATGGACCATTCCATTCTCCACTTGTGTTTCCAGCCTGATAGGCCATCCCCAAACTAGCTCTCCTACTACATGTCATGTACACTGGTACATAGATTGTGCAAGTACTTTGACTGTACGTATCTAACATTGACCGAGTGCGAGGTCGATATACCAGCAGAGAAAGCAGATTAAAAGACTGAGGTGAAGCCGAGGTCTTTTGCGAGGTTTGTATTTCTTATTAACCTCGGACGAAGTCAATACAGTGTGTCAGGTTTATCACGACAAACGAAAGCATGTGTTCAGTCCCTAAAAATAGAAGTCAATAATGGTATAGGCAGTCAATATCCCTGGCTAAGGAGTGAAATATGCAAGAAAATTTGACTGCTTATACTTATAGGACAAGCTGTGGGGGTTATGATTGTGGTATTTTACGACTGGCTGACGTGCGTATACGTTTGCGCGGATATGCCGATCCGGAATCCGGATTTATTCCTAGATCCTGCATCAGAAATATTTTTTGCACAAAACTTCGACAAAAGAGCTAAAGCGCGGGATCCTTTGAAATCAGCATGCTAGCAAAGGGAGAGAGGAGATAATTCAAGACAAAAAGTGGACGAACCCAGTAAAAATAGTTTGTCAGAAGCTAGTACTACTGTAGACGTGTTCTACCTTGATATCCTGCACTATTTACGACTGCGGCTCCTAGTTGTCGTGAAGCATGTCTTCTGCATCTGCCGGTGCCAGTCCTTCTGCCAAAAGAAAACGACATGAGGTGAGCTTGTCCAATGTTGTTTGAAAATACACAAAATTAATAATCAAACACAATCAAACACATGTACATGTATTCATGAGTTCGAGGGAGTACACATATGTACAAGTCATGTAGATTTGAAATATTCTGCTTGTAGCTCGCTAGGGGGGAATTGTGGGTATGGGGTGACTAAATTAGGAGCGTGCTGGAGTTGGACGCTCGTAAAACATCATTCGCCTCATGTGTGTGTGTGTGATGTGTGGCAATGCGGGTCAGTCTTTCATCAATCTTACCTACCCACATGTAGAGCGTAGTAATTCTACATCAGTTGTCAATAGCTTGTTACAGCAAGAAAGAAACGTTCCCACTGTTCTCACCTGTGTAATGACATTGGTCTCAATGTTGTTATTTCGACTGTGTGAGCTTTGGGGGTCTCCTACAAGGCTACATGCATTGGGGTTCACCACACACATTGTATAAACACCCAACAGATACAGTGTGTATCCCCAATTAGGAGTATCCTAAAGCTTACACAGACAGTCGCTCGCACACGCCTTTGACCTATTGACGCTCATCACCAGAGGCGACGATAGCGATGCTACAGCAGACACCATAGCAACTTGTGATGGGATTTCACCATTCACCAGCTTGCAAGGCTGAATATTTGACCGCCACTATTCAGCCTGGTCTAAACCACACAGCTATTTGAAATTTTTTCTGGCCAATGAGTCCCTACTTTTTGGTCTTTTTTCCTTTTTTCCCGCACACGTATCACACCACACACCGGTACTCCGGCATGCACTGGTAACCACCCAGGAGAATGAAAGAAAAGTCAGGAGGAGACTGAGAAAGAGAAGAAAGATATGTGCGACAATATCTTTCTTGCACACACACACACACACACACACATACACACACACATCACACGTCACACACACACACACACGTCACACACACACACACTCATCACACACACACACACACACACACACACACACACACACACACACACACACACACACACAGATGTCCCCACTCCAGTCCGTGTTCAGCGCAATACCGTGACAACCCAACACCCAAAGCACAGCACCACACCCAGGGCCACTGACACCTCAACCCCCTCCCCCTATTACGTATTACCAAGAGTTCATAACCCCCAAGAGTGTGCAACTCCTGATCAGTCCCTGTATGGAAGCCCGCTCGGCGGAATTCCTTCATTGCGTCATTTTTGGTGCAGTGCGATGAGTCACACCGATGAATTCTTCTAAAATTTACAGTCAAACCAGGATGCTTCCCCAGGGTAAACTGCCTAATCTGCGATTCTAGTCTGAGTCTGAGCCTCAAGAAGCAAAAGTGAAACGAAGCACACGATCCTAAAGACAAAACTATTTATTTGTTCGATGCAATGGTGACTCTTCATCGCCTTCTTCTTTCACCAGTGCAGGCAGTCTCTTCAAGAACAATTTCTTCCCCAGGCCATCGGCATATTTCCGGTGCTTTCCTCGACGTATTCTCTCAAGTTCCCGGGAGTCAACCATTTGAAGTCGTCTCCGAAGGAGCATTTTTCGGCTGAGTTGCACAGCTATCAGAATGATTGTCCTCGACGGCAATGCAATATTTTTAACAGCGTCCTCACTTCTTCCTGTCGCGATGTCCATGGATTCTTGGAGAAAGAGTTTGTTTTTGAGAAAGTACAATGTACGATACGTCCGAAATGTCTTGAAAAAAGCTTCGAAAAGTCGAGGCTACAGCCTTGAGTTAGGAGCGGTTCAGGGTATAGTTTCCAGAAATCGCAAAGAACCCAAATTTACCTCGGATGACAAGCTGCGCATGACGTAATGTAGGAATTTCGCCGAGCGCTGGGTCTATGCCCGTTGCACACTCTTGGGGGTTATGAACTCTTGGTATTACTGTAAAAGCCATATATATATATATATATATATATATATAACGAAGTGCTTATTCTAACGAATTAACGAGGATAAATCTGTCGTTAAAATAGAAAACGTTAGACAGAAATCTATACATATTGTTGCTATCGAGCGTTGAGAATGAGTCAGAATCGTTACCTTTGATACACGTAAACTGGTCAATTTTAGGAAATCGTTATATATGCGCCTCGTTAGGATAATGGCTTTAAGTTTTACAGTAGCACCCTAATTTCCCTTACTTGTACATATACCAGCATGACCAACACTATGGCCATGTTGCCTGATGATTGCATTACTAGTACATGTACTAGTATGATCATGGAACAGCCATGTGTGCGCTGTGTTCCTGCTCTGTAGTGATCGCATTGGTTTGCCGTCTTTGTTCAAGTTTCGAATCGTTCTTTTGATGTGATTAAGCTAAATTTGTTGCAACTCTGAGTTTAATGTGCATAATGTAATAGGAAAGAAGGCCACTTGTACGGGCAAGTCAACATGCATATCATCAAACTAAAGTGTTTGGTGAAATAAAATAAAAACACTTTGAAAATAATTGAACACAAAAGCAATGAACATTGATGTTATTGTTTTGACCAGGTGGTGAGTTTCATGCTATGCAATCATCAGGCAGGAACCCAGAGTTGCAGCAAACTAGCTGTGTGCCTTGTTGTTCTGTGTTCTTTTGATGGGTGTGTGCATCGATGTGTGTGTGTGTGTGTGTGTGTGTGTGTGTGTGTGTGTGTGTGTATATTGATGTGCCTTGTGTCAGACGTACTCCTACACCAAGCTTGCCGACTTGAAGGATGGTGATAGCAAAAAGAACTTCTATGGAGTGGTCAAGTGCTTCTTTCCGTCGAAGAAAACTCTGGGTACAGGTATGTTAGCTGCAACGCAGCGGGGCAGCAGCATCCAGGATTTCTTGCAATAGACTATACCGTACATGTAGCAGTGCTACTTCAAGTAGTATTTGTTTTGTTGAGAAGGTGTGTGTATGTGTGTGTTTCATTCTCCTGGGTGGTTACCAACAGCCAGTGTATGCCGGAGTATGACTGTATGTGGTGTGGTGTGTGTTAAAAAAATGAAAAAAATGAAAAAATGAAAAATAGGGATTCACTTGTGTGTGTGTGAGAGGGGTACGTTGTTTGGCTTACTGCGGCTTTCACGCATTCATTCAGTTAGAAATCTGCTGGTGGCCAACCTTGGCTGTCATCAGAATATGGCCAATGTGGATCGAAACTTTAGTTCCTACTTGAAGTAGTTGAATGACTGCGTGAAAGGGGGTCATGATTTTTTAGCCATTATGGATACGCTCTCCTCATGGTGTGAGTGTGCGTGGGTTGTTGTCGCTGCTGTTGAGGCATGGAGTAACCTCTGGCTGGCTGCTTGCTCGCACGTTGAAGCTGTCGTGACAGGGACGGGCACAGGGAAAGTGCAGACCTCAGTTCATCACTCTGAGCCCTGGGCAGTGGGCATGTGGATACCGGTATGCATGTGCTGCTAGATTGTAGATGTACACCATGCAGGCAGCTGACTACCTGCTGTATGTACATATAGGCCTGGCCCACAACAGCTGTAGATCTACGATCAGTCAGTGGATCTGCGCATACTACATGCGCGCTGACCATGTGCACTATGCACTGTGACTTGCACAATTACTATGTGACGTCACCGAGCCCTGTAAGTGTGGTTCCTGAGTGACCCGGGAACCTGACCAGGTCTGCATCTGTGCAAGAGGTCACAGAGTCTGTGCATTTTGCTCAATTGCAATTGCCAGTTTATCTCCCTTCTCTCTGTTTGCTCAAACCTCTTTCTCTATATTTGTACGCTAGATTGGTCTGTTCACTTCATCGTAGTTGATCCCTCTGCTAGTGACGAGGACAACTCTGGTCTGAAAGTGGTATGGTTTGGAAGGGATCAGGCCAGCTTGCCCGTGTTCAAAGCCGTCGGTGATATAGTACGCTGTCACCGGGTGAATGTGAGTCTTCATGCAAGATGCTGACTTGATGATCGTACTCGTCAGCATGTCACCCATCTGCATTCTGGCCTCTCTCTCTCTCTCCCTCCCCCCCCCCCCTCTCTCTCTCTCTCTCTATCTATCTATCTATCTCTCTATCTATCCATCGATCTCTATCTATCTATCTATCTATCTATCTATCTATCTATCTATCTACTCAATGATGCAGACAGCCAGACTGTTTCGGCCAATGAGGCCTCATCAGTGCAACTCCGAGCTTAAAATAGGATTGAACTGTCAGCCATGGCTACGAGAACCACAGACATAGGACAGCTCGATGTACTAGCGCTGAGAGTGCTCAAACTGCTAGAAGCAGCGGGCAAAGCATAAAGCTAACCAGCGCAAGTGCGTCCTATGGAGATCTATCTATCTACTATCTATCTATCTGAGATTCTCTAGGACATCTTGATCCTAGGTAACAGAGCCACAGTAGTTCATGTGTTTTCCTCCGCATTAGGAGCTGATGTAGATGTAGAGGTTAAGGGTTTCCCTCAGAAGCACATGCACACACGATTCATAAAGCTTTTTCCAAAAGAAAATGAATATGCCCTTCATACTATGTTTTTTTGTCCCCGGTTCCTTCAAGATCTCTACATACAAAGGACGGCTACAATGCTGCTCTAAGCATTATATAAACAGCGCTATTGTATGCTTCAGCGGTGAAGAAGATGCCAGTATGGAGCCAACATGGTTTGCTAAGTCTGATCCTGTCGTAACAGACAAGGACAAAGAAACCGTACGTGCTTGTCATGATGTAACCTGCCATTTATCTTCCTCTCCTCGAATCCCCACCTCCTCTCTCTCTCTGATTCTCTATCTATCTCTCTCTCCCTCCCCTCTCTCTCTCTCTCTCTCTCTCTCTCTCTCTCTCTCTCTCTCTCTCTCCCACCCTCTCTTTCTGTCTCTCTCTCCTCGCCTCTTGACATTCTTTCATTGCCTTTTACTTTGCTATCTGCTGGTATTGTGCCAAGGCCTTGCCATGAGGATTGTCTGATCATGGGCATGATATGATCAGGGTGAGCTGCTTTCAGTGCAACCACTAGACCATCACTGAGTGTTCATTCCTGTACACAGCCACTGGCATCACCATGATCACTGTCCCGTTATTATCCTTCACCCGCAAACACACCTACCGCCGCCCTAGTACTTGGTGGCATGCGTTGTGTCCATGGGGTCATGTTTTGATCGGCTTGCTGTCAGCAGATTCATATGCTCTTGCCTACAGCACTCTGTTGGCTGGTGATTGTTTTCACTCTGAGTGACATCAAATCTGACTACTAAGTAGGCCCTGCCTTCCCCCCTCTACATGTATAGTCACTAGTGCCTGCAAAGTACTGCTGTAAAGTTACACATGTACCACGTGTGTTTCACTGCACGCCTGGCCGCTCTCTTGTGTTCTGAGTCTAGACTAACTAAAGTTATTAGCCTAACTTTACCGCTGGACAATATTTGTGTTGCTTTATTTTGACGGCATTGTGCAGCTTGCAGAGTTACGAGGCTGGGCTCTCATGAACGAAGATATCCAGCAGGAGTTATCGGGAACACAATGCCTAACCCTGTCGTCAGTGATGGCCACTGATGTTTCTTTCTGCCTGGACTGTCAGGTAAAGAGCAGACGTTGGACGAGTAGGAGTATTGTGTGCACATGTGTGTGTGCGTGTGTGTGTGTGTGTGCGCGCGCACGCGTGTGTGTGTGTACAACTACGTGTTGCAGTATGTCTCCTTTTTCAACCGTGTTAATTACCGTATGACAGCGCCTTAAAGGCCATGGCCTTATATACGAAACACTGCTGCTTTCCTTGATATTTTGGATGAAAAATGACTCACCCATTACGCCATACCATAAAAGTCAAAGTCCACACAGAAATTTCAATCTAAATCTACTTGTTCACCCTTCCTACTGGTCTGTAAGTTTGTTAGCATAGTACTTATTCCTTCATTTTTACCAAACATACTTCAAATGTCATTTCATTTATGAAGCCCATGGCTTTATAATCGAATATACCGCCATGGATATTAAACTGATCAAGGTTGAGAAGCGCACCCCCCCCCCCCCCTCCCCCCTCTCTCTCTCATTCTGTCTCCCTTCCCTGAATGTCTAAATAATTGTTATTTCTGCAGTCGTGCATAGTTCTGCTATGTTGCTATGTTGAACTTTTATTCAGTCCTGAAACAAGCTCAATAGCTGATCAAAGTAAATAAATTGGTTTCGTTTGTGTTTGTCTTTTCTGGCGCTCAGGTTGCTGAAGTGCACTCGCGTTCGTCACGGCAGGAATCTAGGGCTGTCTTACGCGTTTGGGACGGCACAATGCCAGCCAGGTAGGCTTATGCAGCAACTTATGCTGCAGTCCTGCATGTATGACTGCTGTGTCAATCTTGTTCCCCCGGTCCTTTTCCGCACATACATGTAGTTGTGTGGGTGAAACATTGTGTGCTCCCCCAGCTTTTGTTTTAACAGTTGTGTGGGTTTCGCTGTAAAATTGTAAATGAAATTTAATACTAGTAGTGCAGGTACATTCGTATGCCTGTTAGATCCTAACAAAGTAAGCTCTTCAATACAAGACCACAAATTCAGCAAATGTATTGTTTGTATTTCGAAGTATGTGGATGTGTTTGTGTGTGTAGGGAGGCAGTCAGACTCTTTGAATCAACAAGTGCAGCAAGGTGAGGGTGCCATCCAGTCAGGACTGTAGCTATTCAATTCATGGCATGCCATCATCTACACGTTGCTGTGACTTTGCATGCTCATCTAGCTGTCTAGATACTTTTTGAAAGAGGTTGTGGGAACATGTGCAGTCTCTGTCTCTCTCTCTCTCTCTCTCTCTCTCTCTCTCTCTCTCTCTCTCTCTTCTCTCCCTCTCTCTCTCTCTCTCTCTCTCTCTCTCTCTCTCTCTCTCTCTCTCTCTCTCTCTCTCTCTCTATCTCTCTTCTCTCTCTATCTCTCTCCCTCTCTCTCTCTCTCTCTATCTTTATCTGTCTCTATCTCTCTCTCTCTCTCTCTCTCTCTCTCTCTCTCTCTTCTCTCTCTATCTCTCTCCCTCTCTCTCTCTATCTTTATCTGTCTCTCTCTCTCTCTCTCTCTCTCTCTCTCTCTCTCTCTCTCTCTCTCTCTCTCTCTCTCTCTCTCTCTCTCTCTCTCTCTCTCTCTCTCTCTCTCTCTCTGACAGTGATGTTGATGATGTGTGGCTGGTGAGTGGCTGGTGAGTGGCTACAATGATGTTGTCACGTCGTACGCAGATGTTGCTTTTTGAAGTACTCATCGACTTCCGCCATGCAATGATGCTTGGTGGTGTTCCTACAGAGAAGTCAGCCTGGATGACTCTCACGCGAACCGTAAAATCAACCATCAGGAGTGTTATTGTACGGGTTTTGTTAGTCAGATCTTGTGACTGTTTGTGTACATCTATGTTCACAGGAACAGCGCAGGAAAGCTAATACCGCATGACCTCACGGTGGACGTGGCCCTGTCTGACTCAAATGCTAGGGCCATCGACACCCTGAAGGTATGGAGCACCCAAAGGTCTGGAAGTGCATGATAGTGGATGGGCGAGATGTTGCCAGCTTTGCTAGAGTGAAGCCCTTTTCAGCTCCAGCTTCTTTATTCGACCGCGGGCATTTCCAGTAGAGTGTTGTTGTGCAAGCTGATCTGTTTGTTTCATAAGTTACTGCTATCACAGCTCAAAGGGAAGTTCGGGATAAATTTTAAATTTCTACTTGAGTGAACGGATCAACATTTTTCTGTCATTATTATTGTTGAGTGTTCTAAGGACTCACCAGCTCCATTGCAGCCATTTACACATTTACACATTTACACATTAGGCTACCCAGTCCAACTACTCATACAAGGTCTCTCCGCTGCAAGCGTCATTTCAGTTTCACTGGTGACCCTGAGATGACGCTTGCAGCAGAGAGTGGTTAGGCTAAGTAGGGTATTATTGATGGCATGTTGTTACTACCGATGCCATTACATCCAAGCTCCACTGCGTCCTGCGAGGTTGCACTTTAATAAACAGCTTGGATGAGGTAGGAGAGAACACGCACGCCACAGGTAGAGGTACATATGAGAATGGACAAAGGTCACAAAACCATCTGATCGTGAATGGATCGGATGCGTATGCAGTTGCTGCTCTAATGCCACCAGAAATCACTGGATGACTCAGTTTTACATGTACAGTACCTGTGAAGGCAACCACCTGTCCTAGATGACCATTGAAACCAGGATCACGGGGTGCTCTTTCCAGTCAAATGACCTTGTTAAGGAGACCACCTGGTAACAGAGACCATGTTTTGAAGGTCCCTTGAGCGGTCGTCTTAAGACAGGTTTCACTGGGAGATTTACATTGAAGTGTATTGTGAGAGGGTAGATTCCTGTTTGCTTTGCTTTATTGTGCGTGCTCGCAGGCTGGTGATATTGTTCGCCTGCCCAAGCTGACGGCGCAGCCGGCAACTGCAGACCTGGCCAACACCACCGTCAAACTCAGCATGCAGACCTCGTACAGTCCGACCAACGAGCACAGTTTCCAGGTCTTGAGCGCCAAGCAGTGCTCTGAGCTTGTACAGCGCCTCGACAAGTGTGTCACTCAGCAAAGGTATGATAACTAGGGCTCAAACGGTTAGTCCGATTAACCGGTTGCAGACCGGTTACGACGAATTAGCGGTTAACCGATAAAGATAACGGTTACGCAGTAACTTTTCGGTCAATTTTTCAAGTATCAGGTCGCTGCAAAGTATGCACTTTCGCAGGCTGTCGCACGCCTACGCAATTTCTGGGCTGTCAACTCGGTCATATCTGGTCTCTTGGTGTGAGAGTATGTATGAATGAGCATGCAAGAGAATGTGCATGTGTGCGTTGTACTGAATAGGGTACATTTTTTGAATGAGTATAGTCAAATATACGGTTAAAAAAGAGTCCGCAGGATTGCCGTGGCTTATAGGTTATAACCGGTAAACCGACCGTTAGCTTAGCAGTTAAAGGGGAAGTATACCCTAAAATCAAATTTTCACCAGTTGTAGTCTTCTGGGTGCTGAGTCGAATGGTCTTGGTCCGAGGAAGCTGCGACGCTCCCTTCCTACTTGAATCCCAATCGAACTCGCGCACTTCCACCGAAACTGGGTGACTGCGCCCTACTAGATGGGGATTTGTATGCAAAATGTCACTAAAAGCGCCATTTCGTTCTTATAAAAGCACGGATGACCGCGATTGGCCCATATGTTGTAGTCTTTTGGACGCTGAGTCGACTGGTTTTGGTCCGAAAAGGCTGCGATGCAGCGTTCCTCCTTTATTCCCAATCGAACATGGTTGAACGAGCGGTCACGTGCTCCTGGGTGCCCAAATCACCTGGTCACCACGCCAGCAGGCGACAACTTTCACACCAAGGTTCAACTCGAGTTCAACTCGAGTGACAGGACTGCACCCAAAAAAGGTCAAACAGGCTAGTAAGTTGTACCCTGCAGGCACGGTGACCAGGTGACTGGTGTACGCAGGAGCACGTGACCGCTTGTTCAACCATGTTCGATTGGGAATAAAGGAGGAACGCTGCATCGCAGCCTTTACGGACCAAAACCAGTCGACTCAGCGTCCAAAAGACTACAACATATGGGCCAATGGCGGTCATCCGTGCTTTTATAAGAACGAAATGGCGCTTTTAGTGACATTTTGCATACAAATCCCCATCTAGTAGGGCGCAGTCACCCAGTTTCGGTGGAAGTGAGCAAGCTCGATTGGGAATAAAGGAGGAAGGGAGCGTCTCAGCTTCCTTGGACCAAGACCATTCGACTCAGCACCCCGAAGACTACAACTGGTGAAAATTTGATTTTAGGGTATACTTCCCCTTTAACCGTTAGGGGTAAAACCGTGACCGTTTGAGCCCTAATGATTACTGTGGATTACTAGTAGACTGATGGCATCGTGCCGGACCGGCGGTGTATAACGTCAGTTACTCAAGCAGGTGATGAACACTAGGGCAAGAAAACAGGACGCTCGTGTGGACTATTCTGCTTTGTTCACGTGTGGCTGTAAACTAGACATGATTGTACCGATGCTTTGTGTTCAAACATGTATCTTCTGATTTACTGGAGATGCGCCCAGCCCGTATCATTTGGCTGCAGGGTGAGGACTCTTTCGCATATTCACGCTGCCACTTGTGTTCATCGTTGCACGAGGCATTGCAGAGAAGGCCAGTTTTTTGCATCATTTTGGGCATGAAGAGCGAATTGGAATGGGATTATTTTATATGCCTGCGCCTGGAGTATAGGATTCATTTGTCGCATGTGTTTGCTTTTTGCTTCACTGTATGTTGCCAGCCTGCTGCGTGTTCGCTCGATGGAGTCATCCAAAACAAGTAAGCACCGCCAGAGTATTTGGCACCTTTATCTTGTGCTTTCTGTAGCATTTTGGCATTGTCTTCCATTCAGGAGGTACTGTGACATGTCCAGAGTGTGTGCAAGCAGGATCAAAGTCAGGTTTCTTTTTCTAGCCTACTACAGTGATAGTCAGACCTCGCTTCTCCGGATCCCTCGCCATCCGGAAGAAAATCGTTGGTTACTGATTTACAGTGTATGTCATGCATACATACAGTATGTGTGTTCGATTATCCGGTTCCCTCGCCTATCCGGATATTTTTGTGGGAAATAGACATATGCGGTTATGCGAGGTCTGACTGTGGTATTGTCTCGATTAGTATGATCATCCGTGTGTGTGTACGTGTGTGTGTGCACGTGTGTGTGCGCACATGTGTGTGTGTGTGTGTGTGTGTGTGTGTGTGTGTGTGTGTGCGTGTGTGTGTACGTATGTGTGTGTGTACGTATGTGTGTGTGCGCACGTGTGTGTGTGTGTGTGTGTGTGTGTGCGCGCGCGCGCGTATTGAACAATAGTCGCTGGCAATCCATGGCTCGACTTCACCAAGATTTCCTCGATCCAGCAAGCGCAGGTACTGTACGATTATGTGTTTTAATGGCGTATCTGCATTGTGAGGTCTCTCCTGTTTAATTAATTTAATTGCCTTTAATAACACGGTGAAACCTTTAATAACACGGTGAAACCTTTAATAACACGGTGAAACCTTTAATAACACGATGAAAATGTTTCGCTATGATGGGCACCTACATTGTATGTAATTATAAAGTTCAGGGAGGGGGGGGGGGGCACAAGCATGCACACAGCGCTCAATAACCCAGGGGTCCGAGCTGGAGCAAGAAGCAAAAAAAAACAACGGTTCTAGGCATTCTATTCTTGCAACTCTGAGTTTCATGCATGGTGCGCAATCTTCAGGCAAGTACTTTTTTATCCACTCGTTTGAGGGAAAGATGCAAGTACCTTTTGCTTGTTTTATTGTGAAGTACACTCGGTGCGTTGTGCGTGATGTTGAAGACTTGGTGGCTGTCTTGAATGCGACCAGCTGTCTGGGCACTTGAATCACTTTGATGGTTCTTAGTGATGAAATCAGGTGATAGCGTATAGTACTCCTTGCCGCTTGCGTCGCTGCAGAGGACAACACCAAATAGGACCGCCACGAAGTGTGAGCAAGACCCAGAATCCCAAGTGCACAATATATGCACACCATCACTCAACAGCCCACCAAGAGTTCCATTTCCAAGGACATACCTTGTAGATAGGTCAGAGGTAGAGTAAGATAGAAGAGATAACAGATAGGAAGCAGTGCCGGAGCGAGAGGACGAATGTAACAAAGACAGGGACTTACATGTATATTCATAACAACAGCCAATCAGAGCACACATACTGTACTCACTGTACATACTGTACTCACTGTACATACTGTACTCACTGTACATACTGTACTCACTGTACATACTGTACTCACTGTACATACTGTACTCACTGTACATACTGTACTCACTGTACATACTGTACTCACTGTACATACTGTACTCACTGTACATACTGTACTCACTGTACATACTGTACTCACTGTACATACTGTACTCACTGTACATACTGTACTCACTGTACATACTGTACTCACTGTACGTACTGTACTCACTGTACATACTGTACTCACTAGTCACATTAGACGGCGGGACAAGGGGAGAAGTAACGGTAGGAAGCTAGTTTCATAATTGAGCGCCTCATGGCGGCGGGATAACAGAATGTAAGAATGGTAGAAGATACTAGTAGATTGCATTACAGTTTGAGAATAAAGCGCCAGATTGTTGCAGTATCATAGCAGTTGTATAATGTTGTAAGTGCGTAAGCCAGCTATGTAGGTATGTGAAGTCATAATGATGTAGTGAGTTACCGTACTGTGGTGCTGGCGCGACTCATCAGTTTGCCCATCGCTTGTCAGCTGGTGTCAACCCCTCGCCTGCCAGGCTTGTCACGATTGCTGTGCCACGTCGTCGACCTTGAGTCACGACAGCCCCCCCCCCCCCCCCCCCCCTGTCGTCGTCTCAGGTTTGCACACGTCCTCGTGTCCACGGTCGGTGAAGACGTACACCATTCTCATACTGAGATCAGCATCGGTGATGGGGTCCTTATGTTTCACGGCCCTCGGCTTTCCCTCGCACTTCAGTTTCTTCTAGACGCCACCAAATAGTATTTTATTATTATTATTATTATTATTATTACAGTGTTAGATCTTGCAAATACGGAATCGTTAAACAGGTCAAATCCGCGATCCTCAAGATACCTGTTGAGGGAAGCACGGAATCTGTTTCGTTGGTAGGTACCACACGCTCATGCACTCTTTTGTGCCTTTTAGCACTCGATCATTCCATATCTCTTCGACTTCTTCATCCATTACTGGATCGAAACGACGTTTCGGACTTGGAGAAGACATGATCAAAACTTGGAGACTGCACTGACGCAAATTTAGCAAAAAAAGATAGTGAATCGATAGAGCACAGGAGAAGCACGTTGAACATTTGACTCACCACTCCCTGCTCAATGATGCACGGTGTTTCAGAGAATCTACCCCTCATTTGCTGAGCTTAACAGAGGTGATGAAACTTGTGCTCCACGATTTGTAATGCTTTCAGAGCCCAAACATCACCATGATGTCAAATTTACAGACACACTCAGTTTCCCATTCGAAGAAGACCTTGTGAACTCCAGACATCAGCGTGTTGCACTTGAAGATGTAGAACAAGCATTTTAAGGACCCTTGGTCAGGGGTGAGCTCCCGAATCATTGTCTATTGAGCAGGGTGTGGTGCTTTCTTGCAGGTCTTCCAGGTCAAAGATTCGATGGGTGTGCTCTAGATGGCAACCGCCGTGAGTCAGGAGTTCATCAATTATCAGGTCACGTCAACAGAAAGACTTCCGCAGAGATATTCAATGTTACCTTGTGGATTATTTTATTCTTGTTGTTATTATTATTGTACAGGCACCCGCAAAGTTCCGAGTGCGCTGTACGGTGGCTGATTACCTTCCTCCGAATATTGTAGACATGGTTGTCTTGGAGTGTGCAGACTGCCGGTGTCAGTAAGTACTCTCTCTCTCTCTGTCCGCCCTGTTGCTGTGTGTGTGTGTGGGGTGGGGGCATGAGCGTTCGCATGAGTTCATGAGTGCAGGAGTTCATGAATGTGTGTGTGTGCATGCCTTGGGTTGCACTTGCCTGCTGCGAACCGGTATGATGACCTGATCCCTGCTTCTCAATCGCATTATCAGTTCTCTCTAGTTCTCTCTAGGGTATATGCCGGATCATGACTTCTACAACTTTGGAGACCTAACAGTTACATGGTTGAAACAGCTAGATTGTGTTTTCTGTATTCGTGGATGTGTTGCTTGCACTCAAGGTAGTCTTCTCCGAATCATATTCCCGGTCTTGTCACCAGACTGTTCATCTTGGAATGCCATGCAGTCTGGAGCTTTTCCAGTTGTGAGGCTTGAGTCTGTTTGCATTTATCTTCTGCCGGCCCCAGCTTTTCCTGTCCACCGCCACCACCACTACCGCCTCGTACCAGTAGAGGTTCAAGCACAGCAGGTGAGGCCCAGCACTTGTACATTGCCACTGTGGGCAGGTTTGTGATTGGTATGAAACGGATGCATGGTTCTGGGTGGCCTCGGCACCTGTTGTTGTTGTTGTTGTTGTTGTTGTTGTTGTTGTTGTTGTTGTTGTTGTTGTTGTTGTTGTTGTTGTTGTTGTTGTTGTTGTTGTTGTTGTTGTTGTTGTTGTTGTTTGTTTTTGTGTACATGCTCTGGGTTGAATGGCATGGCTTTGCGTGGGCTAGTTGCGCTGTCCGGGAAGATAGACGATTCTACAAGTAGACTGTGTGTTTTGTATGCTAAAGCCACTTTGTGCCACACATCTGCCAAGGCAATAATTATACACGCTTCAGATCATACCGACGGCGCCAGGGTTTTGTGTGTGTGCGTGCACGGGGGCGGGCGTGTGTGTGCGTGTGTGTGTGTGTGTGTGTATGTATTGACCAGAGATGAAACAACACTGCTGACTTTCCTGCATTTCTACTTACCTTTTCAGACGTTGTTGACACTACTCCGGTGGCTGTTGATTCAAGTGCTTCACCCACGTGTGGCAGTCATGGTAGTAGAAGCATCTCTGCACCGGCAGGCACGGGCAGTGATAGTCCAGTAGCAGCAAGCGGCGACTCGTCGGCGTCCACTGAACGCATGATGTCTAGCGGACTGCTCAGCCATTGTGGACTATGGTTGGACGCCAAGCGCAAGCAGTATTACTGCCCTCACTGCTCACCCAGGAGTGAAGACAACGGTACGGTAATGTGCATTGACGCTACACTCCCTTATGTACCCATTAATGTGCCACAGTGTGTCGGATAGAATGATACTCCAGCAGGCAAGGGGTGTTTCAGATGCTGCATTCAATATGCCACAATAGCCGATCTTGGCCTTGTGGAGACAGTATGCTGCATTCAGTATGCCACAATAGCCGTGGATCTTGGCCTTGTGGAGACAGTATGCTGCGGCTGCAAGCATCTTTTTTCTCTTGATGAGCTGTCACACCAAGGCTTGACTGAACTAGGCGAGCATAGATTTCCTATCTTAGTACTATGTATTGCGCACTGTTTGGCCAGGTGATGTCTGGCCAGGGATGTACTATGTATTGCGCACTGTCTGGCCAGGGATGTACTATGCTACCTCGGCGGCCAGCGCTAATTCCGTACATCTGGGTCTGTGTTGTTTGCCTGTTTTTAGTTGCCCTTCGTTTCATCTTCAAGTTCGCTCTGTTGCTAAGGGATGCCAGCGGTTTGTTAGTGGCCAGGTGCATGGGGCCGGATGCGGTGAGTTTCCGTTTGCTGCATTATTTGCTCATGAAGCTCGATCTTCTGAGGCCAACACATTGCCGTTCAATAATGCTTGATGGAATTCAACCTCCTGGGTGTACACAGTCCACTGTGTTTGCAGCGAACGCATAGTCTGAACGCTAGCCTGCATGTACATAAGCACTACTTTAATGTGCAACTGTTGCCATGTGCTTCATTAAAAAAAGAAGGCTTCGCCCAGTCTAGTGAGTCTGGTGAGTGTTGTGACTACTACAACATCAGTGAGGGTTGATTTGTGGTGTGGGGTGGGGTTTTTTTGTGGACCCCAAAAACCAGGCAGCACGATTGTATGTCTGCTGCTCTGTCTGCTGCTCAACACTGGTACGACAGAGCTATCGTATCTGTGTTTTGTGTTGTTTTCCACCTGCATGCTGCATTGCATCCAGGAGTACTTCTTCAACCTGCAGCCCTGCGATTTGCACCTGTCCACGGCCACGCGGGAAACTATTGAGAGTTGCATGCGCGCATTGGTGGGAGATGAAGACAAGAATGCGGCGGAGGCCGGTAGGAGCTGCCACCACGCATTGGTGGAATGCTGTCTCAAGTCGTACCACGCCCTCCAAGGTTGGTTAGCCATTGAGTGTGTTAGGCATGGGAACACTACTAAGTCTTATGAAAGGCTGCTGCCATGCCCATAGTCATAAGGACCCATAGTGCAAAGACAGCCTACATGTGTGTGCACTGTGGAGGGTATGCGAATGACTGTTTGCATTATTTGGCATCTTGTTTCTATTTAGATTTACAGTGGAGTTGACGTAAGCGGTGTCATGTTGTGACCATTATTAATTTTATGTGACTGTGATCCCAGCTGAGGATTTGGCCAAGATGACCCGCGCCGTGTCATATCGTATAACGGAGACATCCTACGAAGAAGATCAAGCAGCTAGGTAGGTTGCTCTGAGTCAGAGAGAAGTCAAACTTCCCATGTAGAGCCATTGATGTAAGGTGTCACTGCACTTGAGAAATATCCGTTTGGCAGTGCCATGGTATTAGTTTGTTATCGGGCCAAAGTGCTCATATGTGTGCAGATCCGTGTTTATCCGAGATATAATCGTGCTGATTTTACTGCAGCTAGTTCCAGAGCCTGTGTTATTTTACATGTCATCACTGTTGTTTGTTAATAGGTGATGTGTGGTTTTTATGCTTTTTTTGTTTGTTTGCTTTGCATGCTTGCTTTAGTTGACCTTTAGTTGACCTTGAGTTTGTCTCGTTTTTTAGGGTTTAGGGTTCATTGCCGCTCACGGAGTACATGAGGGTGTATACATCATAATTATAACACACTGCTTCACTTCTCCTGTATTCAAGATAATACTCCTCATATCTTAGTAATCTTTTGCAAGTTCAGACCTACTCTATGGTAGTATGGAACACTTCTACCACACGTTTTTAATGAAAATAGCGAGTCATTCTTTCAAGTAAGAAACTGCTGAGAAGGAAAGTATCTGATGAATGTTTGTAATTTTGCTGGAAGTAGAGGTGAACGTACCAGTCAAGCAGCTTATTTCGTTCATCTCTCGGAATGATAATGCTCTCCATGCAGTGTGGGGTGACCTGCACTCACTGCATGATGTAACTGATCGAAGCAACCTGTGTTGTTTCTCGTGTTTCCCCGCGAAGTAGTCTCTGCGTTCATCTGGCTGTTGGCACATTGCCTGGCCTCGGTGTCTGTGCTCAATTGCTGCGGTGATCGCAAGACCACGTCTTGCATAGCAACGGATGGGCACGCCACACTTGAGATCCTGACTTTCTGTCATTACATATTGGTGTCAGATAGCTCTGGCCCGAATGTTCAAACCATCTCAGCTCTTCATCAATCACTCGAGTACAGGTTGTGATCAACTTGATACGAGCTCTCTTAGAGAAGCTGGGCCGAGGCCCTTCAATGCACGGAGCAGCTTCTTGCGATGTAAGAGGCTTGTTATGGCCAAATCGGTCTTGAGGGAGTCCTCGGGCAAATCCAGCAGAAGACCTCCGTCGATCTGTTCGTCCAGAAATACCTGACAGTACTCTGCCATGTTCAGTGCTTTGAGCAGCGCCTGGATTTGCTGGATGCTCAGTCCTGTGGCGTCCATGTCCTCCTGCTTCTGCTGCGGCTGCTGTACTGGTGCTGTCTGCGTCGGTGTCGGTGCAGTAGTGTTGGCGTTTGTCAGCGCACTCAGTGCCGAGGTGTAGGTGAACTTGTCATCACTCCAGCTCGGCAGTCTGCCCATGTGCTTGCGGTCCCCTGTCTTCTGGTACTGGTCCATATCTCGCAGTATACTCTCAGTCACCGGCATCTTGGCCTGGACCTGGTGGCGCCAGAATAGCGCGCGCCGCTCCGATTCGTCCATGGACTTGCGAATGTGCTGCGTCTGCGCTTCCAGCCGCTGGCACTTGGCCTGCCACTTGTTGCACCACTCCTGGAGGCGAATGGCCTCAGCGGTCTTCTCCTGCAGTTGCTCTATCAGCTCCAGCGCTCTCTGTGGCTGTCTGCTGACGTCCTCGTCCATCTCCGGTGACGATGCTTCTTCCCTCAAGTTCGACTGGCTGCCAAAGCGGCGGATGGAGCCAACTCGAATGCGCTCCTTGTCTCGCTCGCTGAGCAGTGCCATCGTGCTGAGCGTTGTACTGTCATCAAACACGTCGCTAGATCTTGCGGAGCTGCTCGCACTATTCCAACCCTCCGGCGCACTAATGCTCATGGTCAGCGCTGACCCTGCGAGCTGTCCTTCGCCGCCAGCTGAATCATCAGCGGTGGCGATTGGCTCCGGTGCTGGTTCATCATCGGTCGTTATCGATATCTCTGGCGGAGGTACATTTGTAACGGTAGGTGATGCGAGAAGACACACCTCGATATCACATTCCAGTGGTAGGTAAATAAGCTCTTTGTTCACTGTGGCTAGGACGCTAGTCTCGACCTGTCGCTTGTCCAGTCTGAACTTGTTGTGACCGGACGACTTGCTCTGACCCGGCACGGTATTCACCTGCAGAACGCGCACGGGAAGTTTGAACTTGTCCAGGACCTCCAGCATGCTATAGCGCTTAGTGTCGATGTGTGTGCTGAACTTTCCCGGCGTGGACAGCGGCAGTGTGAGTTTCTCGCCGAATTGATTCTTCAGCACGATGCAGCGTTTGTCACCGCTGCCAGACTGGGAATTCCCCGCCACGGTGAGCATTTCCAAGATGTCATCCTCGTAGATTGTGTCATCGTCACCGCTATCCACAGCCGCTGTAACTCGTACCTACACCAACACACATGTGCACACACACACACACACACACACACACACACACACACACACACACACGCACGCACATACACATGCACATACACACACACACGTACACGTGCGGACAACGTCTAAGGTGTGATGTAATTGTGCATTGCGCTAGTTTCATGCAACAGCACGGGAGTGAAGTGTGGTTGCACTCGTTACGTCCCTGCCTTTGTCTTGTCCCTTTAGCCAATGAAACGAACAGCAAAGCACCGCAGTCCACATACCACCGGACCATTACACTGTACATGCCAGGGATGAACTTGACTTCATTCAGTTCAACTGCATGATAATGTGTGATCGCAGCCAGTTTTACTTGTACAGCTGTACTATGTTGATTAGTTTTGCCCTGGCTTTCCTGACAGAGTGCATCAGATACCCAAATGCACTTCACAACTTCCTCCAAGGTACTTGTAATAACAAGAGTATAAATATAAGAACGACATACAAATTGAAATGTGGCGTGTTTCTTCAAGAAGGCACAGCTACGACCTTGGAAAGTACAGCATTTGTGCATACCAACCGTGCTTGAAAGTGTCATGTTACATATGTTACATCACAGCACCAGGCAAACAGCACTACATCGCTGTTGTACAGTTTCTTACCTTTTGAGGCATGTTGGGGTCGACAATCATGTCCAGGAATGTGTCGTAAATCACTTTGTCTAGGCGAGGGTTTTCAGGCAACAGTTCAAACTTGCTGTCACCATGAACTGCGGGTAGGGTGACGTCGCGGTCCAGGTGATCTGTTGCACGAATTACCTGCACAGCGACGGGAACATGTACACCAGGTTGTACATGATCATTGTGCATGTTCTTACATCCTACATCCTACATAGTACATGGCTTCAAGTAGCACACACTCGTACTCCTGCACCACAGCGCAGCATCAGTCGAGCAGCATGCATGCAGTGCTTTAGGCACTGTTCAGCCGAAAATTCAATTGGCTCAGGATCATGTTGGCCATACTTAGTCGTTGGTTCTGCGCCCATGCATGTGTATGCACCGCACTATAATGGCATCATCAACAGGGCATCTACCGGTGAGCAAGCAAGTACAATGACCTTCATTATGGGTCAAAGCCTGAAAATTTGGTTGAACATTTTTAGTCAGTTAGTATTAATTTTGTAGTAAAGTGACCGTTCGGGAGATAGAGACTTTTTTGTGTAAGGAGCTGTGTTGGAGTTCACAGACAATTCAAAAAGTTGATTGCTGTTCTAGTCTAGTCGAATACAGATCAATGAAAGCCCTGTATGATTGCATTGTCTGTACTTATGACAATCATATCGTTACATGTCCAGGTTCACACAAAAGCTAGGGGTGGGGTATGTCATGATAATTGACTTGAAGTTTCTGTTGCATGCGAGAGAGCCTCAGAGAGGCTTCTCTTCAATTGCTTGATCATTTCTAAAGTACATTCGTACATTCGTACAGATTACGGTATTCCAACTACATGTACTATGTCATGTACAGTGAGCAGGGTCATCGGCGTGTTCCAACACTTTGATCGGTGTGCTGGTTAGAAGACCAGGTAGCCAATGCCAGCCATGCATCAAGGTGCGCGTAGCTACAAGGCATCACTAAGTCAGGGTCACCGGCATGTTGTCAAATATAACTACTGTACTAAACCGCATGGCTACCATGGCAATGGGTACACCCCATGCGGGTCTGAATCTTCTATTTTCGTGTCCGGCGGTCATTGGCATTGCCCAATGGCATGCTACTGATGGTTTTTTCTTTCTTTTTCTGATGTGCACTGAACGAAACTGAGGAGGGGATGGGTCCCTACAAAGCACACTGACTACTACTAGTCACTACTGTGGGTTTCCCAGCTGGGTCCAGGGTCGTCCTCTTCCATTCTGATCATTTCTAATACGGCTGGACTCCCGTTCACCCCATGCCCAGCCATGCAACCGGTTGGTTGCCTTTGGTAACAGCTGGGCTGCAGAGGTGGGAAGTACGTAACAGTACAAACATGTTGCCTGATGATTGCGAAAGCATGAAACTTGAAGTAGCTGCAAACAAGCCTTGATTGCCCTTGGCCTTGTTGTTCTGTACCAAGTGTACTGTACCTGTACAGTGTACACTGTACAGGTACAGTCACGGGTGATTTCGATTACACATTCGGGCCCCGGGGTTTTATAACTCTCGAATGAACGGATTGCGGCCACGTAAACGAACGACTACACGTAAAAATCGTAAAAGGGGATCACGTGGGATCCCGTGCACCCTCGTGCGCGCGCGCGTGGACCTAGCATGGCGTTTGCGTCGAGTGCATCAATTCTGGGTTTAGAATTAGCAATTCCGCCCTCTCTTCAGAATTGACGGAATTGGATTCCGCCGATTCTGACGACGGAATCCACCATAACTAGTTTCTAGAATTGACCGAAATGATTGTGTGTAATCGACTGCGCCCCATTGTCTGTGTACCCAGTTACAGTCGAGTCACACTTGTTCTGTGTTTGTAAGCTGTGACAAAAACTACAATCAGTGAATCAAGCACCACCGGAGTATGAAACCAGACACGATTTTCCATCGCGCACATATCTGTACGAGCACCATACTTTCTGTGTGTATGTACTGCGAACATGATGTGGCCAATCATAGTGTATAATAGTAGGCTATAATTAATATGTGTAGAATTGACCGAAATGATTGTGTGTAATCGACTGCGCCCCATTGTCTGTGTACCCAGTTACAGTCGAGTCACACTTGTTCTGTGTTTGTAAGCTGTGACAAAAACTACAATCAGTGAATCAAGCACCACCGGAGTATGAAACCAGACACGATTTTTCCATCGCGCACATATCTGTACGAGCACCATACTTTCTGTGCGTATGTACTGCGAACATGATGTGGCCAATCATAGTGTATAATAGTAGATCTACTGTATGTAGGCTATAATTAATATGTTTGCATCGACGTATTGCGAGATAGTCATTGCATATTCGTGCAATACTACTGTATTCACTCCGTCTTTACCTGCAAATCTCTAACGGTGTGCAGCGTGATCACCTCTCCGTTGCTTATCGACTCCTCTTCGTCGGCTGAGCCGTGGCTGTAGCCACGGGTCACAGTCACCGTGCATGGCAACTCGTTCTTGGCCACGAAGTCCGAGAGCTTGAACGACACCGACTGTGGCATAGCGACCACGTGCTGACTCCTTCAGCCGCCGAGCGCGTCCGAGATTCTTGCCAGTTGAGTGGCAAATGGCCGGCACGGCACCGTCAGGCACACGTCCACTTGCAATGGGACGAGTCGATACAGCAGCAGCCTCGTTCGCTTACCACCTTAGCACCAGTGACTGCGGGCACTCCGTGGGGCTGTTTCCTTCAGCCTTCACCACACACCGTGACCCTCATAGGTCTACACCGATACGATTCTTCAATCTTATGCCTCAGCCTCAGTGTCTGGATAATACTACATCGATCGAAGCAGGCAACGACGTTACGTAAAGTTAACGATGTAAGAAAGAAGTAAAGCTGGCCTATGCCTTTGTAGAGTGTAGGCTATGACCTGACCCGTGACTATCGATCCCTAAGTCTAAGTAACCTGTTGCAAACAGCGTGGCCAAAAACCCTGACTTTGACTGAAACGTCCGTTCGCTGCAAGCCTACAATTATTTTGGAGCGCCTGGTCTACCCGCTCTTCTGGAATGGCGGACAGTCGACCGACATGTCAACTGCTTCGCGTGTGACAGTCAAGACAAGAGTCACCGAGGGCGAGTAGTGTGAGGGTGGACCTGCAGGTGCTGAGTGGACAGGCAGATTCCTTCCTTATTTGAGCGTGCTGCTAGTGCTACCCTTGCCTCCTATGCTCCATGTCGAATCCCCGCTGTGAGCGCAGATGGATGATGTGGGATAGGGCCGCCTTCTACTTACAGTTAGTTCTAGCTAATCTAGGCCCGGGGTCCGGACTCTGGAGAGCCTGGCCGCCTGGCCAGTTATCGTCGATCACTGAGCCGGATCGGAGTACTGTCTGTTACACTTACATCTTAGATCTACGAGATTTCAGCAATTATTATTTTGACTGTTTCCTGCAGGTCGCTAGCGCTGGTAATGATTTACCAGTGGCAGCGCAGTCGAGTCGAGTGCTTTCGGCCGGGTGTAGATCTACGAGCGGAAGCAGTGTAGTTATGTATGCCCCGCACGGCCGCAGCAGCGCAGCCCAGGATCAGGACCGTCACACTTGTTTCCGCCCTGCAGTGCAGGAAGATCTGATCAGACAGACTCAGTTACTGAGTACAACATATTCTAAGTAACAGTATTTTAAAAGTAATAGTTAGTTTACTAGTACATGTTGAGTCACCTTCACCACTTACTAGTACATGTACATGTACATGGATTGGTTGTTGGAAAGTGTGTGACAAGACTCAGAGGACTACAGGAGTAAAGTCGTCAATCGATGTCTGCGGGAGTGCTGTAGCCGGTAGAGTGACAGAATCTCCTACTTCACTTCAACCAGGGACCATGTGGAATATGATGGAAGTCATGGGACTCATGGCCGGCATATGGGAGTCAAGCCGAAGTCACTGTAATGATGTCACATAATGAGGCGAGAAAAGAAGGTTGGAGCTCAGCTAGCCCAGCACCACCAGTACTCGGTACCCTTGATGATATGAATGATAAGCCTACCAATGAAGTAGTTCAAGTACTGTACTACGAAGTACATGATCAGTCATTGCTTTTCCCCCTTTATATTACATTCACAGCACGTCGCCACGCCTCCTAAGCGGATCAAGCAGGGATGCTGGTCGTGCCGCATGGTTACCGTGGTTATTGATCGCAAGTGGCTTCACTGATCCTGGCTGAGTCCATCATGGCATTATGATGTGGCGGTGATCGTGACGTGAGTTACCAGACTCCCACGTAACGACAATGCAGCATGCGGTCTTCTTCGAGCTTCTTGTCTTGAGCTTCATCGCAGAGTTCGTGAGACCCTGAAGTAAAGGTTAGCATGATGGCATCATGTTCTCGGACCCGGTGCCTACTATAGTAGTATTCTAAACCGAGGAGACATCGTTGTTCGAATCGCTTCATTCTCCTCAACTTTTGAGAACTATCTTAGAAGAGATTAACAATGGATTTTAAAGTAACTATTATTAACAGTTGCTGTCAACTGCATTGTCAACCTCACCATTTCTATGGGATCTTCATAGCAATGACATTTCAAGTTGCATGCGTACTTTGACACAGGAAATGTATACAAAAGGTAATTTCGCAGGACTATCATATGCCAAGCTATTCTAAACTCAATCCGAACACCCCCTGAGAATAGCTTATCAAGGGGCATTGCACTGGAAACGATAACATACTTTGGTCCAAGTTGTAGTGGTCCTCTGGGATCGACATTAACCCTTTAACCGTCATATAAATTTCACCCATTGAAACGCCGAACGAAATTTCAACTTTGCCAGGTCATAACTTTAGTTGTACTCACTCGATTTTTATAATCTTGGGGTCGTTGGAAAGCTCTGGACGAGGCCAGCACGATGATACCACATTCTTCGCCTCAGCAGTCACACAACCAGCGCTGGAACGCAGCGACGTCGTCTCAACGCCAGGCATGCAAATGACAAGTTCAAAACTCCGCCATGGCCGTCTCCTTCATCGTAGAGTGTTCAAATTTTTTTTGAGAGATCGAGCATTTCGTGAGGAATACGTTGGTCGCGAGCAGCAGTCACAGAGCGCGTGAAGAAACGGGGAAATCCCGTGACGACGTCAGCCGCGCGCCCAGCGCAGCGGAAGTGACAAGCGTGCAGTACTCAGCGCTTGATAACTCTGCTCCACTACATCGTAGCTCAACGCGGATTTCTGCAACAGAAAGCCTGGAAAATTCGCTACCGAATCGATAGTAAATTTTCTATCGTGGGTAAAAAATCATTCCAGTGCGAGTATTTCAAATGATGGGTCGAATTCGACCCACAAATGTATGGTCTGACGGTTAAAGGGTTAAGGTGGCACTCTGCCTTCAGAGGGTCAAAAAATGAATTTTTGAAATAGGTGTCGATTATGGTCTCAAACGTTTGGCATAGGACCCAGCCGACAGCTGAGAAAATTTGAGCGAATTCCATGCACGCACTCCAGAGATATAGGCGCTCAAAGAGGTAGTGCACAACGAAACTCAATTGCAAATTCAAATATAAATTGCAGTATTTCATCAAAAACGTATAATATTCATAACTTCGTCCAGGTTTAGAGTACCGTTCTCAAATTTCACAGGATTTGTCCCATGGGGTTTCTGGTTAGTTTGGAGATATCTGCGCATGGCACGGACCACTCATGCAGCAGTACATCCATACGCGCATCTGACAAAATTCAAATCGAAATATTTCGTTCTGATTTGTTCGATGTTGAGGTTATTTGTGGTGTTGCGATGGGAAGGAAACAGTGTAGTGGCCGTCCTGGACGTCCAAAGAAACGGATATTTCATGGCAGGAAGCCCCGCGAGCCTGAGCCAGAGAAATGCCCTCATCCTGCGCCTGAGTTGGCAGCCGACAATCCCATAGAGAATGTATTCCCAGATTTATTTGAAAATTCGTCAGACAGTTCAAATTCCGAGTCAGACCATCACAGCACAGACGACAGCGAGTCCGCCTAAGAGAGCAGCGAATCTGAGCCAGGATCCGACACTGAGAGCCAGGATGATGAAGCAGCGACCACCGGATATCGGCTGATCGACTTGGAGTGTCTTCAGAGCCTGCTGCAAAAACTGGTGTCTCTTGTAATGCCTGTCATAGCAATGTCACCCTCAAGGAGACCAAGAGAGAAGGCCTGGCTTCCACTTTGAGTGTTGTCTGTGACAGATGTGACGCAGAGGAGACGGAGACCATGTCCAAAAAGTTCAATCGTGTTTTGGAGGTCAACAGAAGATTTGTTTTGGGCATGCGCTTGATTGGAAGGGGCCATCAAGCCATGGTGAAATTTAGTGCGGCCCTCAACATGCCTAAGCCCATGTCCCTGTCTTCCTACCATGGCCATACCACGTCTTTGGCTTTGTCTGCTGACACTGTGGCGGAGAGGAGCATGGACATCGCTGCTGCTGAGATTCGCAATCCCCCTGACGTCACTTGTGAGACAGCCGTGACATACGATGGCTCATGGATGCGCCGTGGACATGCTTCACTGTATGGATGCTTGCGTGGGGCGACACAGAACCGCAACGAGTGCTTCAATGGCTTGGTGTGGCAGATGTGCCCCAAGACCGGCTTCTGTTCTGCCAGGATCGTGCAAATGGCTATTGCCCTTGCTGCTGCATGGTTCAATGACGGCCCAGCGTCCATCTCAGCGTTGCTGACGGAAATGGGACTCCCCGTTGGCAGTTGCACGGCGTCAGCACTGGGTCAACTCCAGCTTGACAGACAGAAGCATGCAGCAAGGAAGAGGTCTGCAGAGGTCAAGAGGAGGAGGAAGAGGCGAAGAAGAGTTCGCAAAGGTATCCAGGAAGAGGAAGTAGCTCAAGAAGGTGTCTCATACGAAGCTGGTGGCGTCTAGGTATGTGCTGTGACACGGGATCTTGTTGCTGCGGACCCAATGTGAAGTCCCTTTTTTGACCATTTTTCCATGACTGTGCTGGCTCTTAACCAGGCTGTGGCCTCTCCTGTAGCTGGTACACCCATAAAAGTATATATTTTCTGTTTCTGCATGGTGTAGGCTAGACATTGAACCAAAGCTTACCTGCCTAGCAGGTGACATAACCAGTATTGGTGTTCTGAAATATTGACGAATGTTTACGAATGTTTACGCGAAATCAGTATTTTCGCTGTAACGAAGCTATCTGAGTAGGAGATTTGCATATTTTGCTAATCTTTGGTTCAATGTCTTCATTTATGTTTCTATTAGCCTGCCAAGTAGACATTTTGGTCATCTTATACATGAGTTTTTCAGCACTCTGGTGAAGAGTGAAGTATACGGGCATTTTTGAATTTTCAAGCTATGCTCAGAATTAACTGTCACTGTTCATGCCTAAGGGTGTGCACATGGACCAGATATCCATAGAGAACTTGTGTAGAAAATTTGAAGTAATTATCTCTACCCAATCCAAAATTACGGATGTCAACGTGCCGTACGCCCACGAAGGCAGAGTGCCACCTTAAAGCCCTGGATAGCTTACTCGACCTGTATCCTACGCGAGTAGGAGTGCTAACAGACCAGGGGTTGTGGGTTTTGTCGCTTTTGTGATGTATGATCCTTTTTGAAGATAACCACAAAGAATTCGGCCACACAAAGTCAAGACCATGAGCAAATTTACATAAAGGTTATCAAGAGTACATAACTGGGTTATGTACTCTTGAGGTTATTCATAAGGTGTAACCAGGGAGTTGTACTGTCGTACCCAAATCCATGAATCACGAAAGGCATGCCTTAGCAAAGTGCGAGTCACTTTGGAAGCTCTTTATATTCCTCATGAACTCCAAACGATTTCCTGCGAACCGAGAACTGATTCAACATTTCATCGTATTTTCAGCCTTGGCCCATCATAAGGGTACGAGTAGAGCAATTAATTGTAAAGAAATGGATGACAAAGGTACCATGAGTAATAAAATGTGATACTGACATTAGAAGTACCGGTAAATAATAACGCCCAACATGCAACAATGCCGAAGACAAAATTAATTTTGGTGTGACTGTAGGTGTTGTTCTTCCTGTACAGGCTGTAGTTCTGCCACAATCAATGTTAGCACCTGCATCACTGATAGAACGCCACCCACACCTCAGCTCACATGATATTCACACCTGCACGCTTTCGTGGCTACATAAAAGTTTTAGGACCTTTCAATTGTTTTCTATTTATTTACAATCAGACCTCGCATGACTGCACACACCCGTTTTCCACAAAATATCCGGATAGGCGAGGGAACCGGATAATCAAACACACATCTCTTAATTTGCTAGATCCTATATAATTATAGGATTTTGGTCATATTTTTCAACTCAAAATGGGTGTGGCACGAGCCTAGGGACAAGTATGTGACCAGTTCTTTCTATGGCTCCTCTCCTTGCGCAATATTACTAAGGCCTGTGCCCTATTTTTCGAATCCTATAATATACAGTATAGGATTTCAGATTTTACTGGACCTTGTTTTATCCTTAAAGCTGGTAGTTTTACGACGGCATGTGCGATATGTCGTCATGAAACCACCCCGTGCCACACCTGTAATGTTCTTTTGCACATTCACTGATTCAGTCCTTTCCATGACACCAGCTTAACAATGCTGCTCAAAGTTCCAATTCTTGCTGAAAATGGGTATTCATGTCCTATGAATCTGAAAAGTAAACATTCATGCTTCAAACATATTTACAGCTTCTATGAAAACCATTATGCCGTTATCAAGAGTTCATGGGGGTTATGAACTCTTGCCCTTATTATGGGTCATGAATGACTCATGATGACCAATAACAACAGCATAAAGGTCATCCATTTTCAAATCCTATATAATTATAGGATTTTTTGCCAGCAAATTAAGAGATACTGTATGCACCAGGGAGTAGTTTACTACTCCCTGGTACATTGTATGTACGCATGGCATATGCTGTAAATCGGTAACGAACGATTTTCTTCCAGATTGCAAAGGATCCGGATAAATGAGGACCTAATCCTGGACAAGTTCGAGAGCTGTTCTTATATCCTCTCCAAATTTTATGAGGCTCTCCAAGCTTCAGAGCTAGAGGTGGTTGAAACTTGGAGATCAGCAGCTAAAAGCAGGATTGTGTTGATCATGAGTGTACGCTTTGCATACGCGCAATGCGTACTACATTCGTGGCACTCAAGATCACTGCCCTTTTGGCGCTTCATATTGCTTCACATGTGCAAAATATCTCCGAATTCTTGGAGACCCATATGGCCATTCTTGAATTAAACCAGTTTCTTCGACTTCTGTTTTCTTTTTCTCCGAGAAGCTAGAGAGTTTAAGAGCGCACCCTAAAGCCCGATTCATACTTCATCACGCGTACGGGAAACCCATTGCGCGACGGGTTTCCCGTACGCGAAATAGTTGAGCTCAGATCAACTTTTTCGCGACGCAACGTGTTTCCCGCGTACGCGACATGAAGGATGAATCGGGCTTTAAGCGAGGTCTGACTAGTCGACTGTGCAAGACTTTATAGAGTTTTTTTTGCCCTGATGATTGCCAGGCTCAAAGATCTGATGAAACAGTTTGTGATGAAAGAGACCATTGTGGAGAGACAGTGACCATGGTGACGTGTTTTGGAAGCACAGAGATCTGCAGCACACCCAGTGTTTTCCCACATGCAGGACCATGACCAGACACAAAACCAACCAGACTGTTGTAAAGACTCTTCATCCTTATTACAAACATCACATCAACAACGGGTCAACATAACATCAGAACAGAGAGTAAGAGCAGAGTGTTTGAGAGCTGACCAAGAGTTTAGTCGACCTCCTCGATGGTGGGTCCGGATGAACCACCAGCACCAGCGGGGGCACCGCCTGGCATACCACCGGGCATACCACCTGGCATTCCACCGGGCATACCACCAGCCTGTCCGTACAGCTTGGTGATGATGGGCGTGCAGATCTGCTCCAGCTGCTTCTGCTGGTGCTCAAACTCGTCCTTCTCAGCTGTCTGGTTGGAGTCGAGCCATGCGATGACCTCGTTGCACTTGTCGGTGATGGTCTTGCGGTCGCCCTCGGAGATCTTGTCCTTGACCTTGTCATCCTCGACGGTAGACTTCATGTTGAAGGCGTAGCTCTCGAGGCCGTTCTTGGCGGAGATGCGGTCTCTCTGCTGGTCATCTTCAGCGCGGTACTGCTCAGCATCGTTGACCATACGCTCGATGTCCTCCTTGGAGAGACGGCCCTTGTCGTTGGTGATGGTGATCTTGTTCTCCTTGCCGGTGCTCTTGTCTGCAGCACTGACGTTCAGGATACCGTTGGCGTCGATGTCGAAGGTGACCTCGATCTGAGGGACACCGCGGGGTGCTGGTGGGATGCCGGACAGCTCGAACTTTCCGAGAAGGTTGTTGTCGCGGGTCATGGCACGCTCACCCTCGTAGACCTGGATCAGAACACCGGGCTGGTTGTCAGCGTAGGTGGTGAAGGTCTGGGTCTGCTTGGTGGGCACGGTGGTGTTGCGCTTGATCAGGGCAGTCATGACGCCACCAGCGGTCTCAATACCCAGAGACAGAGGAGCAACGTCGAGAAGGAGCAAGTCCTGGACGGTCTCGGACTTGTCACCGGACAGGATGGCGGCCTGGACGGCAGCACCATAGGCAACAGCCTCGTCGGGGTTGATGCTCTTGTTCAGCTCCTTGCCGTTGAAGAAGTCCTGGAGGAGCTTCTGGATCTTGGGGATACGGGTGGAACCACCGACCAAGACCAGCTCGTGGATCTGGGCCTTGTCCATCTTGGCATCACGGAGAGACTTCTCGACTGGGTCCAAGGTACCGCGGAACAAGTCAGCGCACAACTGCAGGCAACAGCAACACACACAGGAGAGAAGAACTTAGAAACACTACCCATTGCCAAGCAAGTGAAAAGGGCACCTACACAAATACAGGCACCCATAGCAGAGCTGAGGCCCGCCCGGAACCAGTCCAGTCATAACCGGACCAACTTTCTGGCCACATGTTCCCTGCTGTCGAGAGCATGGGTCTCATACAGTACATGCATATATGAAAGGTCGTGCTGCTACTGGACCAATCAAAGCCTGCTTCTGGAGGTCCTGGAGCTGTAAACAAAGACGAAATGGACCAGATTGCAACAAAGCCTCACCTCCTCGAAGCGAGCACGGGTGATGGACGTGTAGAAGTCGATACCCTCGAAGAGAGAGTCGATCTCCACACTGGCCTGGGTGCTGGAGGAGAGAGTACGCTTTGCACGCTCGCAAGCGGTGCGGAGACGACGCAGGGCACGCTTGTTGCTGGACATGTCCTTCTTGTGCTTGCGCTTGAACTCAGTGATGAAGTGGTTGACCAGACGGTTGTCAAAGTCCTCACCTCCCAAGTGAGTGTCACCAGCAGTGGACTTGACTTCGAAGATGCCATCCTCAATGGTCAGCACGGAGACATCAAAGGTACCACCGCCAAGATCGAAGATGAGTACGTTGCTCTCGCCACCGGACTGTACGTAATACAAAGAGAAACACATGGGGAAATGAACAATGACACGATAGCCAATATCACCTCGCAATCGGAACGCCGAGAAAATGGACAGTGACAAAAGACACAGTCGTAAGAACGATACATGCAGAAGCAGTGTCCGATAACGTCAAAGTGAGTGCACATGTACGCTATCAACACTTCTTACCTTCTTGTCAAGACCATAGGCGATGGCAGCAGCAGTAGGCTCGTTGATGATACGGAGGACATTGAGTCCAGAGATGGTACCTGCACAACAACAGTATACACACATGTTGGATGATGTACATAAGATGCATACTGTAGCACACAGGACACCATGATTCTAATACAAAGCCATCCATCGGGCAGCACACAGTAATCCACAAAAGCGCAAAAGGAAGATCAATCTACCTCCATAAAGAAGGTAAAGAAACATGCCCAATGGGCTGCTAAACATCTACTTCATGTAGTGCACATTGCAGAAAGCTACTCACCAGCATCCTTGGTGGCCTGACGCTGGGAGTCGTTGAAGTAAGCAGGGACAGTAACGACAGCATTGGCGACGGTGTTACCGAGGTAGGCCTCGGCCGTCTCCTTCATCTTGGTGAGGACCATGGAAGAGATCTATACAAAAGAAGTCGTAAGATCACAGTATGTCAATACACTGAAGACAAAGGGCAAGTAGAATGGTGTTGTCGTGCACCGGGTTTATAGTCTGCAGGCTTGCACATGTGCAAAGTGGAGATCACCAGCTCAGTAAAGGCAGGCTTCACCCAGATTTGCCTTGGAAAGGTGCTTGTACAGTGGACTTCATCTCCATATAGTATATACACAGAGAAGACGTACACGTTCTCGCCACGAGTATACAATCATGGACCTCAAGATTTCCACTGCACATGGGCTACTACAAGTTTGTGTAAGCATTCTACTGATGCTATGGTCTGAAGGTTATCTTCTGGCGGTACACGTGGCAGAATACATTGTGTGATAGCCAACACAGTCATATCAAAATGGTTTAAAACTACATTTTTACATAAAATTACGTAAAATCTTGCACATTGGTGTAAATGGCGGGTGCAATGACCAATTTGGCATGTGGTAGGAAACACACGCGAGCGCAGAGGACTTACTTCTTCTGGGAAGAAGGTCTTGGTCTCGCCACGGTACTCGACCTGGATCTTGGGCTTGGTGTTGTCGTTGACGACCTCGAAAGGCCAGTGCTTCATGTCAGCTTGGACAGTGGAGTCGTCGAAACGACGTCCGATCAAACGCTTGGCATCTGCACATACATACGACGGCAAAAGGCAATCAGGGGACCATCATTACAATGAGAACCTATGCATGTCTTCGTCCAACTGAACAGTGTGATGAACACAGTGTACTACAGGCTACGTGTGAACACTGATTTTGCTCAGTCCCTTACCGAACACAGTGTTGACGGGGTTCATGGCCGTTTGGTTCTTGGCGGCATCTCCGATGAGACGTTCGGAGTCGTTGAATCCGACATAACTGGGGGTGGTTCGGTTACCCTGGTCGTTGGCGATGATCTCGACCTTTCCATGCTGGAACACACCCACGCAGGAGTAGGTGGTTCCCAAGTCAATACCGATTGCTACGGACTTGGCCATGGCGTCTGCTGAACTGTCCTACTTAGCTGAGAACGACTAGGACTGACTTCCTGTTTAGATTGAAGTGAACGAAGTGATTTTTTTGCCCTCTACCTCTCTCTTGTACCCTTTTGCGCAGACGCAGTAGCGAAAACCCGGATTTCAGAAATCTCTGGAACAAACACGAAGCACAGCATGCTCTGAAAGTGAAAGGATTTGGTTTCGGTCGGCCTTTTCCGGACTTTGCAGGATGCATCCCGATCGCGATGCATGGCTTTTGCCTGTTGTACCTGCATGAGTACGGAATCCCGTATATCCCGTACAATGTGGCCATGCATGGGACTGGCCATATATGGCCATGTGCAGTGTTGAGTGTTTGCGGTAAACTGTGCATGTGACTCGGTGTGTCCACAGAGGACTTGTACACCAGGTACACTGCTTGTGGGTGTTCCTCTACCAAAAACAATCGCCACAGCCTACCATGGCTACTGTTCATGCTAGGCCGGGCCAGGGATAGACAAAATACTTGCTGTTGTCAGTGGTCTGGTTGGTTGTAGCAACAAGACTCAAGAGACAAGTGCCATGAGCACCTCGTACCATACTAACACATACGGGATACGGGATGTGTACGACGAGAAATAATTCGATCGGGTTCGATCGAGCCTCAACTCAAAAAGAACTCTACTCGAAAAGAACATGATCGAGCTGATCTTCGTGATCGCCAGTAGATCTACACAGAACCCGACAAAACTTCAAAAGTCCCAAGCAAGACTGCCCAAAATATAATAAGGGCCAAATGCCAAGCAAGCAGAACATCAAAATCAATCAATCATTCAATCAAACTCCCAACTGACCCAAGCAAGGCTTGAAGCATAGCATGCAGAACCCAACGCCCCCAAGCAAGACTGGATCATGGACCGCAGAATACAAGCGCTTGCTTCCGGGATCCTGCATGAGCTGCATGATCTGATATCTGCGCGGATGCGGCCAAGTCGTCACCAGGCCGGGTCACGGCAAGTGCATGATCGAGTACGAGTGGAGATCGTGCACGTGCATGCGCATAATATATGCGCGATATGCACGTGCTTGCATGACGTAGTCTATATTACGTCTTTCTTCAATTCCTTCATTTTTGGTTTGTTTGATTTGAAATCACAATACGTGAACGAAAGTATTTTATCACGAATCCTTTTGGTTCTTGCTGTCTCTCTTCGATTTTGTTACGGGACTACGTAGATAACAACGTGGGAAAATTGCTTTGAGCGATATGGATGCAGATACAGAGGTAGACCTCTCAAGTGACGATGAGAGCGATATGGACGAAGAGGAAGCAGCAGCAAAAGAAATATTGCTGAATGAAATTGCTGACCTTGAGAACAAGGTACTAGTACATGTTCTCAGTTTTCTATGAACGTGTATTGATTAATACCATTAAAATGCAACATTCTTGTGCGGGCAGAATTATACCAAATACATATTCAGTTCGTAGACACAAATCGAGTGGTCGTGTGTTTAAATTGAAAAAAAGGTATTATAACTTATAAGTACTGAAGTGTTCATCACGCTAGGAGTATACTAGTAGTACAGCATGTATTTTTTGTTTGTGTTGAGGAGAGTGCATTACACAGTATCTCGGTTGTTATAGTAATTGCTCTCCTTACTGCGACAACACCTCTCTTCCACCAAAGGTTCGGGCATCATCCTCAGGACGAGACAAATACGTCCTGTACTGTTACAGTAGCACTCTCCCTATCCGGGCGTGTTGGGTCCGGGCACTGACTGTGACTAGTGTCTGCCCATAACTTGGAGCATACCTAGTGGGTGCGTTTGATTACTGCCATGAATCGATTCATGAATGGAATCTCGTTGTTCGACCTGGAATTGGTCTGTAATCGATTCATCCTATTCACATCGGGTGATGAGAATAGTCGGGGGCGATTCATGAATGGATTCATAATCGATTCTCGGGCAAAATCGAACGCACTCACCGATTGCACGCAAGTCTGTCCCTCCAGGAAATCGCAATTCCACGGATGCAACAAAATCGCGATTTTGGCCCTAACCCGCTATTTTTGTCTGCAAAATCCACGATTTCCCGCGTTTTTTGTCGTTTCTGCAATTGTTTTACATTTTTATGCACTTTTCACGCAGTGCTTTCCATATGATCATGTAGGTTATTTGCACAGTACTGTAAAACAGGTTATTTTCGGTGTAACTTTAATTTCGGTGATTTCGGTAGAAATACCAGGCACCTAAATTTAGATTTATACACCTAAAATGACACAAGAGAATGCACTGTATGTGAGGGGAATGCTTGTCACCTAATTCTAAGTTACACCTGAAACCTGGCAGGTCCCTGGCACCGAAATTTTGATGCACCTAAAATTACATGATGTTTTACAGTATCTTGTACTACTCCCGAGTAGATCTACTCCGCAAATAGCGATTCTACGGATGAAACAAATTCCGTGATTTGGCCCAAATCCGCAATTTTCTGCTAATAATTCCGCGAATTCCTGGCAGGTTCTGCATCTTTTCGCCCTTTCCGCCGCTTTTTTTGTTGTTTTCTGGCGCAATTTCTTACGCAAGTTTTCGAGAATTTGTCCGCAAATTCCCGCAGGAACAGGTAAGTACTACTAAGTACGAAAACATGTTAAGTACTTGGAGGTAGTGACCACTTTTATGCCAATCAATTTTTGGTGCTTTTACCTTGAAAAGCCAACTCTAAGAGGGGTCAGCAAGATGCATGCTAGGCTCTACTATTCATTTTTGAAGTAACGTAACTTTAGGTACCGTATTTCCCCGTAAGTTAGTACGTACTAACTTTCGAACTTAGCAGCCACATGAGTACTAACTTTCGGGGGTGTTACTATCTTTCGGGGAGTACTTTTTTATCGGGGGCAAATGACACGCAGTGGGAAGCCTGCGCAACTCTAGTGTCCGTGCATATGATGTATGTACTGTACGGTGTCTGTACATGTAGGACGGGTACAAACTTACTATCTTTCGGGGGGAACTGTCTTTCGGGGTGATAACCTCGGCAGTGGAAAGTGTATTTTTTATAGGGGGGTACTAAGTCATTGGGGAGAACTAACTTACGGGGAAATACGGTAGTTGCATAGTAGGATACCCCTTGATGCATGAAAGAATTGAAGTACGTTTTTTTGTTCTTGTGACAGAGTCAGGCAACACGAATAGCGTGGTGTGTATCCTCAGGCACACCTTGACTTTGGGACGTGCTTTTGCAAATTGTTGACTGACTGTGAAGTCTGAAGACGCAAGTAGTAATAGTAGTAGTAGTACCGTAAAGTATCGTTGATTCGCTCCATGTCGAACCTCTGCCTGTGAAGCGACTTCAGCGTATACGACGAAATACGGTGTTTATCCGACGCATGCACTACTGTACACAATGTGTGCCAGCGCAGGATGAAAATGTGCACAATCCAGCATGCCAAGTCTGATCTTCTGCGCGGTTGTACATCGTATTGCACTGGACAGCCTTGATGTAATTCCTGCCCTCCCCCACTCTACCGTATATCCTCCTTGTTCTGTTTGCAGTTGAGGAAGAATCCCTTTGATTATGATGCGCACGTTGCTCTGGTGAAGCGTAGGGCCTTGCTGAAAGACATTCCCAAGTTGCGGGCAGCTTATGAGGCGATGAGCAAGGCGTTCCCAATGACAGATGGTAGGTGTTCGGTGTCAGCACTGCGTGCTTTGAGCGGACGTGTGTGTGTGTGTTGTGTGTGTGTGTGTGCTGTGTGTGTGTGTGTGCGCGACTTGTCAGGAGTAACACTACTTGCTATCGTGGAGTGTGGCTGATGAACTGTTCATGCTGTCGTCTGCAAGCTACTTTGAACTAGCATTGCAACTAAATCCAGAATTTTGACTTTTTATCACGTTCAATGATTTGTAATACGCACGGTACCATTGGAATTCTATTGTACTGACTCTCTGGCTTTCCGGCGAACTGTAGACGTATGGTCTTGTTGGTCATTACTGCCATGCCCTCAATGCCCTCCTAGCATATAGTGAATGTGGTCGACTTGAGCTTTTCTAGGGGTCATGGAACCCCCCCCCCCCCCCCCCCCCAGACTGCTTGGGCACCCTGTAAGAAGACCTTAGGGTCTGTTGGGAATGCCCAAGTAAACTATTAAAATACAATACAAAAATGAAATACTGCTTGACTACCCAATTCTCGGAAGATGCTCCAAAGGCTTCTCCATGTGGTGTTAAGCTGCAAGCACTAAACACCAATGCGCTGCCGCATTCAGCTCGCAAAGGTGTATTCCGATATACAGTGCTGCTCCGTGAAATCCTGTTAGTCACTCAAGCATGCGCTGGGCGTTGCGCAGCCCTGGACCTGCGAACACCGGGCTGCGAAATGGTACAAGGCGCAAACTTGACTCACGCGACCGGATTCATTGAGCAGCACTGTACATGTAGTCTTACATGTACATGCACTCTGTTTTCTTGTCCTTTTCTCTATTGTGTTAGAGCTCTGGTTGCAGTGGATACATGTGGAAGTGGAGCAAACTGAAGAGCTTGAGGACATTGAATTTATTAGTGAACTCTTCTCAAGAGCCACCAAAGACTACTTATGTAAGCTTCCATGCACCTGTGTTTATATGCATGCGTGCTTGGGCGCGCGCGCGCGCGTGTTTGTGTGTGTGTGCGCGCGCGCGGGCGCATGCTTGTGTGTGCATGTGTGGGTGTACGTACGTACAACACAGCCTTTTTTAAAGTTTTTTTTAGCTTGCACCTCAATGTATTTTACTTCAAGTACCTGGATGTGATATGGGCCATTGTGTGTGGCCTATATTTCTGTTGGGTTCGTTGTTTGTAATTTGTCACATGTTTTCACATGTTTGATGTGCACTAGCTGCGAAGCTGTGGTCGCAGTACTGCCAGTTCATATGCCAGATGAAGGACAGCCTGCATGAAGGTGACATTGAGTGTGCGTATAGTCGAGTGCGTGACGTCTTCGAGCAAGCACTAATGGCATGTGGCCTGCATGTCACATCGGTGAGTTGCTGCCGTTGCTGCTTGTCTAATCAATACTGGCTGCCCCTACCCAGGTGTCTGGAACAGGGAGATGAGGAAATTGTGTTGTTTGTCACTGTACAGTTGAACATTAGGGTTTCTCGACTTAGGCATTTCCCCTCCACTCTGACTGCAGAGTCTCCACTCAGCTCAAACCAACACAAACAACTATGTGTACTTGTATAGTAGTGGCAAGTGGAATCTTAGCCTGATGAATAGAGTAGCTGTAGTTCTTGTACTACAGACACCAGGCTGTGCAGTGGATGCCGGTCTGCTGTATTCATGTATTTGCGAGGTTGAATCCTGCTTGTCAACACTGTAGTAGGGTTTCCCAGCTTTGTCATTAGATCTGTTGCAACAGTGAGTGAGTGAGTGAGTGAGTGAATGGGTGAGTGAATGAGCTCCAGCAAATGAGTGAGTAAGTGAGTGAGTGAGCGAACAAGTGAGTGAATAAGTAAGTGAGCAAGCGAGTAAGTGAGCGGGTAAGTGAGTGAGTGAGCAAGTGAGTGAGCGAGTGAGTGAGTGAGTGAGCAAGTGAGTGAGCGAGTGAGTGAGTGAGTGAGTGAGTGAGTGAGTGAGTGGGTGCGTGGGTGAGTGAGTGAGTGGGTGAGTGAGTGAGTGAGTGGGTGAGTGAGTGAGTGAGTGAGTGAGCAAGTGAGTGGGTGAGTGAGTAAGTGGTGTGCCACATGTTGTGTGACCGTGCAACCTGGTGCATCAGTAATTTTGCGTTTCTCTCCTTCTGTATGCCTTTGAACCAAATTAGCTAGGAGAACTTATCTTCATCATACAGTAAAACCTGTAACTAAAGACCACCGTGACTAGCGACCAGCCTGGTACTACCGACCACTTGGCCAGGCACGGACGGTCTCACATTTAAAATTCACTGTGACTAGCGACTACCTGCTGAACGCGACCAGCGACCGCCTTTTCTTGTCCCAAAGACGATTTTTGACCCGTAACTAGCGACCGCGATGTAGGAAATCAAATGTTGCTCGAAGCTCCTTCTTGAAATTTTGCTGATTTTCCATGGTCCTGAAAGGGATCTTTCGGTACTACAGCTGAACAAATGAACGTAGGCCATTTTGACTGTGGAGTCTGTGTGGACTGCACTACACCTGTCAGAATTTCAAGCGCCATCAAGAATAAACATAATAGGAAACGTCTTGGAGAGTGCATCGAAAGCGCTCTCTGCTCGATGTTACTACTCGGAGGAGAGACGAAGACTGAGCGGCTCTGTCACCCCAGTCATATAAACGAATCGACGATGGCGTCAAGGAATCCAGAAACAAAGTAGCACCGCGAGGTCCTGATGCTGAAGGATCGCGTTCAAACAATCGAGAAGTCACAACAAGGATAGTCGGTACGATTGATCGCATGAACAAATTTGAAGCTCAGCGCAAAACGAAACTTCCACAGGGAACGTTTGACTCCTGGGTTCAGAAGTAGCAGCTGAATTTGATGTCTGCAAACAAATTAATCTTCTCTCTTTCTCTTTCTGTCTCTCTCCATCTCGCCGTCTTTCTCTCCAATTGTTGTTTGACCTGGATTAAGAATGGCATTGCGCAAGTCCTGGGAAATTGTATTAGCTGCATTTTGATATACATATCATATAATGGGATCCATATAATTATGGTCACACGGTGCAAACCTCTAACTAAAGACCACCTGCTACTAAAGACCGCTTTTTCTGGCACCAAGGGGTGGTCGGTAGTCACAGGTTTTACAGTATTACCTTCTCTGTTGTGCATTATTGTGTGCAGGGATACGCTGTATGGGAGTGCTACCGTTTGTTTGAAGCTGAAGTACTTGAAACCTATGAGGTAACATCGAGATTCAGCTGTTCTTCTCTGCTTGGTGGTGATGCCACTACGTGAATGTTTTATGGTGTGTGGCCTTTTATGGGGTCAAGGTCAGTGTGAGTGCATGCTGTGTGTGTGTGTATGTGTGTGTCTTTGTGTGAGTGTGTGTGTGTGTGTGTGTGTGTTTGTGTGTGTGTGTGTGTGTGTGTGTGCGTGCGTGCATGCGTGTGTGTGTGTCTTTGTATGTGTTTTGGGGAGGGGGGGGGGGGGTTGCATGGTGAGTACATTTTCGATGTGTGAATATCTGCTGTTGTTTTGGTGGTCCCGGGCACCACTGGTACACAACACACTGCTAATTAGGAATCAAATGTTTTCATATGTTTGTACGTATGTGTTCCTACTGGGGTGGCTGTGTGTGTGTGTGTTAGGAGGACTTGGGCGAGCTCGATTCTAACTGTGACGCCTATGCAGATAAGGAGAAACTAATCCAAGCCCAAAAGCAGCGTCTCCTATCATTGTATCGGAGGCAGGTCAACGTTCCACTCATCGGTAAGTGCTTGCTTGTCTGCCTGCTTGCTTGCTGGCTTGTCGTCGTTGCCGCTGGTGATGGCAGCGGTGTTTGGTGGTGGCAGTGTTGGTGGGGGCAGTGTTGGTGCGGGCAGTGTTGGTGCGGGCAGTGTTGGTGGCGGTGGCAGCGGTGTTGGTGGGGGCAGTATTGGTGGTGGCAGCGGTGTTGATGGTGACGGTGGCGTTAGTAATGGTGTCGTTGTTGCTTCTACATTTGTGGTTTTGTTTTCTATTTTGTCTAGGTCTTGAGGGCTGTGCACAAGATTATGAATCTTGGTCCAATCAACCATTGCCAGCACCTTTGAGGAACTCCATGGAGAAGTCGATTGCGGAGCGCGACCTGTATCAGAAATACGAAGATGCCTTGGTACGTTCGGAGACTGTGACGCCAGTTTTGTTGCTACCCTGCTTGGGTGGGGGTAGACACATTGCTTAAGTAAGAGTCAATCTACAAGTACTCCTCGTTTTCCTCCGCTATACTGCTCACTCCTCTCTGTTCTCCACTCCTGATTAATGTTTTCTAGGACTGCTTGGCAATCCAATACCGTTCCGTGCAACTTCCCTCCCATCTTTCTGGCCTTCCCGTCAACCATTCAGATGTGATTTACTAGTACATTGCCTTGTACTTGTGTTTATCGTTGTCTTTTCCTTTCTGTATTTGTACACGTAGACCAACGCAGAGCCACCTCGTCTTCAGCAGTATTTGGATTACATTGCATTCGAGAGCGAACGAGGCACGCCTGCCCGTATTCAGTGTATCTACGAGCGTGCTTTGACCGAGAACTGCTTACAGTCTGACCTCTGGCGCCAGTATGGGCAGTGGCTGGTGAGTGAAACATTGCCTCTTCTTATTTGAGCTCAGAATGTGTATTTCCAAGGCACCTGGCCGAGTATTGGTGCCGGTGTGTGTGGGTGTGGGTGTGGGTGTGCGTGCGGGTGTGCGTGCGTGCGTGCACGTGTGTGTGGATGTGTTGCTGCGTGTGTGTCTGTGTGTTACTGTTTATTTACATCTGTATCTGTGTGTATATTTACATCTGTATCTGTGTGTCTGTGCGTGTTTGTTCAGACGTCTGTCATTGTGCACACACACTGTACCATTGCATCAAACTGCTCTGCTTGTGCTGTTCTTCTGTTCCTGTCTGGCTGTGTGCACCATTACGCAGGACACTAAGCTGAAGGACAGTCGCACATGCCTCTCAATGTATGAAAGAGCTGTCAGGAACTGCCCGTGGATTGTCACCCTATGGCAAGCACGCTTGCTGGCACTCGAGCGCCACTCCAAATCAGACATGATTAATGGTACGTGCACTGTAACTTGGTCCTCAAGGGTGGTGGTGGACGTGAAAAAGTCAATGCAAGTCACTTAGATGCGAGCCACAAATTTCTTTGTTCCTCGCCTTGTGTCATTGGCTGCATCGAGCTCCAGGGCATCCTACTCATTGTGTTGACAGGTTGATTATTTCTCACAGTTGGCATATAAAGCCGCGTCTCCAGGCGTAAATACTGTAATTTCACAAATTTTCGGTGTACTCTAATTTTTCGGTACTTTCGGTGCGTCTGTTTCATACTTAAAATTTCAATACACCGAACAAACATTAACACACGTAATCCAATAGGGACCTGCTTCTCTGTACCGAAAATTTCTGTCCACCTAACCTGGCCTGTTGCCCTCATACCGAAAATATTGAGCACCGAAAATTTCTGAAATTAGAGTATTACATTTCCGATCTTTCTCGGACTCCAGACTTTGTAAACACGGCCGCATGCTGCCCAGCTGTGCTATCGCCATTGTTGGTGTTCTTTGTGGAGTTCCTATGGATGCATCTTTTTGTGATATTGTCAGGCTTCTTTCAAATGCAGAGTTTCCACGCCGAGGGTCTCTAGTGTGGGATACAGCTCATTTGCTTTGTTTGTTGCTAAACGAGGTGTCCAAACTGCATGTAAAACTGCCCGAACGCGGTGGTGGCTGTCACAGTACGTTGTAGGTTGGCGACGACCCGCTGCTTGCAAGAAGGCTTGGCCGAGTGTGCTGACGTGCATTTCTTGCGTTTCTTGCATTTCTTGCTCGTTCCCTCCTTTGTAGATGTGTTTGAACTTGCTAAGCAGGCAGGCCTGCAGAGCACTGGCAACCTGCAGTTGTGGAAAACCTACTGTGATATCACACGCCGCGCAATGGGTAAGAGAGCGCTTACACGATAGGGTGGTTTAAGACCAGCGGTACGTAAGCTGGGCTTGCACTGCGGAGCACCATTCTTCGTATTCTGAACGCTGTTTCTTGTGGAATAGAAGGTTTTTCATGGGTACAGAAAGGGGATACTGGTGAACAGGTACTACAGGTCAGACCTCGCTATAACGACCCCCGTTATAACATAAACCTCACTACAACGTACAAATGTGAATGTCCCTGCCGAAACCGCATCACTTCTGTACAAAAATTTCCTTGCTATAACATAATCCGCTATAGCGTAATGTTCGCTATAACACACTGTTTGCTGGGTCCCGGGCGCACAGAGACCTCAGCATAACGTAAAAACTCGTATAAAAATGACTATGTACACTGCATGCATGCCTTCTCGCGACGAATTCGAGACTGAGCCGTCCACCTCGGGAGCAGGGAGTAGTAAAATACCGGTATTTTACTACTCCCATTACTTTTTATAGGCTCTTATCTTGTCACATGTACTGTAAAATTAATATACAAAATTTCGGCGCTGCAAAATTTCGGCACTTCACGATTTTTGACATTTCGGCGGCGATTTATTTTCGGCGTGGGGTAGAGGGCATGGTATAGTGCGACAGATGCTGTGAAAAATTTCATCGGCGTTTTAAAGGGGCACTCCGGGAATATTTTCGGTGGTGTGTTCTCTTCATGGGTGCCTTGTATGGCCCCCAAGGAATGGGGAATCGCGAAAACTAGACCCAAAAAGTCGATATATGAAGCCAGGGAGGGCCAAGTTTGTCTCCTCTTTTGATGGTTTTGATGACGTCACGTGTGATTAGTATTCAAATTCTCTGCATTTGAAGATCTTAGTTGTTTGAATTTTCTGGTGATGAAGAACGATGTTTGGTCGACATTCCCAAGCTTCACAACTGCGGACCTACTCTAAGGAACCTGAAGGACCCTCTGAGGTGCCCCTGGTAGAAGCGCAGCCTGATGAGGGCCAGGAGATTGGAGCGGACGACTTCACTGGTCCGCGTACGAGGATCCCGAAATTCTCTATATGTCGTGAGGCATATGGTCAGAACAGTTTTTTTAGACAAGCTGACACGAAGTCGGGGTGATGTGTAACGCACGTCAAAGGGCTGTCAATGCTAACAGCTGCAGCGCTCTCTCGACAGCGAAGGTAATCGACTGCCCTCTGCATCACCCCACATTTCTGGCAGGAACACCAATCGTTATTTCCTTGTCGACCAGTGAAGTCGTCCGCTCCAATTTCCTGGCCGTCATCAGGCTGCGCTTCTACCAGTGGCACCTCAGGAGGTCCTTCAGGTTCCTTAGAGTATGGTCGCAGTTGTGAAGCTTGGGAATGTTGACCAAACATCGTTCTTCATCACCAGAAAATTCAAACAACTAAGATCTTCAAATGCAGAGAATTTGAATACTAATCACACGTGACGTCATCAAAACCATCAAAAGAGGAGACAAACTTGGCCCTCCCTAGCTTCATATATCGACTTTTTGGGCCTAGTTTTCGCGATTCCCCATTCCTTGGGGGCCATATAAGGCCCCCATGAAGAGAACACACCACCGAAAATATTCCCGGAGTGCCCCTTTAATTTAGGCGTTTTGGGTCGGTGCCGAATATAGCCGAAATTAAATAGCTGCCGAAAATTTGTATATTTACAGTACACGCACTGCATGACTCTTGTCACCCCTTTGCTGACAAGCCTGTACACATTTTTGTTAGTCATCATCATACCTGTATGTAAAACAGTGCAGTTATTATCAGTAAGTGAAGAGCGTCATTTTGACATACATATTGCATATTGGTGTGCCCAACTCACTATAATATAAACCTCGCTATAACATAATTTCTCCCATCCCCCAGAGATTACGTTATAGCGAGGTCTGACCTGTACAGTCCATTCCATATAAGTGTGCACTCTTTTCCAGTCAAAGGGCCAATATAAGTGTGCACTCTTTTCCATCCAGTCAAAGGGCCATTGTGTATGCCCCATGGATTCTACATGTAGGCCAGCGCCAGCGTGACAGGGGAATACCCCACGTGGATGCGTTGAGATGATCAATAAGGTGCATGACTTCTTCAAAGACAAAGCAGCGGCGCAAGAAAATGCACGGAAATCAGCCAGCAAAGCGAGCTAAAAAAATCAATTTTCCATTTTCTCTCTCAAATTTGGACAGATTTTGATCCGGTTTTTTTAAGGAGCAGCAAGCAAGCGTGCATTCACTCAGAAAAAAATTGCCTTGTATTTGTACACAGTCGTATGATGGGAGCATGTAATAACAGTGCACACTTATAGGGAATGGACTGTAGGTTGTTGTACCTGTAGATTATAGCCATCACAGAAAATTGTGCTATGTAGTATGTGCTGTACAGGTCACATGACCTATAGACTGATCATATACATCACAGAAAATTGTGCTATGTAGTATGTGCTGCACAGGTCACATGACCTATAGACTGATCATATACATCACAGAAAATTGTGCTATGTAGTATGTGCTGTACAGGTCACATGACCTATAGACTGATCATATACATCACAGAAAATTGTGCTATGTAGTATGTGCTGTACAGGTCACATGACCTATAGACTGATCATATACATCACAGAAAATTGTGCTATGAAGTACAGTGTATCTGGTAAACAGGTCACATGACCGTATTGTAGCACCATGAAAAGCTCTATTGAACACAGTGTGGTCTTTTCTCTTGTTCTCTTGCTGTAGATATCTCCTCTCCAGACTCAGTGGAAGCACTCCGCACAGCGGTCAATGAAGCGTCTGCCTTTATGCAAGAATGTATGTCTGAGTGCACTGAGCTGGGTGTTGGGTTCAGGATTATGTTGTTGGTTTATCTTTTACGGGTGCAATCCGCATAGTAACAGTTATGCATCAATGTTCTTCTTACTCGTATACGTAGGTTCATACTCAGTAGCCAGTTGGACTGCAAGAACTCTACCACAGTATGGTTATCATATTAATATTATCCTTGCACACCGTGACCAGTCACCCAACCTCGCAGCTGTACAATCCTTGCACACCGTGACCAGTCACCCAACCTCGCAGCTGTACTCCTGCACACCGTGACAAGTCACCCAACCTCGCAGCTGTACTCCTGCACACCGTGACCAGTCACCCAACCTCGCAGCTGTACTCCTGCACACCGTGACCAGTCACCCAACCTCGCAGCTGTATTCCTGCACACCGTGACCAGTCACCCAACCTCGCAGCTGTATTCCTGCACACCGTGACCAGTCACCCAACCTCGCAGCTGTACTTCTGCACACCGTGACCAGTCACCCAACCTCGCAGCTGTACTCCTGCACACCGTGACAAGTCACCCAACCTCGCAGCTGTACAATCCTTGCACACCGTGACCAGTCACCCAACCTCGCAGCTGTACTCCTGCACACCGTGACCAGTCACCCAACCTCGCAGCTGTACTCCCGCACACCGTAACCAGTCACCCAACCTCGCAGCTGTACTCCTGCACACCGTGACCAGTCACCCAACCTCGCAGCTGTACTCCTGCACACCGTGACCAGTCACCCAACCTCGCAGCTGTACAATCCTTGCACACCGTGACCAGTCACCCAACCTCGCAGCTGTACTCCCGCACACCATGACCAGTCACCCAACCTCGCAGCTGTACTCCTGCACACCGTGACCAGTCACCCAACCTCGCAGCTGTACTCCCGCACACCATGACCAGTCACCCAACCTCGCAGCTGTACTCCTGCACACCGTGACCAGTCACCCAACCTCGCAGCTGTACTCCTGCACACCGTGACCAGTCACCCAACCTCGCAGCTGTACTCCTGCACACGGTGACCAGTCACCCAACCTCGCAGCTGTACTCCCGCACACCGTGACCAGTCACCCAACCTCGCAGCTGTACTCCTGCACACCGTGACCAGTCACCCAACCTCGCAGCTGTACTCCTGCACACCGTGACCAGTCACCCAACCTCGCAGCTGTACAATCCTTGCACACCGTGACCAGTCACCCAACCTCGCAGCTGTACTTCTGCACACCGTGACCAGTCACCCAACCTCGCAGCTGTACTCCTGCACACCGTGACCAGTCACCCAACCTCGCAGCTGTACAATCCTTGCACACCGTGACCAGTCACCCAACCTCGCAGCTGTACTCCCGCACACCATGACCAGTCACCCAACCTCGCAGCTGTACTCCTGCACACCGTGACCAGTCACCCAACCTCGCAGCTGTACTCCCGCACACCATGACCAGTCACCCAACCTCGCAGCTGTACTCCTGCACACCGTGACCAGTCACCCAACCTCGCAGCTGTACTCCTGCACACCGTGATCAGTCACCCAACCTCGCAGCTGTACTCCTGCACACCGTGACCAGTCACCCAACCTCGCAGCTGTACTCCCGCACACCGTGACCAGTCACCCAACCTCGCAGCTGTACTCCTGCACACCGTGACCAGTCACCCAACCTCGCAGCTGTACTCCTGCACACCGTGACCAGTCACCCAACCTCGCAGCTGTACAATCCTTGCACACCGTGACCAGTCACCCAACCTCGCAGCTGTACTCCTGCACACCGTGACCAGTCACCCAACCACGCAGCTGTACAATCCTTGCACTAAGTGCATACATGTACTAGTGCAGGTGGAATCTTGTACTTCAAGTAGCGTGTTTGGTGTTTGCCGAACACTTCTCTGATGTGTCTGTTCGCCGTGTGTGTTTCCCTGCGGCTGGCCAGGGTTTGGTGACGCAGGCGACCCGGAATGCTCGTTACTTCGCTATCTTGCACGGATCGAGGTAAGCAATGCCCTGTATCAATCACCATTTCCCCCATTCAGTGACTAGTTCTTCAAAGTAGTGTGTCTCCAACCCCTGTTTGCTGTTCGTGTAGAACCTGTCTTGTTCTTGCTTGCTGTTCGTGAAAGGCATGGTGGATGCATGCTAACTGCTGCACCTTTTTGTCCTACCTGTTCAATGCTCAGGCGGAACAGCTGGACAACTTTCCGAGGGCGCAAGAAATCTGGCGAAGCAACGTTCTTGTTAAGGGCCGTGGCAAGTCATCTGCCTTATGGCTGGAATATTCCACCTTGACTCGGTTAGTTATCGGTGTCACTCTGTGTGTATGTGCTTGCGTGTGTGTGTGTGTGTGTGTGTGTGTGTGTGTGTGTGTGTATGTGTGTATGTTGCTTCGAGTTCCCAGAGATCACTTGCAGCAGTTGACGACCTTGGTGGGGAAAATGGCACTCCAGCGACCATGAGGCTTGCACAGTTTTGGCCGGATGTGCTCTGCAGTGGTTGAGGATAATGGGAAAATTCTCGTCTACATGTACGCATTGTCAGCTGTGAACAAACATAGCCACACCTTACAGACTCCAGCAATAGGAGTAGCAGAAGTGTGTGATGCTCGGAGATCAGAAAAATGACAACCTCAAAACTAAATGAAAACATGGCAGCGGTAGCTAGTGTCTTACAGCCATTGTGACTGCACGGGCATCCCCCTTTATCCACCTGATCAGCTTGCTTTCCTGCTTGCCGCATGGCTCACCCTTGCTTTGGCCAGTGGTTGTGTGAATAATAACATCATTGTGTATTCGGTGTATGGAGTGGCGACTGCCAGGGCTTGCAATGCCACACCACACAAAACATCTGAAAGGATGATGCATTCGCTGATCGAAATCCCAGGGCTTGCTATGCCACACCACACAAAACATCTGAAAGGATGATGCATTCGCTGATCGAAATCCCAGGGCTTGCTATGCCACACCACACAAAACATCTGAAAGGATGATGCATTCGCTGATCGAAATCCTGACTACAGTGCCTACAGTGCGTTTTCATGAGCATACTTCAAGTAGTTTATTTCAGCACATCATTAGCATGTTGTGTGCATGTGCATAGGTCGCTTCTTTTTGTTTTGTTTTCAAATCTCATGGTTGATATCTTTTTTCTCACGATGGAATGTGACCGATAAGAGATAATCTCTTGTTCTCATTGTTGTTGCTGTTGTTTGTTTGTTTGAAATCTTTTATTCTCACGATGGCCTGTGGCCAATAAGAGAATTTGTTGTTGTTGTTGTTGTTGTTGTTGTTGTTGTTGTTGTTGTTGTTGTTGTTGTTGTTGTCACCGTTGTTTGTTGTTCACAGGTATTACGGTAATGTGGAGTCATGTCGCAAAGTACTCTATCAGGCTGTGCAATGTGCCAGCGATGATTGCGACGCTGTATGTAGAGCATTACTCGACTTTGAGGCTGAGCGAGGTGAGACGATAGCCCCCCCCCCCCCCCCCCTCTCCTTTATTTGTTTTTTATTCATTGAGGGCTGTCGAACTGTGCTTCCGTTGTATGCATTTGTTAACTGCAGGCTTTTTCTGTTGTATCATGGACCCACATTTTATGTGTCCACTATGTACTATTGTAGAGAGTGATAGACTGCCTGTTTCCTGTGCTGATGTAACTGTTCAGGTACCCTAGCTCAGTTCGATGCAGCCCAGGCACGGTGCAACGCGCAGCTTTTCAGAGTTCAAGAGCGTGTTGTCCAGGTACTGCTGCATTTGCTTACTGTGTGTGCTAGTTTAGTAGTGGCAGTGATGGCAATGCTGCTGCAGGTGGTGGTGGCGGCGGCGGCGGAGGGGGTGGCAGCAATGCTGGTGCTGGTGATGCTAGTGCTGGCTGTAGCGGTGCTGGTAGTGATGGTGGTATTTCTTATGCCTGCACCATAGCAAAAACATCTTACTATTGGTTACTGATCAGTGTTTCTCCATGTTGTGTTGTGCTGCTGGCATACCTACATGACGTACTACTACACCTTGCAGGCTGAGGAAAAGGCTGCTCAGACAGAGGCAGACCAGCAAGAGCAGAAACGTGCTGCACGTACCGAGCGTAAGCAGCAGAAGAAGTCCGACAGACAGCAAAGCAAGCCCAAGCCCGACACACCGATCAGATTGCCACAGAAACGAAAGGTAAGCAAATGTTTGAGTATGTGTGTTTCTTCAGACTCTTTTCTCCATTTCAACACCCTCAACTTATGTATATGTATTCATAAGTTGAGGGAATGGAAAAGGGAAAATAATAAATATGTACTCAGATGGGGCACGTCGGACTGTTCAAAAATCTGGTTTAGTTGGTGGACTCGATCGTACACTAACTTGTGCCCACAATTTCCATGTAATAAATATGTGTTTCTTTTTTTCTTTCTTTTTTGTCATAAATCAAGTCCTCATGAAGTGACTCTCTTTGCATAGAAATCCAGTCTCATCCTGTGATATTGTGCCATGTGTTTGTCTCAGGCCGAGTCTTTCTCCAGCTGTGAAGATTCCGGTAGTCGCTCTGTGCAGATCCTGCCTCCGCGCAAGAAAAGTGTCCAGCCTGGCTCAACAAGTAGGTGATCACTGATGATACGTCTACGTCTACGTTTTTGTAATAGGCGATTCCAAGAGTACATGAAAACCAGAGTGTGCAGCTTGGGGCCTTCTCTGCTATGGGTGTCTGTCACGGCGGAATTCCGTGATTACATCATGTTTTGTGCAGATCTGAGGCGGGAAATGGCGTAGTGCGTACAACTGAGCTGCAGTTGTGCAGAAAGAGACCTGCTTGAATCCTGCTTGTACGCACTACATCACTAAAATGATGTAATCACGGAATTTCGCTGTGACGGCAACCCATCCGAGCTGCACACTCTGGTTTTCATGTACTCTTGGCGATTCCAACGACAGGCAAATCCACGTTTACAGGAAAATCACCATGGATGTATTCCTGCAGGCGACCAACATTTGTCCGCGGGAATCGAAAGTGTCCATGGCCTTTTCGCCCGCGGATGCACTCATCAGCGGGCACTTTTATAGTTATGAGGCTGTGAGGTCGTACTACCGTACGGTAGTCTTGAACCCTGGTTGTTTGACCTTTGCCTTTGGGTACTCATTCCAATTCGCTACGGCATCACCACAGTAACGCCGAATACTCGCGGGAGCTCTGGCCACCACCTGCGGCCGTGTGAACTGCGGACTCACGTTTCACTTCCTGCGAGCACCTGACAAACGTGGATTTGCCTGTCATGTGAATCGCCTATAAGGTCAACCCTCAGTCCGGCGTACATGTACTTTGAAGTCCTTGACCTGCTGATTACGGTGGTCAACTTCGTTTTCTTCTCAGTTGACTTGAAGTCGGTCAGAACTCCCAATAAAGTTGTTTGAATTGTCCCTAAGTACAACGTGCCACGTTGTGCTGTACTGTCCTGTTATGACTGTTACAGGTGAGGATGGATTTCAAGTACCTCTTCTGCCCTCGTCCTATGAGAGAGAAGACCAGACGACCACTACAACTGCATCACATGCGGCCGCCACTGATGGTGGATCACCTGTTTTTGACAGATATCAAGGTGTGGACGAAATGTGTGTGCGTGTGTGCGTGTGTGTATGTGCTTGCATGTGTGTGTGTGTGTGTGTGTGTGTGTGTGCGTGTGCGCGTGTGTGTGCGTGTGTCTGTGTGTGTGTGTCCGTGTCCTTGATCCGTTACTGTGTATGTGAAATTAACCATTGTATAATCTGCTGTTCTGTGTACGTAGATGGTGGTAATGGTAGACATGCTGTTGCAGCTGCGGGCATTGAGGAATCCATGGACACTGGAAGAGGGAATGGAGCTGACTCTAGCAATAGTGCAGACCCCAACGGTTCTCGACCAAAGTTTGATTTTAATCCGTAAGCAATTCAAGTCCATCTCTAGCAAACTTGATTGAGTCCAAAAATAAATAAATGTATCCGCTCATGTTGAAGCTGTGGGTATTCAAAGCCTCTTTTGTGGACGAGCAAAGCAAAGCATAAGAATGTTTAGCTATTGTGAAGGATTGAATCCAACACAAACAAGAATATATAAACTGCATGATGAGGATACAGGTGATGCAAATGTTGATGCCTATCGAGGGGCATGTGTGTGTTTAGCGTAGACAGCTTCTGCAATAGTGCCTGTCGTTGAATTCAATACTGTGTAAATATTGTATCACTGATGTGTACTTTTGCAGTACTAGTACGTGAACACTGTACATACACATGTACCGTAAAGTACCGCCAGAGCGCCCCACCTTGATTTTACAGCCAAGGGAAGGAAAATCGTATGGTAGAGTGCAAAATGTTTGTATGGTTTGAGAACTTTAGTGCACTAAGGTCACACTTGGCATGTTTTTGTTTGGAGCTTGCATCTGCTCAAACGTAAACTGAGTACGGATTGACTGCACAGCGTGCAATGTGTGTACAAGGTCCGTGTCGTATGACCTAGAGACAAGACCCACCTCCACAAGACGACCACGAACGGACGAGATGGTGGGGCACTCTCGCGGTACTTTGCGGCATTTGTCTCAGAACAGAACATTGGCAGACACCACGGCCCGGGTGCATTGGTGTTGAGAATCATTACTATGCAAGCAACTTACTTCTGTGAGCATAGCCATCACATAGGCAGTCAATCCTCGGTAGTATAGTGGTAAGTATCTCCGCCTGTCACGCGGAAGACCCGGGTTCGATTCCCGGCCGGGGAGGACATTTATTTTTTATATATTTTTTGCAAGTCAGCAGTGGAGTGACGACAGTTGCTTATTCTGATCTCATGTCTTGTGTGTTGTGTTGCTTTGCTGCAGAGAGAATAAGAAACAAACCATATTCGTCAGCAATTTAGCATTTGATGTGAATGACACCGACTTGAGAGAAGTTTTCGGCAAGGTGTGTACAGTCCCATCGCATGTTTTTCAATAGTCCGGAGCTTGTTGTTTTGTTGTTGCTGCTGCTGATGTTGCTGCTGCTGGTGTTGCTGCTGCTGCTACTACTGTTGCTCTTCTTGTTCTTGTTGTCTAATGGACTGCACTGCTGTGTACTGTGCTGCAGCTCGGTGACATCGCTGACGTACGAATCGTGCGTCGGCGGCAGGATGGCAAGAAGAACTGCTATGCGTACGTGGAGTTCTCCGACCAGGTATGTCCTTAGAGACTCACTTCATTTCCCAAATCCACACCTCTTACTTGAAGAACTCATGTAGAGCTGTGCTTGCTTCTAGGTATTCTAATCCCCCATCAAACCTTATACTTTATCTATCACACTATAATGTGCTGCGGTGGCTGACTGGGGTGCTGGAGAAGGCAATTTCTGTTGGTGTGAGTCCTGCCGTTTACATTGCTACCTGATCATTTCTCTCTCTCTCTCTCTCTCTCTCTCTCTCTCTCTCTCTCTCTCTCTCTCTCTCTCTCTCTCCCATTGCCAGGGACCAATTGAAGCTGCTCTGAAGCTGGATCGAGAGGCACTGGACGGTCGACCAATGTTTGTATCACTGTGTGTGGACAAGGATGAAGGCTCCAAAACAGCATACAGAGTATGTCAGCTCCTGTCCGGAATGTTTTGTTCTTTTGTTGTTGTTGTGAATACTGCTGTGAGCGCCGACTTATAAAGAAGAAGTACACGATTGAACTGTTGTACTGTTTGCACTTTGTGTCTATGGCCACTTGCTGTTAGTTTGATGATGCTCTGGTATGTTTCCTCGTTGTCCTCCCACCAGCAGGGGGTATGACAGTTCTTGATAAATATGACAATGGGAGTTGAAGCCATGTTCACTGACACTGATATAAGTATCCCTATCTCTCTGTCTCTTGTATACTGAGGTACATGTGCATGGACAATAGTTACGATGCAAGCAGAGTCTGTACTAGCATAGTGTCTGATAGCTTGTTCTGCCGGTGCTGTTCAATTTTCTAACATCTTAGTACTCTAGATCGCTGGATACAAAGACCTTGTATGTCAGTCAACTGCCCTATGAAATGACCAAAGAACAGATCAAGGAATTGTTCAGCAAGGTATGTGACAATGTTGTAGTTCAGAATCGTTGTTTCAGAAGCAGGGAGGGGTAATGAACTGGAATCTTTGTGTGGTTGCACCATCCCTATAAAGCGTAACTACAGTCCATTCATAAAAAGATTGGCCCTGGCTCTGGCGAGCTCCCATATTTGGCGATTTTTGTGATTTTATCGTACACGCTGCTGTGCCGCGATATTTTGAAATTTTAAAAAGGGTCCAAAAAGGTACTTCAACTGGGGTTCAACTGTTGCAAGTGAGGTGAAACGGCCTGGATTTTCATGGTTTTGCCCAAGTCAATGCTTTTGGGGCAAAACCTGGCCAAAATCCTATGTTTGTTACAGCTTGCTTTTTGGAAAAATGGGCTTCAGAAGCATAATTGGAAGAGGGGATTGCAGAAAAAAGGTTTGACCCATTTATGGCCAAAAGCTAGAAGTCCATTTTATATTAACGGGCTGTAATACTGTATGTACTGCATGTACTGTTTTATTTGACGGCGGCATTAGGCGACTTCCTTTGATAGGCATCAAGGTTTACCTTTGGAGAATCCTTGAACTATAATGTCAATGTGTGTCCGAGTCTTACCGTGATTCAATCCATTCAGCTTGGAGTCCTGTGTTCGTGATATTGTCTTGCAATGTGAAGCACCCACCCCCTTTGCAGCTGTGCAGTATGCGGTAGTTCGCTTTACGTGGACAAGGCGTAACGTTAGCTCTTGTCTGCCGTATGTTCTGTGCCGTGGCACTGCTAGTTTACTCTGCAAGCCTCCTGCCTGTGTGTGGGTGTGTGTGGGTGTGTGTGGGTGTGTGTGTGGGTGTGTGTGTGGGTGTGGGTGTGTGGGTGGGTGGGTGTGGGTGTTATTGTCCTGTGTTCCCTGTGCAGCATGGTACTGTCGTTGATGTTCGCCTGATGACCAATAGGTCCGGCACGTCTCGCGGTTTCTGCTACGTGGAAATGGAGAGTGAGGTGGGTGATGTGTTGTTGCATGTCGTGACACACTACTATCTACTATCTAACAGCACCTTCTAGCACCTAGTAGAATGTTTTTACCTAAATAATAGATACTGTAAGTCAACAAATATTCTGTGCATATTTGTTTTCGGCTATTTTCGGCCTGATCATAATATTTGGCCGAAAATTTGTTGCAGCCGAAATTTTGTTTTGCAAGGTTCAGTGTGACAGTGTATACAGGCAGCAGCAGTACAGGCCGAAAATTTGTTGCAGCCAAAATGTGTTTTAGCCCTGGGAGGCCGAAATTTGAAGGGATTTGAAGGGGCCGAAATTTTGTCGACTTACCCTATTAGTCCATGAGACGAGGCAGAGAGAGAGAGAGAGAGAGAGAGAGAGAGAGAGAGAGAGAGAGAGAGAGAGAGAGAGAGAGAGAGAGAGAGAGAGAGAGAGAGAGAGAGAGAGAGAGAGAGAGAGAGAGAGAGAGAGAGAGAGAGAGAGCCCGGTACCTGTCCAGTTTGGCATTGTTTCTCTGTGCTGCGCTGACGGGTCCTGGCACAAGGGATGAAACAGTACTGTCCGTAGATTGAGTGATATTGCAGCTTTGCAGGTATTAGTATATTTTGTAATGCGGTGGTTGCATGCCTTTTTCCCCACAACATGATTATCAACAACTTACTTCTAGCCCAGTTCCACCTTACCACCAAACCAAGAGTACATAACCCCCCCCCCCAGAGTGTGCAACTCCCACATACCCTGCTGTCCCGACAGAATTTCAGGTTGACGTCATTATTTATGATGCAATACTCCTTGCACCAGTGATGTACAACATGTGTACAGGTGTCAACGCATCACGTTTTTCTTTGCAATAATTTGTACAGGATTATATGGGCTTCGGTCCACCACACGTTCCGGATTCGTCTGATAATCCGTGTACAGTGCGCATTGCATCATCAAAATGACGTCAACTTGAAATTCTGTCGGGACAGCACCCATAGTGGAGTTGCACACTCTTGGGGGTTATATACTCTTGACCAAATTGTATCAAACTAAAAATATAAAAATATAAAAATAAATAAAATGCATGTCTTAGTTAGGTTTTGCCTGCAACTCACGACAAATCCTTTCCTGTTTCTTGCTGTTTATATTTCAGGAGCAAGCATCGATTAGCATCCTGAAACTTGACCAATATGTACACAAGGGCAGACGGCTTGGCGTAGCACTCTCCAACCCGCCCAAGCGCAAGGAGGATAAAGTCCCTGCCCTGGGGGCTGGGCCAGGGCGACCTGCTGCTGCGCAGAGATCTCGGCCGGCTGCTGCAGACGGCTCCATCTTTGCACAGAGGTAAGGCATGTCAGTGTAAATTGTGTGGTTCATGTTCATGTGTTCCTTGTTGCAGTGCAACACTATGAAATGGGTTCTAGAAATCTGCTACCGTACTTTCCGGAGTATAAGCTGCACCCCCATTTTTCCCCCATGAAATACAGACATCCTACCCACCATCAATTTCATCATCGGAGTATAAGCCGTACCCCCTTTTTGGGGCTAATTTTGAGTGTTCAAAGTGCGACGTATACTCCGGAAAATACGGTACCTGGCCTGAGAACTAATGCTTTGGCTGCTCGGTTGTCTACAGTGTATTTTACTACGTGTAGCGCTGTTGAACTATAGACTAGTGGAATACAGAGGAACCTGGGACTAGCAAAACGTAAATAAATGCCGCTTGTCTACACTGCCTGTGTGTGAACGTTCGCGTGACACATGCTTCTGGAGTTGTGCCGGCATTGGGGACAACGTTGTCTTCTGTGTTTTGCGTGTGTGTGTGTGTGTGTGTGTGTGGGTGTGGGTATGCGTGTACGTATGCGCGTGTGTGTCTCTGCTGAATACTCACCTGTGTGTGGATGGGCTGGTGACTGGCCCGCAGCCGTGGTAAATCCCGGACACAGATATCGTTACTCCCTCGTTCCGTTCGTGGAGGTGGTGCTGGCAGTGCAACGAGCTCAGAGAAGAAGGAACAGTCTGAGAAAACTAACCCTAGTTCATCCATAGATAGCCAAGCACCTGCCAGTAGTGATAGTGGCAGTGGTGATACAGGCAATAGCGCAGCTGACAGTGAACAGGCTGCCCAGAAACCTATGAACAATACTGACTTCAGAAACATGCTCCTGGGGGCAAAGAGCAACTAGTGGCACAGCAGGCAGGCTGTGTGGCAGCTGTGCAGCAGCTGTGCAGCAGCTGTGCTCGCACTGTGAGAGATGCGAATAGTACTTGCATGCTGTACCCTACCCCCCCCCCCCCCCACACACACACACGCATGCTGGCTATGCACCGTCACGCATTGTATACTGATGTTTGTCCGTGAAGTCCTGTTCCTCTGGCTTTGTTTGTCAGTCCACTAGGTCCTTGAATGTCCACGATGGTGCTTTTGCACACTGTGTAGCATGTTTTCTTTTTCTTATTTCAAGCAGCCTTCTTTTACCCTACTTAGACACGATGACCTCACAATGACCTGATTTGGGCTTGGTTTTAACACTACTTCTTTGTATGTGACTGCGCTCTTTAGCAGCTCTTTCTTTTATTTCTTTTCTTTTTAGTCTATGTGCTGCTCCCCCTTGCACAGATTTATCCGGTCCAGTGTCGTGAATGAGGTCACCACTGCCTCTGGTCAAGAACGTAATCTATTGAAAATTTATTTGTGTTGTGAAAAAAAGGACGACGTGTGTTTCTGGACTGCCCGGCAGAGCATGGCGATTGCCCCCGTGCCATGCCATGCTGGCGAATCTACAGCACATGTGCAGGCAGGGGGAAATGGTTACTTGCTTGGGGATTCTCTGCTGTGGTTCTCTGCCTGCTGCTCGGGCCTCTTCTTCTTCTTCCTTGCTTTTTGGCACCATCCGTACAACTAACTGTTACTTCCGTCAAGTACCAGTATGCACATAATGTGAACGGACAGAGTGAACAGAGTACCGTGGCGCCTCGAGGAGGTTTTGAGAAACACGCACACGCTATATCAACGTCACGTATATAGACATCGCTGTAGGTTTTTTGTGTGTGCTGCACTGCCATTGAGGAGACCAAGAAAAGCCCGGGACTTCACGACTCCCTGGTTGAGACCTCTACGCGATCGCACACGCGCGCACGTGTGTGTGCATACGTGCGGTTATGACCTGGTCTGCATGTCGCATGCATCTATTATCAACTGGAATCGTACCGTGTGACTTGCATGCTGTGCATCTTGTGGACGACGCTACTTACCCACCGCTCCGAAAGGGTGTCGCGTTTGCAATGGCGGCACCAAATGGAGAAGACGTGCAGGCGTGTGCGTGTATGCCGAGAGACTTGTTCTAAATTATTGCAACATCACTGGGCCTGTGTGGACTAGTAGTAGTAGTAGTACACATAAGCCGATGCCACCAGAGCGGGTCATGTTCACTGCAGCATTTCCGTGGATCTCTTCGAATGGCAGCATACCTGTGATGAGTCAATCGCCTGTCTTGGTACAGTAATGTGATATTATAGCAATCTGGAGCATACTTTACTTGATACACTCTGGTAGCAGGTTCCATATACCGTGGACAGTGTACAGACCGTGTAGAAAGAAGCAACTATACACTGGTATGAAGAAACGTTTTGGCCAGAGAATGCTAACACCACAGCAGAGAGCACGGCGACAACCGAGCACATCAAAATATTGCATCCAGTTGCTGGACTGAATGCGCTAGGACAAGATTCACACATACATGCATACAAAGAAAAAATTAGAATCTATTACATGTACATGTCAATAGTTTGTTTACGATCAACTCAAGTGTTTGGTTTGTGTCAGTTTGTGTCATAAAATGTAGCAGCACCAGGTTGATACACCTAGTGCTTTGTTCCAGCATAGCATGCATGGTAACTGCAATGGTATTGTGACAAGGCTATTGAAGACCCAACACCACTGCCACCATCTTGGCAGGCTGTTGAAGGTGTGTAGCCTGGCCGGGCACCGGTGAACACGCCACCCATGACCATGTCTCTCCTCGTCATGCTGTGCTGCCCAGGGTCATTCGGATGGATTCCTTCTGTGTGGAGGTTAGCCGGCGTGGGAACTCCACCACAAACGAGATGATCATGTCTCCCGTCTCTCCTGGACAATCGTGCCTTGGCAGGCCTTCTCCCTTGACCACTTTCGTGTATCCGGGTCTGCGGAACACAACACACGGTGGACAGTGATAGCACCAGGTTTGTTGACTGCCTTGCAGGGACTTGAATACCTTGAACATTGTTCAAGTCTTAGATCAGATGTCAACCTGGACAAGCGCTTGGGATCAAATGATGCCCCTTGCACATGTACAGCTGTGCTGTGGCCAAAGAAATCTGCCCCGCGAGTCATAATAATAGTATGACTCGCGGATCGGATTTCTGTGACCACGACTGTACATGTCGTCAGCCGGGAGTCTTCTGTACTTTCTTTTTGAACTGGTACTAGTCTGCTTTGTAACTCAACAGTTTTGTCACCCCCGGGAGTTACTCTATCCAGTTGACATACAATGTGTGGGTGCAGAATGGTTGGGACTCGGTCAGAAAACCTGCACGCACGGTGGGATGAAGCACACCAGTCCTGTCAGTTTGGACTTTGAATGAGCAGCTGAGCAAGCGCAACAAGGAACTCCTCTTACCTGATGATGTCGTTGATTGCAACTGTGATGAAGCGCGAGTCCAGCGTTTGTATCTCCAGCCACACGCCGCACAGGGCCTGCAGAAAGTAGAGTTGGGCACAAGCAGCTGATCTTCAAAAGCTACAACAGTAGTCATGCTCATCACTCAGTATGATTGTTGCTGTGCTTCAAAGGAGATTGGAACTTTGAAAAGGCACGCAGTACTCTTGGGTTTTTGCTTTGCTTGTGTTGGCTTTGACACCAGCAGTGCGAAGTCCTCTAGTCTCAAGCCTTGTTGGTTTTTGGCTAACATATATTGTTGGTTTCAGGTGTGTTCTAGCCGTTACGGCAGAAATGATCTTTGGACTGATTGGCGACTGGCCTGACCTGCCAGTCTACGCATATGCTCATCCAGTGGTTGTTGCAGCCTATCCTGCTATAATAAAGGATCTCCATCAGCTGTTCAAGTAATGTTTCGTGTTCAATTTGAAACGTAGAATGCGTCCGTTCTCACCTCCCAGAGCTGCACGTGGTGCTCGTATAGCAGGTTGTGTCCAGACCGCACAAAGCGCTCATGCTTGTAGCTGTTCAGTTGAAACACCAGGTCGGCTGTAGAACAAGATTAACCAGAAACTAAGTGAGATCAGAAGATGTAAGGTGTTTGGATGTGTGCAGAACCAAAAAATTGAAAGCACCCTGTACATACACCGCACAACGATCCATATAAGGTGTGCTCGTGGTGATAGCTGATAAAAGCCTGCGTTGTTGTTGCTATTGTTGCTGGTGGTGGTGGTGGTGGTGGTGGCAGTCGTGGTCGCACAAACATGTGTATCTCATTCTTCCAACACTGCTCATAACTCAGTGTATTTGTATAAATTAGACGCACCACGTACCGGGTAAGTTGTTTACGCTCTGGTCCCCCTCCTTGCGGTAGCGGAACTTCATCCCTTCCGTGGCACCAGGTGGTACATTGACCGTCAGAACCTTCGTCTTGACCATTGCCGTGCGCCGATCGTTATTCATTACCTGGACAGCAGTAGCAGCAGGAACATGGAAGTTACTTGGCATGTTCAAAGCCACTTTTAAAACACATGTTTGCATGATTTCCTCGACTGAGCAGCAATGTGGCGTGCATTTTGAAGTCAGCCATATTCACATCTTTGTGGCAGATGTGAACGGCCACCAGTGACTACAGCGCTAGTTCTGGTCTGTCATGCGCTTTGGCCGGGTAGCATGGTAAAAAACTAAAAACCTAGAATGTCAAATTATTTGGCTGGCAGAGCCCATACCAGCCGTACCTGTCTTGTGATCTTTAGCTTTTTCGTGCAGCCCCGATACACTTCCTCCAGGGATACGCGTAGGTCCTGCAGCTGATCTGGAGCCTGCTTCGGCCTGGCACGGCCCATCAGGCCGCCAAACTCAGGAGCGCCTCGCAGGTCACCGGTAATGCCGAAGTCAAACATCTCTGCAGCGGGTACAGAAGGGAACACATTGACAGCGTCAATCCAATGGTGTCACACTACATGGGGGGGGGGGGGGCATATGATTGTCAGGGCCGGCGCCACTGGTACGGCCGTACCAACAAAAAAAAAACTTCCCAAAAAGTCGGTCCACGTGGCCGTGGAACGTCCAAAACCGGGGAGAAAAAGTTTCGATGTATGATTTTGTACAGGGAGTCGCCCAGAGTGGAGGATTTGCCGTCTAAATTCCAAATTTGTTATGGGGGAAGACCCCCAGACCCCCTTAAGGATGGCCCTTCGGCCGCACCGCTCTGCGGAAGCTGCCTCCGGCCCTGATTGGGTGTGTATAATAGCACAGGCCAGTGTGATCGGATGCATACTCCCAAACGGGGAGTATTTTTTTAAAACTATTGTACTACTCCCTGTTCCCAATGTTGTGCATGCACATGCCTCTGTGATTATTGAGATACCACGTTGATATAACGCCTAGATCAGGCTGCTTACACTACTCACTGTACTGAGCCAGTCATTCACACGGGGTCACCAGGTGCAGACATTTTAATCAATGCTCGGAGCATCACAATTCGAAAATTCATCAAGTAAAAGACTAAGGTGCTTTCTGTAGTGAGACATAGCCAAGTGAAAATAAAATTAATAAAATAGTACATAATGGATACACACCAGCGAATGGGTTGTCTCCGCCAAAGAACTCGCGGAAAACCTGATCTGCATTCCCATGGAAGTTGTAACCACCAGAGAAGCCGCCTACAAGAATAATAAAGAGAGAAAGAAGAGCAGGAAACACACGTATGTTGGACATTTGTGTATGGGGTCACAATTTCCCTTCATAGTATTCGGGCATGACAAAGGCTATACTACATGTCGTGGCTATGACTGTACTTATAGAAGCCCGCAGGTGGTTAAGGTTATACCCGAACTGAATCGATGCATGGGCATTGGTCCAATTGCACTAAAACTCAACCAATTCACGATTTATCAATTGGACCTGGCGTGCTGGCTGCTCGGGACTGTCGCTGCCGGAGTGCAATTTCATGATTCCATGTGGGAGCCATTGACTTCGAATGGTGTCCTGCTTTCCAAATGGTGGCAAGGTTGCAAAAATCTGCAGTACTCTAGGACTGAAGTATCTGCATGCTCAGGTAGTCAACAAGTTTGATTCTACTGTGCATGTATATACACCTGGCTTTCTAGAAAACCAACCATGCAGGAAGTGGTCTACTGCCACAGTAGATAAAACAAGGCCCGGCGGAACCGGTCCGCTTGGTCCGGTTAACACCAGGCCAACTTTGTAGCTACCAACGCATGTATACTACTGAGGAGGGCATATGTCCCCCGCCATACTATACACAAACTGTATGAAAGACTACTGATAGTACGACCGGACCAATTGAAAACTGCTTCCGGCGGTCCTGGCAGTGTAACAAAACATATAAGCCCATTGCGCATTGCCAAATATGGAAGGTATGAGTAATGCATGTGAGTACACTAGACGGGTGTTTCAGCAGCACCACTTAAAAATATGGCGTCATTTCGCGCGGTTTGGCAGGATTATGTTAGATTCGGCGCGAGTTATCAATTTATCAGAGTGTACCTAATCGATTTTCTTATTCACTTAGGTTTATCAGCGATATTTCGGTTTAGCAAAAGAGACCAACTATTTTTTCAAATTCTACGAGTGAACAAGAATTATTTGGACAAGAAGCACAATCATGTTGACAGGTTCTCTGCTGGCGAACAGACAGTTATACACTAGTTTGCTCACTTACCGAGGACTTCTTCTGTCAGTTTGGCTGTCCAGCTCGTGCCGACCTACTGTTCCTGCGACTTTCTCTTCCGTGGCGCAGGACGCAGTGCTATCGCCTCGTTCGTCGTCGTCAGGAGGTGCTGTGCTGCAACAGTTTGGAGGCGCATCAGTTCTCGAGGAATAGACTTGTACTTGAAGTTCAGAGAATTCAGTGAAGAGTGGAGACTCTCTGCACCTTGTTCTGCGAGGAGGCCCAATCCTACGCGGACTCGTTTCATCAGGGGAACTGTGTGTTCTTCTAATAGGTGCAACTTCGGCGTGATGTGGCCGAATTTCCTGGACACTACTTCCTTCCTGCAGAGGGCCAGGAATTTCTCGATGTCTTGTTGGAGTTGAACTAAGTCAGCGTCATCGACTGGTTTGCAGTGGCTGAACTTGGCTCGACACGTTGCGTAGCTGTTCATGAGAGCTACGTACCTATCCGCAATTTTAGTGGCCTCAGGACACAAGTCAGGACACCTTGTTTGGACTGACGAAAGATGTGCGGAGGTGATGGCAGTGACCACGGTGGGTTTCAAGGCTTCGTGGATGTGGTTACCAACGAAAGCACCACCGTGGTATACCTGACGCTCAATGCCATGAAGCTGTAGGACTGGCTCCAGTGCCGCGACGCATGGGCCACAGAATTGCTTACAGCCGCTCAGTTTGTCTACTTGCTGCTGAAGTTGTGCTGACCGCTGCTGGTGATGGTCACGCTGCTGTATTGCTGTTTGGTACACTTCTTGCAAGTTGGCGACAACACCAAGCTCGTCCATGCCGCCTTGCTGCTGTACGTGCAGTGCAACAAATTCAAGCTGTTCCTGAGTCGTAGTTAGCTGCTGGTTGAAATTCTGGACGAGCTGCTGTTCAGCAGTCAGTTCGCTATGTACATCGCACAGCTTCTTGTACGCAGCACCATCCGTATCTAGTGCCTGGCTTCTTGCCACCAGTGCCAAGTCCAGTATTCGGAGCTCGCTCCGCAGAGCTTCGAACAGCCAGGGGTAGATCCCGAGATCCAAGTGTAAGACTGGAATGATGACGTTCGGGATTGACACAGGCAGAACAATTGGTCGAATCACATTGTTGTATTTCTTTGCCTGCGCCAGCTTTGAGCCTGCTGCTACATATTGGCTGTGGTCGCTTGCTAGAGATGCTAGTGTGCGTGGTTCTCTCTCGGCCTCCTCTCTCGCATCACTCTCAAGCTCCATGCTCTTCTTCGTGCATAAACAATGGAGACATGGCCGGAGTCCAGATGAGCCAGACAATCCAAAGTTGACAGTCTGAAACTCATAGTCCCCGAATAAATACATCTTCATTGTCTTGCCTTTCCAGGAAGTCTGCTGAAGCTGCTGAAGCTGGGGTCGGTATTGTCCCAATGCCGTCTCCAAGTTTGCAGGCGTGTCTTTGCCGTTGAAGATGCAGAACGGTATAATGTTTGTGAGTGAATTCGGATGCTCGGTGTTGACGATCTGAAAGCTTAGCTTGAACGATCCACCTCCGTGATCTCCGCCAATCTTAATCCAAATCTCTGACTCAGGAATAGCTCCACCATGCCATGTTAGTCGGCTACTGTCCTGCAGCTGGTCCAGAAAGAATATGACAATATCCACCAAGTTAGGGAAGAGCACAGTTGCTATCATCGTAACTCCGCCATCCTTGTCTGTCATAGGGAGCTCTTTGGCGGTGTATGAAGGCAGCTTCGAAGCTATAAATGTGCGGACTGTCTTCTCGGATTCCATTTCAACGCCAAATTCGTGTAGCCAGCGACGTAGCTTCCGCAACTGACTCCACGGGAGGCTGAGGTCTGCTTTTATAGCCAGTGCACTGCCGGGTGACGGCTTCTTGGCCTTGATGCCAGCATCTAACAGAAGCTGCTCCTGTTCAGCAGCAGACAATCTCTGCAAGCCAGCCACCTCTTGTGCTCTGGCTCCAGCCACACCACCGCACACTGTCTCAGCATGTCTCGTCAATTCTGAGGATCTGCGGCGCAAAGTTGTGTCAGCAGCTCGGTCAGACGGCACATTACTCACAACAGCCCGTTGATAGACCTGTGGCTTGCCATGTGATGCTGTCCTTACCTCCAACCGCCCGTCATGCACCCTTGCTGCCACCAGGTGACCTGTTAGACGGTCAGCTACGTTGCCGCACAACTTGGACGGTGATGCGGACAGCACGTCCTCGACAGTTGAGCTTTGTCTAACGGTGCGGATTGGAGCTGTCGTCGTGGCTGGATTGAACTGGCATGCTGCAACATGCTTTCGCAGATCTCTCAGCGGAGTAACCACCGGGCAGCCTTGCAGAGATGGCTTGTGGAAGTCACACCGGAGTGTCCAACCATCCATCATCCTGCGTGGAACCTTTCCTGGCGTCTTTAGCTCAGATGCCTTCAAACAGTTGGCACATGCAGGACATTGCTTGTGCGTTGCTAACCATTCACACATGCAGTCTGCACAAAAGTACTCTTCGCAGCATGGTACTTCTATTACGTTGTCCACGATGTTACTGCATATGTTGCACTGCTGTACTGTGTGTGCGTTAATGAACCGCTCTTTGTTCAGTGGAATCGTTGCAGTATGTTGGCTGCTGCCTGTTGCATATACTGTCTCTCTTGGCACATCCAAACCACATTCCAGTTGTGTTGCTGATGCTTGTGAGGCGGGTTGTTGTGTTGGGGTGGCGGTTGCGGTGCTCACGCGTTCGTCCTGAGTGCGTGTTGTTTGCGGAGCGGCCGCGCGCCAGTGTGTGAGTTGCTTTGCATGCCGTTTTCCCGTGGCCTTTGCTGTATGATCAGTACAGAATGAACAGGCTGAGCGTTGATGTGGTGTCCATTTCACAGGAGGGCCACAGCCACCGCCGCAGTGCATGGCTTTTTCGCTGGCTCTCTTCATGGCCCTCTGGCACAATACACATAGGTATGGGGGGTGTACTTGTGCATCATCTTCATCAATTTTTATCCCATGCACGGCTTCAAGCTGGGATTTATAAGATGCAACGGGATAACGGGTCTTCTGTGTGCATGTGGCGAATTTTCTGCCACCAACGCGACATACCTCGCCAAGATAAGATACGTGTGCGTCCATATCTTGTCGTAGCTGAAGGAAAACAACAGAATTTTGATGTTCACGTCTTTAGAAACGAATTCGCGTCTTGACAAAAAAATGTCGCAGATCGCTTCGTCAAGAACATACCTATGGCGAATCAAATCAACTAAGTCGATGCCGAAGTGATAACTACTTGATAATGGCCAAGAAAGCTTGTGCTAGTATCTGCGCAATTTCAGGTCGAGCGTGGAACACAACTTCGTTCTCTGCGAGGCAATTTGAATTTCGATCGTGGTGCGCGAGGTATGAAAGTGAAGCTAGGAAGGAGTCAAAGAAAAAGAACACGATTTCACCGTACAGAACCCAGTTTGGGCTGGGTAGTGACCTGCTTTAGAGCAGTATATCGATTAGTATTTCAGTAATCCACCACGGCCAGAGATTCAAATTTTCAAATTTCGGCAAAAAAAGGACGCCATTTTTAGTGGGCGGAAATCGTGCAAAAAAACATCCGATATGCATGCACTGGGATCAGGAATGCACTGTTCAACACACCAGGCCAGACGACCATGCCCAGGTGGCTGTCTGGGGTGGTTATGGTACAAATTACGTCATTGCGCAATGGGCTTATTCTCAAGCACACGGACAACGCTGAAGTACCTTCTTCATCCATAGGAACTCCCAATATGAGACCTTCCTCGCCAAACTGGTCATAAATGGCACGGTGCTTTTCTGCAGAGCAGTCAACAACACCCCCACCCCCCCCCCCCCCCACACACACACACGCACAAACACACATGCTCGTACACACACACACGCACACACACACACACACACACACACACACACACACACACACACACACACACACACACACATGATATACTAAATTAGTGATGATTTACTTGTAGTAACTGGCTCTTCAAGTGCCAGGAACTGGTTACGTGGGTCTCCCTGTAAGAGGGAAAGATTCTAAAGGAATCTTGGGGAGGTGATTCAATGGTTATTGAACCACCCCAATGGTGGACAACCCTCAAATTCCTAACCTAAAGGTGAACTTTCCATGAAACAATCTGCGATGGCAGTTTTCAAGATGAATACGGCCAAGGATCTTGTGCAAGCTATCCCGAATGCTTTCAAACGGTGTGAATGGATTTGCTGCAAGAAGTATGTACAAATGATTGTGGAGCCACTATAATCATGTGTTGTCACTGACCATTGCTGAGGACATCATAGGCTTGTGCGATATCAAGAAATATCTTTGCACTGTCCTCAGTGCTCGATTTGGATGGATGGTGCTTCAAGGCCAGAAGACGATACCTGGTAAACAGGAAATGAGGTGCCAAAGATAAATGAAAAACAAACATTGCTATTGAAAGATTACATGTATTACATCGGCCACGGTGCTAGCTACCCAGTGTTATCGTGAATTCCCTGATTCATAATTTAACGCTATGGTAAGTGAGAACCCGGCTCTCTGCCCTTGGGCGCATGCATGCTAAAGTGCCTGGCCATGAGCACCTCAGGATATCATAATCATGCACTGAACCGAAATCATCGGATGGCATAATGACGTGACCTGGCGTCCTCTTTCACGTGTGTCATGCCGTGTGCGTGTGGACGTTATTCAGCTTGCTACACAGGCAGATGCGCCCGGACTGTTGTGTAACGTTATGTCCCAGCTGGACTGAGACACAATGGCCATTACAACCAAGGAGTAGTACAATAGGTATTGTACTACTCCCTGGTTACAACACAGGCCACTGTGAGCACCACTGTGAGCATCATGTACAACACCTGCATTAGAACATGATTGTACAGTGTACGATGCATAAGTGCAGACTCGTTGACATCAGAGGATGCTTGCCGATACACGGGGACCTGTTTCAAAGCAGTTGCTTGCGGTAACATACAGGAATGCCACTTCCAGGCTCGGAGAATACTAGGACGTAAAGAGCGGAGCCCTCTTCTACTCGCTCTAGCCCTGTAAAGGTATACTGATCGGCAAACCCGCTTGCGCAACACCTTATTGCAGCCTTATTGGTGTATTCTAATGCTAGATAGACTGCAGTTGTCTCGTTGCTAGTGAGTAGAGTGTGGCGTGACTCTGTCCGCAACTTACGCTTTCTTGATATCTGCTAGACTCGCATCGCGATCCACGTCCAGTGTCATGTAGAAGTTGCGTCCCATCTTGCTGCCTGCTTCACCTTTCACACGAACCAGAAGCGCCTTACAAACAAATCTTACTTTGAATCACACAATTTCGAAAATAGCGAACATCGATATGTCGCGACGTCGAAGGATCTTCGGCTGCTTCGTGTTTGCACAAGCCGCTGATGCCTAGGCCTACAAAAATAGCCTGTTGACATGTTGGGCTGAACACACGATGCATGCTGGGTGGTGTGCATTTCGAGTCGCGATCAACCAGCTGACCTGGAAACTGCATCGAAATCAGTTGTCATGGCACTGCGTGGAGGCGCTGGACGGGGAATCCCCAATTTGAATGCCACCTGGGAAACCTACTCTGGCAACCAGGAAAAATGAGTAAAAATCGGCTGGAATGGGTGTCATAAAGTTTCCGATCAGGAAGCAGCAGCAGGTCAAACCGAGTTTGGGCCGGCATTCCTGATGTGATTTTCAAAATGGTGGTGTACGATTTTTTTGATCACCCAAATATGCGCATGCGATGTGAGCCATGAAGCTTCCTTTCTCAGCACCTGAATGGCGAATGGAACAGTAAATTGTTTCCATTTCTTATGATTTAGAAATCAAGCCATCATGCCTCCTAAGCAGCCCGCGAAGGGCAGTAAGACGCCCGCCAAGTCCCAGAAGGCGAAGCCGACTGGCTCTGGAAAGGCCAAGAAGAAGAAGTGGTCCAAGGGAAAAGTCCGTGACAAGCTGAACAATTTGGTTTTGTTCGACAAGGCCACGTACGATAAATTGTACAAAGAAGTTCCCAGCTACAAGCTGATCACTCCTGCTGTTGTGTCAGAACGTCTGAAGATTCGTGGATCGTTGGCAAGGCGTGCTTGCAGGGAGATGGAAGACAAGGGCTTGATCAAGGTCGTATCGTCCCATCACCGCCAAGTTATCTATACTCGTGCTACAAAGGAATCTGAGTAGGCGATTTCTAAAATAAAACTGTGGATTTCACCAACTTCTTATTGTACCCTTTCTGTGTGGATGGCGTATGTGAACGTAAGTGTCTGGGTTAGGCCTGTTTGAAATGGCGAGTACTAACAGTCTAACACTGAATGGCATGATGTAGACAATTATATTTTATGTATTTTCAAGAACATTGCATTCATAAATTTTGCAATTTATATATATTTTGAAAATGGGATGAATTCCTAGCGCATAGCATGTACTTTAGGGCATGTTCGTTTGGTAGGATCGGGATCCCGATCCACTGGATTCGCACCCTTTCGATTGGTCGAATCCGGATCCTTCGGATTTGGATCCAGTCAACCCACCTCGGGGAGCAGGGTTGACCGGATCCAAATGTGACCTTTGTGCGTATATGGCGGGTAAAACTCGTTTTTGTACACATTGTGGTACGCACACGTGGATCGAGATAGAGCTTGCTGACCTTTTGTACAACTGGCGCGGTGAGTACGACTTTTTATTACTTCGTCAACATGGCAACAGTCAAGGCTCAAAAAAGTGTCCAGTTGACTCTGAAGGATCCGACGGATCTGAGATCTGGATCCCGATCCCTATCCTTACCAATCGAGCATGCCCTTAATCAAGCTAGAGTCCAAAAAAAAGCAGCAGCTGGGATTGCGGCCTTGGGCCTCCAGTTGGTGGATCCGATCTTAGCATCTATCCTCCACCTTCAGTAGCTGCATCTGTAATTCTAATGCATGTGTAAGCGACATGATCACATCTCACAGAAGTGGAAAGATTCTTCTTGGTCTCTCGGAATGCGAGTATAGAAAAAATGTGAAACTAAAAAACTAAAAATGTACTGTAACTTAACAGTAAGACATGTTATTATAACGAGTCGCAAATTTAACGATTGTCCAACATTCATAGGTTAACGGGAAGATGATTTTGCATTCTTCATGCGTATCCGCACATAACACACATGAGGCATTACAGCCTCAACAGAAGAAATGAAATGTCACTCGTTGGAACGTTAGATTTACTTGCTCGTTAGATTTACATGTCTTACAGTATTCAACAGTGTGCTGAACGCAAGTCAACATTGCAGGGCAGAATCAGATTGCAGATATGCCGTATCATCATAGTAATGTTCTGCACAGGATATGATTGTGTGGTGGCTGCAGGTTGCCTGTTCACTCTGTTGTAGGGAATCACTGGCGATATACAATGTATTGTGTGCTGAAGATTACCCTGGTACAAACTGGAAAAGAAAAGCAGTATTGTCTCTACGATGTACATGTACAGCATGCATGTACCATGTGTACTGCAAACTAAGAATATTCTCTCCCTTTTAAGGCAAGGTATATCAGTTGCCAGACACGTTCATGCCTTTTCTTCTAGCACAGTGCATGCAAAAACACTACTTCTGTGAACATGGGATTGAAACGATGTGTTCATTATGTGTTCACTGTTTCATTCCTTAGTGATTCCTTCCTTCTGCATGGTGTTATGTTGGTGCTGCAATTCTCTTATAAAAATACAACTCAGTTCTTCAAAGGAGGTGTCTCCAGTTTGTACATATTTTATATTATGTTAATTGTTTTTTCATAGACATGCTTTATGTACTTGATAGTTGATTCTTATCTGTATAACCTTTCAGAAACTACAACGAAATGTTCGGTTACATGAACTCTTCCTAAGCTACAACAGGATGTTTTGTCATTCAACTTTTGCTTTTAAAATTGCTTTACTTTTTTAGTATGTTTGTTCGAGTGCTCTGTTGTTGATGTATACTAAGACTCATGTTTAGGTAACGCCCTTGATCACAATGCCAGTGTTTGACTGGTATTCAGTTCCCTTGAAGGGAAGGCACGTGTGTGGCAACTGATGTTCCTTGCTCTGGGGAGTTTAGTTTTCTGTCTTGGTGCACGTTGCCTGTTTGTTGAATATGGCCATGCATCCTGTGTGAAGAGCGCCCAGCTACAGTGGCTAACATTTCACTGTTACAAGTACAAAGCTTATTGTTAGATTGATAGCATGAAACAAGGTGGAGGACACTGTGTGTGTGTGTGTGGGGGGGGGGGGGGGGTTGGAGACTACTCCTTACGTCCGTCGTGTATTCTTTGATCGCTCCTGGATGTTGTCCTGGTAGTCCTGTAGCTAGTTAAACCTCAACTTCTTTTCTTCCAACTAATACTTCTGCAAGGAGTCGTCTCCAACCCCCCTAGCATAATGAGGGTTAGAACCGGGTTCAACACCCATATGGTTCAAATGGTCCGCAGGGACCGGGGCTGCCAACCGCGGAAGGTTGTACAGTAGTAAGGTCACTGTTTCCGAACACAGTGTCCTCCGATCCACCTGGTTTCATGCTGTCAATCTAACAATAATGCGTAAACTATAACAAGGTTTATCTAATACTAGTTTTGAACTAGTAACTGTTCTTGGGTTATATAATACCAAGTACAAAGCTGTGGATGTCAAGAGTACTACTTCGAAGTAACAAGAATAAATGACTGAGCTACAAGGGACCTTATTATTTTTCTTGTTACAAATAAGCAACTCTGCCAACATTGAATTTAGTAGCATAGCCACAAACTGCTTCCAAAGGCTTTCTCTTCGAGACTGAGTACTAATAGTAATAATTACTTTATTAGGCCAAGTAAAAAATGGATTGTTTATCGCCCGCGCCCGCCCCAAATTGTCACCCTCCCAGCCGAATTATTTATTTTTTTTAGTACTGGTAAAGTACTGTATGTACTGCGGTCTGCGGCCTCTAATCAGCATGGCCGTAGAGTTTTGACGGTGAAGTCCACAGACTGAACCAAACCAGTATGGGCTTGAAAAATGAATATGATTATCAGCTGCCTGGTTTCCTTCGTTTTTCCTACGTAACGTTGGTTGTTCCACTTTTCATTATTAGAACCTTCAGTCTTGCAAGGCGTTAATTATTCATGGCTGACGATTCATCTGCATCACATGCATGATGATGGATTTATCTCACTCTGTGCCAAAATGGCTTCAAAAAAAAAGAAAAGCGAAGAAAAAGGCATGCCTGATCTACTGCTGAGGTTGCGAACACCTACCCTACAGCCAAACATGCTAATAAAAAATTAAAATTAAAACCCTCCCGCCCACCCCGATTTCTTGGGAAAATCTGACGATAAACGATCAATATATTTTACATGGCCTTAGCTATTAGGATGACCCAAAAGGCTGACCGCCTATTGTAGGGTCCGTCGCACTGAAGGATGATGGTCCAAGAGAGTGCAGTCATATTGGGAAGGGGGATGCGTCATATAATATGGGCACAGCACTTCAAGTCTCCCATTTATGCGTAAAATCATTGCAGCTGAAGTAAACGGGCAGAAAAGTCAAATCCGCAAGGGCTAGCCTATGGACTCCTAGCTTGGAACATGTATGTTCCTGCATAAATCTATCCGCGTGAAAGTAATTATTTTAGTTCATGGTGGTTGTGACCAGGGATTGGTGCTTTGCAAGTAGTACTATTTCACTACTCCCTGGTTGTAACTGGGAGCTCTACACATGCACGTATATTGTGTAGAGCTCCCTGGGTCGGTTATACCTACAGCATAGTTGCACCCAAGAACGTAATTTCCAAAAGGGCAGGCTGGGACGTTCTTATCTTCGAGCAATCTGATTGCGTCCTCATAGCACGTTCTTAGAAGCAATTCGAACAGGATCGCATGCACACTTTTTTTGCATGCTACGAGAGGCCTTCTGTTGAATGGCTTTATCAAGAAAGTATCATGGAGAAATATGAGTAAGTCTCTGAAATATCAAACCACGGCGAATGGCCTGCGAGGTGGATGAGTCACACACCAGGCAAAGCCATATACATAACGTAAGTCGTTACAAGTTATTTTTTCATGGATGAGAGGGTGCGTGTCATGAAACTGGGGTTCAGAAATTTAAAACAAAGGACGGATATCACAAAGTTAAAGACAAACACATGAGTGTTTGATATCACCGTGGCTAGTGTCGCTATGCGACATGATCACAGCAAGAGTATAATGGCGTGAACTTGTTCTGTACTCTTGAGCCATGCTCTTCTGGTGCTGTGCTGAATGGAGACTAGAGTTGACCACGGCTTGCTGCAAGGAGAGGTTGACCTCTCTCTTAGACGAGGGCACCACGACCGGGTATTGAAACTGTGACAGATCTCCCAACACAGGTGCAGACCAGAGCGCTGCCATCAAACACCCAGTACTATAGTTGCAGTTGGTCTGAGATTCTCATTGTCAGACGACGGTAGTCATAGGTCCATTGTAGTATACAGTGGGAGTAGTACATGTCAACCCATAGGGTAAAGCTTGCATGCTTCACATCTTAACTTTTGCCATGGATGCCAGTACTGATTTTTCCTCAGCATCTGCCTCATCCTCATCCTCATCGTCCTCCTCCTCGTCATCATCCTCATCATCATCTTCATCATACTCGTAATCATCGTCATCCGCATACTCATAGCCTGCACCACCGCCGTCATACCCACCACCTCCACTTGCACCTCCACCTTCCATTGCTTTCGCATACGCGTCGCTGTAGTAGTACTGCGTGCCACCGTCTTCATCGCCCCCACGCTGACGTCCAAACTCGTGTGTTCGTGTCGACATGCTCAAGTCCTTCGTCTCCTGAGTGTCCTGGCCACATTTGGGACACGGCAGTGCGGCACCGCGTGCATACTTGACGCCTTTTCGACGCACATGATCCTCACAATATGCCACCTTGCAACGCAGGCAGCTGTACTGTCCAAGTCGATTGCAGGACGCACACTTATAGTTCTCTGCGTCGAGTTTCTGGCAGCTTGCTTGGTGCTCAAACTGGTCATCCTCGCAAACAAACACTCGGCAAAAGGAGCACTTGAAGTAGCGGCCGCCCTGCTCCCAAACACCCCGCTCACACTCAAAGCACACAGCATCTGTCAGGGGGCACTGGCAGGCATGTGTGGAGAGACATTTGCGGCTGTGGCAGATGAACGTCTCACAAAAGTCGCAGATAGCTCCAGCCATAGCCAGGCCAGTTGCGAAGCTGGTGTGCTTTACAACACAGTCACCACCCATGCATTTTTGTTTGCCACAGTGACCACATACTGGTAGTTTATTCACGGAATTGCAAAAGTAACATATAGCCCGATTCTTCTGCCTGTTGTTGCACTTTTCACACTCCATGGATGAATTGCATGGCATCAAGCCGATGTCTTTTTCGACCTGACGCATAGCTTTCTGTCTCACGGCTCGCTTCTCGGCCTTCTTACGAGCTCCGGACTTCTTCTTAGGCATGGCGAGATGCTCCAATTACACACAACGACAGTCCTAAAATACTCAGTGCAGTGCAATCGGTCGTCGACACAGGAAACCCACAGAGAAACAGAAGTCAACCCATGCAAAATGTCTCACGAAATCAGACTTCGATCGGGGATGATCTCCAGCAGCTTCAGCAGAATACACTTTATGGTCGCAAGCTACAAAGTAATTGATTGCTTTCTTTCCACAGCTGAGTTGAGCTAATGAGAGCTTGCTTTTACTTTTGTTTTTTTACCTTTCAGTGTTTCGCTTTTCAAGTTAGTTTTGAGAAAATAATATATTATGTACGAGTTCGAGCTCACTCGATCGATCTAGCTCGCGCTGATCTGGTATGGCATGGCTGTGCAGCAGCGCTGGTACGTACGTGTTGACGCCATTTCGTTGCCATGGAGAAATCAGCGTCAAGAAAGAAAGCTGTATACATGATGTAGTGTAGATTTACCAGAATCACCTCAGCCCGGCTTGCCATATGTGAATACCGAAAACCACTTGGAAACGGCTTCATGTTTTGAGTTTTCGTAAATCTTTGCCTCATTTGCCCGGGTATGCCACGGATGATAAAGTGAAATCATTATCAGGGAGTACCCGGACGAGTCTGTTGTACTTGCTGTAGTGGAAGTGGGTAGATCTACATGCCAACATGGCCCATGCCATGGCATGGGGTGATCCTGGCGATTCGGGTGTGGACTGTGGACCAGGGAGCCCCACACATTCCAGTATGTCACTATGTGTAGGGCTCCCTGGTGTGGCTGGCCTGGATGCACTGATCGATCGTAGATCTACCAGTGAACGACGACGAACTGACTGTGCACATGTGCCTGTTTATGTGTGTGAGACGTGTGTGTGTGTGTGCATGTGTGAGTTTGTTGCCGAAGCTGGTGTGTCATCCATGACCGGTCCTGTTTCCTTCACAAGTCAGACTTCACCACAGTAGCCTTGAACTTTATGTCAGCTAACCAGATCTCTAAAGTAATAGTGCAGTTCTGAATATATCTGCCATCGATGAGATTTTACCCCTTTGTCTAGTTGTAGTTTTCTAATGACGACTTCAGTTCAGTGCAGATGACAACATTGTCGTTTTGACGTGAAACCAATTTTAGTGAGTTTTCAAACAACCGCCGCAATAGCTGCGTGTTGGGGGCCCTGCAGCGTTATGGCCGAATCTTCATCGTCTAAGAAGATGATGGGATTTGGGTCGACGCCGCAGTCGCAGGGCAAATCATTCTGGAAGAGAGGTGGGGGTGGACGCCTTCCAGCACCAGGATCGTGAGTAATTTCTATAATTATTTTGTTTGGTACAATTGCATTTTTCAAATCGTATCTTGAACGCGGTCGGTTTTTAAGCTTCAGTAGCTTCAAGTAATAGTATTAGTACCAGTATTATCTAAGCGTAGACCGTAGGGCTTCAATGAATGTGCTCTTCATCAAAAATACGCTGGCTGTTTGTGAACTGTTTAATATGTTGAACAGGAGACGAAAATGAAGTCCAGCGTTATTGTGAATGGATTTTGATGCAGGCACTTCTAGCTATGGCCCAGTATGGGCTATTAGAAGAGACCACGGGTGTCTGGTAGATCTAGATCCAGTGGCCAATGGTTTTTTTAATGGTTCTCAGACCACACCAGTTGCTGACATGTTTAGAATGAGTGTGGATGTTTTATTGTACTTCGCAGCTTTTGTTCATGTTCCGAACTCCTCTGTGTGCTGTACACGAATCCACTGGCCACAGTGTAGCATGCATGGCATGTGGTGCCTGGTCCTGGGTACTAATATCCATGATACAATCATACACCTGTGCATGTACGGTAGCGTGCCGCTCATAGAATATATCGGCCTGGGACGAACCATTCAAGCATGCAGTTGTGTGTACGCCCAGCGCACGGTGATAAATAGTACTCGTATGAATGCTGCTATTGCATTGCTTGGCAATGATTGGTGGCCTGCAAGTAAACAACCTTGGTTTGATTGTTGCATTCCTCTCTGCATAGGCTTATGCAGTGCAGGTAACGGACAACTAACTTGTTCCATGATACCTGTTGATATCCGACAGTGCGGTGGTCTGTGTAACGTTATGCTGTAAACTGACCAATATCCACACCACTAAATT